TTCCCAACATGGACTTCGGATCACAGCGCAGCCTTCCAATCGATCAAGGACCTTGTCGTCAGCCCACATTGTCTAACTACTATAGACCACGATAACCCGGGAGAGAATAAGGTATTTATCACCTGTGATGCATCTGACTATGCTACAGGTGCAGTCCTCTCATGGGGACCCACGAGAGAATCGGCTAGGCCAGTCGCATTTGACTCGACACAGTTGCAGGCTGCGCAGCTCAACTACCCCGTCCACGAGAAGGAGTTGCTGGCGATCGTGCGGGCGTTGAAGAAATGGCGGATGGACCTATTGGGAATGCACGTAAATGTATTCACTGACCACAGGACCCTACAAAATTTCAACACTCAGCGGGACCTCTCACGTCGTCAAGCAAGATGGGCGGAGTACATGTCCCAATATGACATCACCATCAACTATATCAAGGGAGAGGACAATTGCGCTGCGGATGCTCTTTCCAGGCGAACGGACTTCGCAACCACCACGGCGACCTGCGCCGCAATACTTAGTATTGGCGCAGACACTGATCTTCGCACACGGATTGTCACTGGGTACGCTAATGATCCTTGGTGCAGGAAACTTAAGGACCTCCTGGGTTCCCTGCCCGGTCTCTCTCAAGATGACAACGGTTTGTTTTTCATTGCTAATCGGTTGATTGTTCCGCGTGTGGATGAATTGCGTGAACACTTATTCCACACCGCACACGATGCCGCAGGGCATTTCGGCGCCGACAAGGCTTACAGCCTCCTACGAGGATCATACTACTGGCCGAATATGCGACGAGACCTTGTCAATTCTTACATTCCCTCTTGCGCCGAATGCATGCGCAACAAGTCAAAGACAACCGCAGCGGCTGGACCGCTACATCCATTACCTGTTCCGGATGCTCGTGGTGATTCGGTCGCGATTGATTTCGTTGGTCCGCTGCCGGAAGACGCAGGATACAACATGCTCGTCACAATGACGGATAGGCTGAACGCTGACGTCAGACTAGTGCCGTGTAGAGACAGTATCTCGGCGGAGGGCCTTGCAGCCCTATTTTTCGACCATTGGTTCTGTGAAAATGGATTGCCAAAAGAGATCATATCTGACCGCGATAAGCTTTTCATGTCGAAGTTCTGGCGTTGTTTACATAGGCTAACTGGTGTTAAGGTTAAAATGTCGTCAGCTTACCACCCAGAGACAGACGGCGCGAGCGAGCGGACGAACAAGACTGTGACACAATGTCTACGCTACTACGTCGACAGGAACCATAAGGGCTGGGTAAAGGGCCTTCCACGCGTACGTTTTCACATCATGAGTTGTGTGAACGCGAGTACTGGTTTCGCGCCCTTCCAGTTGCACCTGGGACGCTCGCCTCGCATGCTGCCTCCGCTGGTGTCACAAAAAACAGGTCCTGAAGACTCCGAAGAAACACGCGCCCGGGACCTACTTTCAAAGCTACACTGCGACTTACTAGAAGCACAGGACAACTTACTCGCCGCTAAAGCGGCTCAAGCTTCATCTGTTAACAAGAAACGCTCGCCACCACTAGACCTGGAGGTCGGGGACCGTGTCATGCTCGCAACAAAGCATCGAAGGCGAGAATACATTCAAAAAGGGGACAAACGGGTCGCTAAATTCATGCCACGGTACGACGGACCGTACACTATCATTGACGCGCACCCAAAAAGCTCGACCTACACCTTGGATCTCCCTAACTCGCCCAACATCTTCCCCACATTCCACACCAGCCAGCTCCGTGCCTATCATCCGAACGACGCAACTCTATTCCCTTCCCGCGAACATCCTCGGCCTGGCCCAGTTGTTACAGAAGATGGCCAACTTGAAAACTTCATAGAGAAGATCCTGGACGAGCGGAAAGTCGGTCGTGGAAAGCGATACTTGGTCCGATGGGTGGGCTTCGGTGAAGAAGACGACGAATGGCTTGCTCGTCGGGAGCTGGAAGATTGCGAGGCTTTAGATGTCTGGGAAAAAAGGGCTTCAAAAACATAGTGGGGAAGGGTGTAAGCACGCTGGCTTACCTACGACACCGATGACGCAGTGCTATGACGCAACGCTATGACGCACACTGTACGCCTTTGATGATTGGACACCGCAGATGTCTACTACGTATATATAGATACATACGTGCGCCCAGATACATTATCTCTTACTGTACTCTCGGAATCCCATACGCTCTTCCTTTCATCGCTGTCCGAAACACCGTTAGTGTTGTCGTCCACCGCGACGACCTTCCATCCACCACTCTTTCTACTTGAAGTTTGTGCATCACAACAGCATTCATAAAAGATTGAAGGGTGTATCTTCCCGTGTGTAGACCAGCGACGATATGTACACGAGCGTCTGGGGTGTGATTGAGACACATGCAAAGCGTGTTGATAAACTGAACGTGGGTCTCAGGATTCCACAGCGTATCAGCCGCGACGATTATATCAAAGAGAGTAGAACCTTCAGGGTTCTGCTGGGCGGGCATGAGGAGTGGGGATATATCATTGCCCCAAGCGTAAGGGACAATCCAGCAGCGTTCTGAAGCATGATTGCGACGAATGTTATCAGATAGTGCGCGTATAAGGCTTTCGTCCGGATAGTCGCTGGCAACAACAACAGCATTTGGCATAGTCCGTGCGATCATGATCGAAGGCAACCCAGCACCAGCACCAAGCTCCAAGACATGCAATACTTTTCGATCGCTGAAGCGATCCAGCTGCAGATATTCGATGTGATCTGCAATGTGGAGGGAGGATTGCCAGATGGATGAAGCATGCAAAGACCAGTTGCTTGCTTGCGTGTCTGGTATCTGAAGGGTGATCTGTCTTAATGCTGAATTTCCTCCGTTACGTTTTATCGTGTAAGTAAATATCGATCCGGCGGTTGAGTGGGAGATTGGGATATAGTCGTAAAGAGTATGGAGAGAAGCAGACATGATATCCTCAGGATCGTCCTCTATGAATATGATATCCTGGCAGGCTCTAGTATTATGCGAATAACACTCTTGGGTAATATGTGTTGAAAGATCTGAAGGTACCTGCATTAAATCCACGATTTCGAGATGAAAAGAATAAAGCAGTTCAAGATCTTGGTCAAGGACAGGCCAGAATCCTCATACACTTCATTGATGTCACCAACATGTCACGGTGGTCGGGACTGCTCAAGAAGGACAAACCCCTATCGATATTCAACCGTTTCCGTTGAACAATCCTGCAGGGGAGCGAAGATGCTGCATCGACAAGTTCGCTGTGTGGGTGTCCTGCTAAAACGTTCTGGGCAGGCTACCGTGACACCATGTGAGCTAACATTCCTATGTACGGTAAAACATGTCATAGATACCACGAGTCAGACTGTAGTCGCTGCATACAAATACATGCATTTGACACGATTGTCCGTGAGAGGCATCACAGATTAGGTGGACTCGTCAACCATACGCTGGGGAGAGCACTTGGGATACGTGTCAACGAGTCACTTGACGCATATCAAGCGCTAGGTGAGTGTGAGTTTTGAAGGATGTCAAATACACCACGAAAATTTGCAATAGAAATTGCCCCACCGTCTCCCGCAGAAAATTCTGCGTCCAGTCACAGCAACACGAAGGCACAACATAGAAGTAACAATGCTCATCTAAGCACGGAATACAAATAATTTCCCATCCCATCCACAGCTTGCAATTAAACCTTCATCATAGAGGGACCAACTACAACCCGCCGCAAACTCCGTATGAGGATCATGGACCTGAAGGAGCCTGGATCCCCCTGCGGATGGGTTAGACGACCATCTGCATAAACCCATACTACTTAGATATGCACGACCTGTTGCAGAAATTCACGTACATCCTACATGTCATATCATAGCTGGCTGTAGCCAAAATGTCTGGGTGGTGAGGACTCCATTGGACCTTTCGTACTGCATATTCATGACCTGGAAGCTGGATCTCGCAAACGCCACCAATTGCCTGAGCACTCGTGTTGGCGCTCTGAACCATCCGACAATCCCACACCTTCACCATCTTGTCAACGCCAGCGGTTGCCAGCACAAAAGGTCGATACTTATTCCAATCAAGGGAAAGTAGCTCAGTGCCAGATGCAGGGACGGTCAGGACTGCATTAGACAAAGGGTGCGTGAAAGAATTCGTGGCGGGGCCGGTGGCATAAGCGGGGGAACGAAGATCGAATATTTTCATAGTTCCATCCGTTGAACATGTAGCGAGGATATCTGGTTGATGAGGAGAGAATAGAGCCTGATACACACATGATAGGTGCGCATGCAGTGTTGTCACTGAACGAGGCAATTCTGGTGTCCACTACAAAATATTCTCTGTAAGTTGAATTCAGTATGAGACACTCGATGTAGCTACCAGTTTGACATTTCCATCCCATGAGGAGGACGCAAACGTGTCTTTCTTGATATTCGACCAATCGACGGAGAAAACTTCACGGCTGTGCTCATGCCAAGAGCGTATTGGAAAGTCCTAGGCATGAAAAACGATTTTGATCCACACAGGTCTGAAAATGAGTTGATATTGGCGTACATTCAGCAATATGTCCCATAGTTTCAGCGTTCCATCTCCTGAACCTGTAACCAGTTGATTCTCGTGAATCTCTGACCATGCAACGTCGTATATGCCATCCTGTGTCTCGTATCTTGATAGAAAGATAAGCACCAGCTTATTAGTCGAGTCGACAGACAGACTGTTTATCAATTTTCACCGCAGACGAGCCACCGACTCCTGGAATCAGCGATACCATGTGCAGGCGACCATTACCCACAAGACCAAAATTGGCAGCTGAAGCAAGCGCGATACGAGAATTGTGAAAGGGGGACCATGCCACAGAGTAATGGGCAAATCCTGGTGTCTGCAGCACAGCAGGAGGTGGTCGAGCTGGATTCATTTCGTCGAGGTGATCAAGGAACAAGTTGTATATTCTTGTATATCCATCCGGCTATTACGGCTACTTCGGATTCCCGCAAGAGACTAACTTGAACAACTGACTATTATGCGTATCTCAGTACCAACCATTGTCGGCGGCTCTGGAGCACCAAGACGAACAATTTCACCAGCTGCGGCGGTTGAACGTATCGCAGAATTCCTTGCGCCAGGAAAAGTGACGCTACTTACCGGTGCAGGCGTTAGCGTTGCTTCGGGGATTAGAGCATATCGGGGAAAAGACGGTAGATATATGAACCCCAATTACAAGTGAGTTCGTCATGCGAAGCCAGGAACCACGCTAATTGTTTCTTTCTGATTATGACATAGACCGATTTTTGTACGCGCTTTTAAGTTGCTTCAGGCACAGAACGTTTCCAATTGACGAGCGCCTTAGTATCACGAACTAACCGACGAGAGTGAAAAGGGTTTTGTTTTCAGGCAAGTTGATTAATCCCCCTCATGTTACACGACTTCTGAACTGATCAAACAGGCAACGGTATTGGTATGAAATTAAATCATGTGGTCAGTCCGTCAGGTTGATGTTTGGTAGGCTTCGATCATACTTGGGCTACCCCTCTGTCCGGGACGCTCTGCCTAATACCAGCCACTATGCAATTGCCGCACTCCAATATGCATCATACTTACCTCGTCTCGTGACGCAAAATGTAGATGGGTTACACCACAAAGCGATTGCGCACCTTTGGGAGCCGGATCATATCCGAAAGCAAATACTTGAACTCCACGGAACCCTCCATGTACGTTTCTGGGCCATTTTGGATGCATTCGCTTTCCGGTGTTTCGGCGATCGATAAACCCATAATTTCACTTGCAGCGGGTACATTGCAAACGCGGTCATGTAGTCCCCAGAGACGTATTCCAAGATTGGCTTTCTGCTTCTAATCCGCAACGGAAGGCATTTGTTGACAATCTAGAGAAGACCGGGAGCAAACTACGCACGAATCCTGACGGTGATGTTCGTCCGTCGTTTGCAGACCAATTTTGATGATTGATTTCTCTTGAAGGTGGACTTGGAAGGCGTTTCTTATACCGATTTCGTGGTCCCAGAGTGTCCCCAGTGTACATTGGATGGTCACCAGAGCTCTTTCGTAAGAGGCAGCTTGATTGCCATGTCTCTTGGTCTCTGATGCAAATAGTACAAACCAGAGCTGATATTCTTTGGTGAATCGATACCAAGTCGGATTAAGGACCGCTCGTAAGTTGAGCATTTTTTGTTTCCCCGTGTTGTAGTGACCCCAATGCAGGTTTCATGATATTGATCAGTCTGAAAGGGTTTTCGTCCTCGGCACTACACTGGCGACGTATTCCGCATTCAGGTGCTTGCAATTGTCCGCTATCGTGACATGACTATGACACTGATGACATTGTTCCCCAAGGCTGGTAAAACACGCGTTAGAGCTGCGGAAACCAGTCATGTTGCTGAATGTAGGGCCAACGAGGGCTGACGAACTTCCAGGTGTAGAGAAACTTGAGATATCGAGTTCCCTGGTGTTGCGAGACGTAGTGCGAGCCATCCTGTGAGATGATCATGTCTAGAAAAAAAAAGATACTGATAATCATACAGGGGTTCTCGTGCAAGCCAGGATTCTGCGATAGTTCATCTTCTCCAAAGCGGCATTCACCAGCCACCCGCACCAGACCACGAAATTGTATCAAGAAATACTTAGACGTGGATAAGAGATGGTATCCATAATAATAGTAGTGAAGATCATAGAATGCGTAGATTAATGCTGGCTACTGTGGTATGCTGGTATGGGCAAATGTGGTAGCTAGTTATATGCATATGGTAAAGTACTAGCGATGCAAATGGAGACAACAAAGTAAAAATGGGGGCGCCTATAACAAATAGATGTAATACAACAAATGATTTCAGGAGTGGTCTTGAGGATGCGTGCTCGGCTGGAGGGAGAGAGTTGGAGTTGAGCCGCGCTCTATTATGGTCACTCGAGGAGGCTCGTCGTCGTCGCCATCATCTTCATGCATAGGATTGGTATTTACCAACCAGGTTGGAAGTCTCAAATCAGACCACGACCAAGATTGCCAGGGTCCATGATCTACCAGAGGCAAGTCCTAAAGGACTTGCGTTTAGATCTTCCCCGTGGAACAAAAAATAATTGACGTACAACAACTTTAGTTGAGGTATCGACGACGACCTCCTCCGGGTCAGGCGAAGACGAGCTTTCTTTGAAAATGGCAGGAGTTCCCCGTTGATCGTCATTGGGAGTCAAAGGAGGTGGTGGTGTGAGATTGTCGGCGTCTGTGTTAGACGATGAAGCGGGGGAGGCTTTATCGACCATGATCTGACGGGTCACATGAATTCCACCAAATAAAACAGGGCTATGGAAGCGACTCACTGTTTCCCTCAATGGACGACTGGTGGCACGGGCACCCCCGACTGGCTTCTTTAAACAACGTTCGCGGTGTTTCAGCCAATGGAAGGGATCATACAGACTCTTCGGGGATAGTTTTATACGATTTCCGCAGCGTTTGCAGGTGACAAAGAGTGGGCCAAGAACCTCTGCCATCGGGTCGTCACGTAGCCTTTTCTCTCTCGCAATTTCGCCTACAGTTCGGCGAGGCGCATCTCCGCTGCTCAAAGCAGCTGGATGAATATGTAGCTAATCGGAGACGACAGAGATGCTTACTCATGGATGCCTTTTAGACTAGAATCTTTCCTCGACGACCCCCTGCGGGAGTGGCACGAATAGAATGAGCAACAATAACATCGGTTAACGATAAATACCCACATGAGTTTGATGGCAGGGGGATGAGACAGTGCAGTGGGGGGAGAAACGTATTTTCAGCGGGTATGAATGTCCAATTTTCTAGAGTGTGGAATGAGCTTTATCGGTCTGGACATGGTGGTGGCCACTGACCTGGTAGTCCAATTCCGTGTGGGGGGGAAATTGGAAGCGTATGCCGAAGAGCTGCGTACACTTTACGCGCCAATACAAAAACCTCTATATCTCAACGGTTCAGTTGTATATGCGCGACAGTCAGGCGTAAGAGCGAACGTCACGGGAAGAAAGTGGAGAGCGGGGACACACTTCGGAAATTTCCGTCAACTTACATGCATGCTCGTTCGCGCGTGTTTACATTTACTCTAAGTGTCTAGGGGAATAATTGAATGGCATTATAAAGAAAACAAAGCACAATAGATAGAGCGGGGTACAATACAATCGACACAACTCGCACAACACACTAGTACCAACATTTACGTAGATGGAGTGCCTAAACCTTCACGGAAACCACGCACGAAAGCTTTGAGAGGTTGTATAAACCAACCCCACGGGCCTGGCGCCTCATTCTCGGGTACTTGGTAGGCCACGGTTCTCGGGCGATTCATAGGGCGGTCTTCTCCAGCGTCTTCTTCGTCCCGGGCACGTTTCTCCCCAATGCGATACGGGGTGTTGTCATTGATGGCTATGACATCTGTAGGCGCTGAACTCGAGGATGTAGGGGATTTGTGTACCTCGTTGATAGGCGTCTGAGTGATAGCCTGACTAGATGGTGGAGGGAAAACGCGCGAAAGTCGAGAACCAAGAGGCTTTGGAGTGAGTTGAACAATATGACTACAGCCACTATTACTTATAAGAACACTGATAAAATGATATTTACTTACGAAGAACACTTTGCTTTGTGCTTGTGCCACTTGGTCAAATCATACTGAGCGACGCCGTCCAGCTCGACAGTTGTCCTGCAAAAAGCACACTCGACATGTCGAGCGGAGGACGACTTCGCTTGAGGGTCAGTCAACAGACTATATTTTCTCTCTGCGGTAGCCACTCGGCTGCTGGGTCTGATTAAATCATTAGTTAGCAAAAGTATGTTAAAATCCAGAAAGAAAGAATCACTCACACGACACCTGAACATCGTTGTTGATGTGCGTGCCAATTTCCAAGAACGTAGGCATGATCGATCGACAGCTTGATCCATTTCTGGCAGGATCGACAAAGAATTTCGTGAGGCTTGACCTCTTGAGCACGAGGATCCTCTTCCAATAAAGCTTTCCTTTCGGCGTCATCCTGCCGAGCCGACTGAGGTGAAGACTGGTTAGTAATCTCCTGACTCAATTCTGATATCGAAACGTCTCCTTCGGGTTTTTCCACTTCGGTCTCATCTCGGTGGCTCCTGTTCGGATAAGTAGTGTTTAATTGTCGGTGGGAAATGTACTAACTTCTTCGAAACAGGGGACCGTGGGTCACATCTTCGTCGATGGATCTCCCAAGGACGAACAGCATACGTCTGTCTTCTACCAAGGTTGATCCACTTGTCGCATCGAGCGCAATGCACTCGGTGTGGCTCCATATCATCACATTGTGACTGGTCTTTGAAATACTGAATACGCTCGGATTCAGACCGGCGTATTCGACCTCCGGCAGATGATTCTGCAATGGACGAGGTCTCATCTGCATCGTCGTCAGGGGTATCAGGACACCTGGTTATCCAGTGTGGTGAGTGACCATTACGCGCCAAGGAACCCGAGATACGTACTTGGCTTTGGATGCGGGGGAACTCTTATCTGATGATTTCGCACGAACAGGAAGGACGGAAGGGCTCTCATGACGGATGGGGCGATTCAAGGATACCACTGATGAAGTGCGACTACGGGATCCCCTGGCTTTGCTGAGAGGTTTTGCCGAAAGCACCTGGCTTTCTTGGGGATTGCGGGGGGATTGTGGTGGCGAAGGTCCAGGGAGACTAAATAGCATATACAGATAATCATGAATCATAGATGCACAGTTTTATACTCTGAACTCACAGAACCTCGACTATTTTGGGGGCAGCTTTCGGTTCAGACGGCTAATCCATCGTTAATGGACAAGCCAAGCGTAGAGAAACCAGCTTACGGGTAATTCTTGGGGGTCGCTAGTTCCGATACTTTGATGTGTGTCCGATTCTTCATCTGACCTGTCTCTGCCGAAGCGTAAGGTGATTTAACGCGTCTAGTCTGTTTTATGGCGTACTCCGCAATGTTTGGAACACTTCTTTTCTTCTGAAAAGGCTCGTCAGAGAACTATTCGCGTGGTGTCGCGTGAAATTACGCGCTGACCTTGGCCTTGCCAGCGTGTTTGGTCTTGGATGATTCAACCTTTGGTCTAAGTGTCATGTCAGCGGGAAATGTATGAAGTGCCTATATTTTTGAAAACAACCTCTCCGGGGATGAATTCACACTATCGCTCATGGTGAAAGAATGTATCGGGTCAGCTCAAAAAGAAAAAGAAATATACGGGACAAGGACAATGAACTCTACGTGGTGGTATCACTGAAAGGTTCGGTGCCAAGCATGTACAAATAAAGTCAACATCTACAAGGGAAATCCCCCATTTGGTTTGCCTTCAATAAAAATGAATTCTAGAAGCTTGCCCCAGAGAAACGAGTCGAAGGCATTAAAGCTTACAGAACTACAGTACGATATTCTAGGTATCACTTTGAAAAGCGAGGCTAAAATTACGACCATCTTGCTCCAAGCAAAAGTCCAAAATTTACAACGTACGTATTTACCCCGCCGACTTCGAAAAGTCACTTGGACCCGTAAGTAATGGGTCGTACCGTTCTGAAGAGATGTTTGGTTGAGGGCCATTGATAGGAGAGTCGACTATAGGATAAAAAGATCCAACAGGATGAGGTAGCGCAGGTACGTGTAAGGACCCAATCTCATGGTTTGATTGAGCTAGTAAATGGTATGGTATGGGACCATAGACTTGATTGGGGAACGGCAGAGGTGCCATCATCATGGAGGACTGTTGAACTTGAATTGGAGTTGGATGGGGAGGCTGCATACTCCCCATCGCAACCACTGCTGAAGATCGTGATTATGAGGTATGAGGTAACGTTTTATTGGATATTTGCGCACCATCACTATCCGATCCTTCACCGAGATGTGGGCATCCACCACTAACACCTTGCTGAGTGCAGATTTGACAGATGCGATCAAGACACTGATACCCCTTACGCACACAATGCAGGCACGGCCTGATGGTCGTCAACCAATGCGCAAACCATCGGCATCGAGGCCACCTACCTCACACCTTCACACCGCACCTTATCACGTCTATGCAGTTGTTGAAGTGATGTTCTAGATCGTAGTTGATAACTTACCTGCAATACACACAAGCCTGAAAAGATAGCGTCAGAAGGAGTATACTTATTCCAAACAAAGACTGACCGCTTTGACACGGGTACCATGACCTCTGCCCTTCCTCTGAACACTGATACACTCCTTGCCACATTCAACACATTGCCTACATGGACGTGCATCCTCGCATTTCTTATTTTCTTGCCTGCAACCCTCGCAACGAAGTTTAACAAGTTTAGGTCCCTTCCCCACATGAACACACTCTTCCCCGCGTGCAATGCATCGGGTGCAAGGTCGCTGATCATCACACTAGACGTAGGGTGTGTCAAAATCGCATCCACAACCACAGCACAACCTTACCTTCTTATTATCCCGACGACAGTTCTGGCAAGCCAGTTTTGCACGGTCGGGCTTTGAGCGATGTGGCCCGCGGAGAACTAAGACGGGAGGAGGTTCTGCACGCAATACCGGGTGGTGATGGCCTTCGGTGCACTCTACCTGATCCTCTCGGCACCTGAGGCAAGGCTTTCCACCTTCACAGCGCGCGCGAGCCTTTCGACAGTTCTCGCACCCAGCAACACACTGTTCAATAGTGTAACCTTTCTTAACGCAGCCTCCACAAGGCCTAATTGATCACGAAGATATCAATTCATGAATTAAAGGAAATTAAAATCAGAGTAGAGGCAAAGCTTACTTTTGACCATCGCAGCGTATTTTGTCACGCCTGCAGGAGAAGAATATTAGGACACGAGGAGTGCCCCTCAATCACGAGATCATTACCTGCAACTAGCACATGCCTAGCGATATTCCTGATAAGCTAACATTAAAAGGTAGCGTGAACGTTAAGCACAAACCTTGACTGCTCTTCTTGGCCACGCTGTCGTGATGATGTCGGATATCGGGACTGGCGGCGGCTGCTGCTGGGAATCCATCGGTCTGCAGGATGTGGTCAGTTAACAAAAGAGGTGTGTGAACATATCCCCTTTTCGAACACGCGAGATTGGACCATTACGTAAGTGGCTTATCTATCACCGTGACACCGTCTCAGGAAACAGCATAACATAATAGTGAATACTACCAATAGGGTCCATTGTATTTAGGATGATGGTACAGATGCCCGCAGTTCTCCAAATTCCTCCAAATGCCAAACAAAAAAGTGTATGTACAAACAGAGAACGATACTATCAAAGAAAAGAAAAGAAGGACGTTTCCGACAGATGACGCTCTAGAGTAGCAAAGCAGGGGGAAAATAAAGGATTGAAGCCAGGTGTTTACTGGTAGACGGCAACGTAGTTGATGATCCACTTGGCATCTACAACAGAGCAATGAGCATTGCGGAACAAATAAATATCCAGCCGAAACTTACCGACATAGTTACTAGCATCGGCGACCATATCCGTGCACGTTCCTGAGCATCCAGATTGTGAGTATGCACCACCTGCCCAATTGCCACAGATAGTAGTGTCGATGACCATCTGGTGTTCATAGAAGTTGTCTGTTATGTCACAGGTTTTTGCAGACCAAAAACCAGACGGAGTACCCCAACTGGAAGGTGTAGGTGCTTGGGATGTGAGATCAGCAGGGATGTCAGACCGAGCGAAGTGCCACATTGACAAGCCAACGGAATTGTCCCACAGAAGAGCAAAGACACCACCCCCTGCATTGTTGAAGCCATCCGCAAAAGACCTGCCCAGGGGACCGTTAGGTTGGAATTGACGAACAAAAAAGAGATACAAACGTTGAGCTACTATCCTTGATGCTGCAGCCCGCATCCGAGGACTCAGTGCTGTAGCAGTTGCTCGCGAGGACAGAACCTGTATATTCATCGGAATCATTCGTATCGATGGTGCAGGTGTAATTTGTGCCACTATGAACTGTCATCTGATTTTGCGCCTGATTATTAATACCTTCGACAATGTCAATTTCACCCCCATATGGCCAGTTCGGCCCCACGGTCCAGAAACTAGGCCATACAGAACAACCGACAGGCATTTGGGACGCATCCAAGACAAAGAGACCGCCAGTGTAGCTCGTCTGAGATGAGATACGAACACTGTGACTGAGGTGAGGCGTATATAATACCAATAAACACGGTCTTTGCGCACGCGTCACGATCGCCGCCGGCAGCAACAGTGCTGGTTGAATCAATTGCCAGGACAATTGAGGACGAGGAAGACGAGGAAGAGGAGTAGCTGTCGGTATGACCGTTATCGTTGTCGTTGTCATTGTCATTGTCAGAGTCGCCATTGACATATGCAAGTCCCTTAGATTGTGCATCTGATTTGCTTTGGTAGATGACATTCCCACCAGTGGGGTCCGAGCCAGTATAAAAGTCCCAGTCACTAGGTGGGTAAAGGACCATTAGCCGAGTTGTAAGTTAAAAATGGCTAACACACTCGAAGAAATCACCGCCCTGATAATAGTCTTTAACAGAGTAGGCAGTGGTACGGCTGTAACGCGAGGGCGAGTATCGGCGAGCACCAACCAGAATGGTCAATGGGAGTGTCGCTAGACAGACTTTATAGAAAGAACGCATCGTGCGACGTGATGCAAACAAGAGGAAAGCGCAAGTAGTCCTAAAAAACAGCAGGAGAGGGGGAAAGTAATGCAACACCGATAGTAACGTTGGCCATCGGGTTTTATTGTACTTGACATGGAGAATGACGTTCACCCACCTCCTTGCTTCGGGCAGTACTCCATTGCCTTGCCCCGGCTGGCCTCTCCTAACCAGACGAACCGATCATTCGTCATTCCTTCATATTCGCGTTGGTCACCGAAGTTCAGAACCGCACCTCATTGTGGCCCTGATTGATCTTATTTTGTCCCCAACACAACCACCACTCTTTGTACTCTGGGAGTTGCTTGTCCTTCCCTCCTCGTCTACCTCGGTCAACGCGACTTCATCGGCCGCAATGGCGACCCTGTAAATGACAAGAGTCAAAACATGCATAGCTGAAACTGAAGTACTGGCCGAAAGAGTATCGTCGTCAAGCTCTATCCCCGCCGCGCCACAGTAGCTCGAATAAGACGGCTTTATACCCCCCTAAAGTCCGGACTGTGTTCATCAGGGTCGGGACATCAAAGGATGGGTAAGGCGTCAATTCCTTTTGAACGTTGACATGCAAATAACTCACTGCCTCCATTGTATGGTACATTCCGGTGTCGTATATGTTACTAACTAGCATTTTAGTGGTTAATATTCGAATTACCGAGACTCACATGATCTCACGAATTCTGCAGCTTCTGCCGCATCTGTCATACTGGTTGGCAGAGCGGCAGCAAGAATAAGATCTAGAAGCTGGAAGGAACCGAACAGTGAATTCAACGTACGTGATAATCGTAATAGGAGACTCGGTTATATTCCAGTCGCATCAAGCGAATATGCCCCGAGAATATCGTTGTGTGCAAGCGCCAACTCATACTAGTAATGCATTCTTTTTTCTCGAGCTCCAAGAGTCGGCAAAGACCTTGATATCAACCCGAAGAGCGCGCATGACATGGACATTAGGGATGTATGTTCAGGTGGTAATGAGCTGGCCAGTACGGCTGACCCTTAAAGGATCCCTGTCACGCACAATTGCGACGAGACAGGTTAGATGTGGCCCCATAATCACTCCCCATGCACAAGCACTTTCAATTCTGCAGCCGGGAAAACCTCTCATTTGAGCGGGTTCAAGCGTAAACAAGGCCAGATCCGTTCTGGCATGGATCTGTGCAACAACTGAGGGTGACCGATGAGAGAGCAATGTTTTGACAGCATTGAAAGTAGTCGAGGTTGAAGGGCACTATCCAGTTTCATGGGCATTGGTCAGGGTAACGGAAACGGAAAGAAAAGGTTCACGAACCAATCATATCAATGCGGGGTATCTGAAATTCGAAGTGCGTGCAGTCAAGGTGAACCAACTGTTGTAGAATAGCGCGGATGGAAATCAATTCTGAGTGACAATCGAGTGGGGTTTGGTGACTGCGCACGCACTGGGATGAAGGACTTGGAGGACTTTTTCTCGTTTTCACGTAGATCTCACAAACCCATACTAGCACGTGCAACTTCTTGAAGCAAGGTGACTACGGAGCAGTGGTTATGTTGATGAGAAGGATCATCCTGATAGACACATCAGCAAAATCCACTGGCTTGTTTGTACGACTGAGAAAGAGAAACATCCAGCCTTCAGCGCTTCAGCTCTAGGGTGATGCAGATCAGTTACACTGCAGGATCCAGGTTCAATCAAGAGTTCAAAAGTCTGGGCTCTGGAAATAGTACTATAGTCTCCGAAAAAAAAACTCAGCATCACGTGCATGTTGTGACTCCTACACAACGCGTCGCCGCAGATGCAGTCATTTACTTTCACGAGCTTATAGAGCTGCTAGCATTGTGGATAAAATCCACGCAGAATTGTTGTGGGGCTGTCGTGAGCGACCATATTGGCTTAGTCGGTGCTCCTTTCCTATTTTAGTTCAGCTCAGTGTACTTAACATCGTGTTCATCAAGCCGCATAACGGCGTTGAACAAGTCTGCCCATGGATTCAGCGCGACATTGAGTCGCGAGCAGGCTTAGACTCGTCATGCAGATATAATGCTGCAAAAACCCCTGTAGCCTGCTTCTTATGATCGTAAGACTCAACAGCCTGACTTCTTATGAAATTGTCTCCAGGGATCTACAAGTTTGCCATGCGGGCCGCTGGCACTGGATGTGCCAGACGCGCCACTCTTTCGTTGATCAGGTGTTTTTACCCTGATACAAGTGTACTGCCGTGGATAGAAGCTGCGTAATATAAGCCCCCCATCGAAGCTATCGATACCGCGCTTGTTGGATATAATACTTGTTTTGCATGCCGCTTCACGCGACTTGGACATCATCTGTCAGCAGAACGATAAGCTTATGTTCCGAAACCACCAGAACAACATCGATGCACAAGCGTCAGACAATTCAGGCATCCACGCTTCAACGGGCTTCTATTTCCTTTGTCCCCCGAGGTTTCATGTATTTAATGCATTAAATTTATAATTGTCCGAATGGCAATGTCCACATAGTCCGGGCCCTGCTCGAACAGACAGTCGGGCACAAATAAACGGTTGAGGCGAATGGTCATTGATAAACAGCGACGTAGTTGATGACCCACTTAGCATCTACAACAGAACATTGAGGAATGCGGAGCGATTAAGCATTCACCGGAAACTTACCAACGTAGTTGCTAGCATTAGCAACCATATCCGTGCACGTTCCTGGGCATCCGGATTGCGAATAGGCACCACCTGCCCAGTTGCCACAGATGGTAGTGTCGATGACCATCTGGTGGTCGTAGAAGTTGTCTGTTATGTCGCAGGTTTGTGCAGACCAGAAACCAGACGGAGTACCCCAATTGGAAGGCGTAGGTACTCGGGCCGTGAGGTCATCAGGGATGTTAGCCCGAGCGAAGTGCCACATCGACATGCCAGTGGAATTATCCCACAGAAGCGCAAAGACCCCGCCCCCCGCATTGTTAAAGCCATACGCAAAAGACCTGCCCGAGGACCGTTAGGTTGCGACTAATGCACATGGGAGGTACAAACGTTGAGCTACTATCCATGATGCTGCAGCCTGAGTCTGAGGTCTCAGTGCTGTAACAGTTGCTCGAGAGGACAGAGCCTGTGAACTCATCAGTATCATCTGTATCAATGGTGCAGGAGTGGTTGGTGCCACTATGAAGTGTCATCTGATTTTTCGCCTGGTCATTGATACCCTCGACAATGTCAATTTCACCCCCATATGGCCAGTTTGGTCCAACGGTCCAAAAGCTAGGCCATGTAGAACAGCCGACAGGCATTTTGGAGGCATCCATTATAAAGAGACCGCTGTTATAACTGTTTTGTGATGTGATACGAACACTGCAACTGCGGTGAGGCGCATATAATATAGATAAACACGATCTTTACGCACGCATCACGATCGCCGCCAGCGGCAACAGTGCTGGTTGAATCAACTGCAAGGACTGTCGTGCCGTCGGAGTTGACATATGCAAGTCTCTCAGACTGTGCGGCCGACTTGTTTTGGTAGACGACATTTCCACCGGTGGGGTCTGAGCCAGTATAGAAGTCCCAGTCACTAGGTAGATGGAAGATCATTAGCTGCGATACAAGTTGAAACTATGTAAGTGGTACGTACTTGAAGAAATCTTCGCCCTGATAATAGTCTTGGATCGTGTACGTTCCGTCAGTTGACCGTCTACCAACAGTGATGGGGCGGTGACGTGAGTACGAACGAGCACCAGCCAGGGTGATCAATGGGAAAGCTGCTAGAAAGAGTCTATAGAAAGAACGCATCACACAGTCACGGTGTAAATGAGGGAAGCTTGGCAGTCGTCCGAAGCAATGAAGCAGCAAGTAAAATAGAAGGGAGAAAGTTAATGGAACGTTGATAATAACGCTGGCCACGGGGTTTTATTGTGCTTTTGACATCAAAAATGACGCCTACAACCTCGTTGCTTCATGGTTGCACCATTACCTCACTTCGGCTAGTGCCTCAGACTATAAGCAAACCAATCGAAAGAAGATCAATCGTTCCTTTGTATTCGCGTCCGACAGTCACCTTCGCGGGCCTGATTGATCTCAGCGCCTTATCTCAATCCAACCGCCACCATTTGTATCTTGGAAATGACCATTCTCCTTGTCGATATTTGCATTGCATAGATTGCAATTGCAGCACTGTGAACAACAGGAGTCAAGATTCATGGCTAAAACGGTGGCTGAAAGAATCTATTACCTGGCTCAAGCGCTATAGAGCGGCGCTAGATGATTCCAAATCAGACGGTTTTTCAAACAGTCCGGGCTAGGTCAATCAAAGAAGGAGTGGGGCGCGAATACTATGGAGTTGATGTTGAACAAAATTAGCCTCCAAAGACCGCACTGCGTCTACTGTGCGGCGCGTTTTGACAACGTACGATATATGGCCCTATCTCGTGTTTTAGTCGGCTGATTTTTGAATTGTTGAAACGCACATTATATCACAGATTCTGCGACTCGGATGTAGCACTCTGCCGTATCTGCTTGGCAGCGCCATCAAACCAGTTGAGAGAGCGGCAGCTTTCTGCCGACAGTACTAAGATTTGAAGGCTTGAATCACCGGAACCGAACAGTAAACGGACGTGATGATCGTAACGACGACAATTGTCAATATTGAGCGGACAGAACGTCGCTATGGGAGACCCGACTATGTTTAAATATGTATCTCCAGGTGGCGGGTTATATTTTGTAGCGGCAGTTCATGAATGACTTCTCTCGTACTCCGATATTGGGGGAATGGTCTGAAAATTAACGTTGAAAACGCGCGAGGCGGTTCATCATGATCCTCCTTTCAAATTGTGGTTGATGACGAAGTCAACGAGGGTACCGAGATGTCCCAGTGAACAATGAAAAATTTAAAATGGATGTAGGTTCCACCGTTCCAGTGATGAACGAATCAGTGCAACGACTTGGACTAATGGCCGAGGATGTGAGGTTTCGACAGTGTTGAAAGTATTCAAGCCATGCAGGGCATGTGCCATGGGGTACGGACGAGCACTCAGCACACAGGTGGAATAAAAAGGTCGACAAACTGAGAATAGAGTCTGTGTTTGAAGAGTCCTGGAATATTACGTAAAATTGCGAACAGAATTCTTCTCGAATTCAGACTGTGTCATGACTCACACGTTTGTTCGTCACCGCTACGCATAGGCCCGGGGATGAAGGCATCGGAATTCTTCTCGTTCTCATATAGCTCTGAAAATCTCCCATGGACTATGGAGCGTGCAGCTGAAACAAGTACATAGACGGCCACCGGTGACGATTAAGTTAGTGAAGATCAACTGACCTATTTCACCAAGTACTATGATCATTGCACGAAATGTGCAAGCAAGTCACACATAGCAGTGGCTATGTTGCCGTCAATAGACACTGTGCACTGATTTCCTCGATTGCACGATAGGTGATTGCAAGACAACTGTCAAGTTGGAATTCAACATGATCTAGTCTTAGCCTAAGTCTCCCTCACAGCAAGCGCAGAACATGTACAAGATCGATACAACATACAATCAATATATTTTGAGTCTAATTATTCGTAAGTAAGCCATAGGTCTTGTATCATGGATTTCTCGAAATGCACAGCAAACAAGAAAGCGACCAGCGCAGCATATGCAAACAGTGACTGATCCTGCCAATAAAGCAAAAGAATAGATGATGATGTGCTGTGACGAATGCAGGGTATGATGTGGGTATGATACAATGCAATGCAAATAATGAAGGTTTAAGGCGAATATTCACTGGTAGACGGCAACGTAGTTGATAACCCACTGGGCATCTACAACATTAAATAACACTGAGCGGTGCGACATGAATAATTATCACAGGAAAACTTACCAGCATAGTTACTAGCATTGGCGACCATTTCTGAACACGTTCCTGGGCATCCGGATTGCGAGTAGGCACCGCCTGCCCAGTTGCCACAGATGGTAGTGTCGATGACCATCTGGTGGTCGTAGAAGTTGGCTGAAATGTCACAACTCTGCGCAGACCAGAAACCAGCTGGAGTGCTCCAAGTAGAAGGGTTAGGTGTTTGCGCCGTAAGATCTGCAGGGATTTCAGAACGAGCGAAGTGCCACACCGACATGCCAGAAGAGGTGTCCCACAGAAGGGCAAAGACACCGCCCCCTGCATTGTTGAAGCCATATCCAAAAGAACTGCCACAAGGACACATTAGGTTCCAGCTGACGCATGAGAAAGAGATGCAATGCAAACCTTGTGTCCGTGTCCTCGACGCCGCAGCCTGCGTCCGCATTACCGGTACTGAAACAGTCGGTCCCGAGGACCTGGCCAGTAAACAGATCGGCACTAACACCTGACTTTGCGATAGTACAACTTTGGCTCGTGCCACTATGAAGAGTCATTTGGTTTGTCGCCTGGTTATTCACGCCCTCGACAATGTCGATTTCACCCGCCGTGGGCCAGTTCGGGCCAACAGTCCAGAAACTGGGCCATGTAGAACAGCCGACGGGCATGTTCGAGGCATCAATGACGAAAAGACCGCCGTTATAGCTCTTCTGAGATGTGATACGGACACTACAATTCATGATGAGTACTCATAAATCATAATGAACACGAGCATTACGCACGAGTCACGATTACCGCCGGGAGCAACAGTGCTGGTTGAATCTACTGCAAGAACTGTCGAATTATCACAGTCATTGACGTATGCAAGTCCCTTGGACTGTGCCTCCGATTTGCTTTGGTAGTTGACATTGCCACTGGTGGGGTCCGAACCAGTGAAAAAGTCCCAATCACTAGATGGTTAATTAGCCGCGTTGAGACTGCATATAGTATGACAAGCGGTACGTACTTGATGAAATCCTCCCCCTGATAAAAGTCTTGAATTTTGTAGGTTTTGTTGGAAGACTGTCTACGGCCAGCAGTACGGCGGTGACGCGAGTGCGCGCGCGACGGATGGTGAGCACCAACCAGGGTGGTCAACGAAAGAGCGGCTAGAAAGAGCTTAGAGAGTGTGTGCATCGTGAAGCAAAAGAAAGTAAGGGAAAGCAGTTGTCCGAAGACTTAAACGAAAGGAAATTTAAAGAGAAGGGACGTGGAAAGTGGAACAAAGAAACGCTGAAGGAACGTTCAAGGGATTTAAAGCATCAAAGTAACAGTTTTACGAACCTCGTTGCTGTGGGCTGCCACACTGCTCTACTCGGCCGGCCACATTAGGCGACCTTATCATATCGCTAATCACGCTAAACGTGATCCTTTTGTCCTCAATCCAATCATCATTTTGTTGTATTCCAAGACTGGTTAGTCAGTCTCTCTTGCCAACGTTTTCGTCAACATAGCGTGCAATAAATCAGCAGTCAGGAAGTGAAACACACCATATGCTTTATATGCTTTAATGCTGGGCGCTGAAATTTGAAAACTGAAGCGTCTTGAAAAATTCAAGCTCGGGAAGTCTAAGAATAGACTTCCAGTGTCCAATTTAGTATTTAGAGATTCGGAAGTATTCAACACATGGGTCCACCCTGACAATTCTCGGAAATTGCTCTCCAGAGAACGCGTACTCTGGGCGTAAATTCATCATCGATTCTGCTTCCTTCAACCATTTTGTGTACATTGTTCATTGCGGAGTAGGGACGTACGAAAGAGACATTGGTACACTGCAGTTGTAAGGAGGTCAACTTCAAGTGTAGTAAGCCATTGACCCTGGATTTCGATAACCCTATCTGCAACAATTGCTCGCGAAGATATTCTGAGAAGGCGCAATACTACAACTACATAGGTGGAAGTACTGGACGGCTTAACTCCACTATTGTAACTTGTGGCTATCTAACTCCGCTGCGTTTTTCCAAAGCAAGGCGGCTTGATCTCTATGGCAATACATGTCCACATGGCCATCCCTGCGTTGTCTTTGGCATGTATCAACATTGAAGCCTGCTGTTTCTACTTACTATAGTTCCATTGCTTCCTGGACATCTTTACATCACAAGACGGTCATTAAGATAGCAGCAGCGTGCAACTAATCACTCTGCTGCTTCGTTGTCAACAGGAGCTGAACATGCATGCTTACAGATGTAGATGAGATGAGGGATTGAGGCAAATGCTACTGGTAGACGGCGACGTAATTAATGACCCACTTGGCATCTACAATGGAACGTTGAGAATGTGAAATGTTCGGCACCCTGTCAAACTCACCAACGTAGTTCGTAGCATTGGCGACCATATCTGAACACGTTCCTGGGCATCCGGATTGGGCGTAGATACGACCACCAGCCCAATCGCCACAGATAGTAGTGTCAATGACCATCTGGTGCTCGTAGAAGTTGGCCGTGATGTCGCAGGTTTGTGAAGACCAGAATCCAGCTGGTATGCCCCATGTAGAAGGCCTGGGCGTTTGGGCTATGAGATCCGCAGGGATATTGGCCCGAGCGAAAATGCCATATTGACATGCCAGCGGAATTGTCCCACAAAAGTGCAAAGACACCACCTTCTGCATTGTTGAAACCATACGCAAAAGAGCTGTTACGCAGAAACATCAGGTCACGATCGGCGCACAAGAGACAGATAAGTACGATACAGACCTTGTGTCCGTGTCCTCGATGCTGCAGCCTGAGTCCGCGTGTGTGGTACTGAAACAGTCGGTTGCTACAATTTTGCCTGAAAACTGATGGGTACTATTTGTTATCTCGTTAGTGCAAGTTTGGTTCGTGCCGGTATGAAGCGTCATCTGGTTTGTGCCCTGATTATTCACACCCTCGACGATGTCGATTTCACCTGCCATGGGCCAGTGTGGTCCAACGGTCCAGAAACTAGGCCACGTCGAACAACCTACAGGCATGTAGGAAGCGTCAAAGACGAAGAGACCGCCGTTGTAGCTCTTCTGAGATGTGATACGAACACTGCATCCGTATTGAACACTCGTAAATCAGGACGATGACGGGAATTACGCACGAGGCACGCTGACCGCCGGCAGGAACAGTGCTGGTTGAATCAACTGCAAGGATAAACGAGTTATCGCAGTCATCGACATACGCAAGTCTCTTGGACCGCGCATCCGACTGGCCTTGGTAGATGACATTTCCACCAGTGGGGTCCGCGCCAATGGCGAAAATCCAGTCACTAGATGACGGAAGACGATTAGCCAAGACACAAGTTGAAACTAGATAGGTGATACGTCCTTGAAGAAATCTTCCCCTCGATAAAAGTCTTGTATCATGTAGGTTTTGCCGATAAGTTGTCTGTGAGCAGCAGTGGGGTAATGATGCGAGTACCAGTGATGGCTACCATCAACCAGGATGGTAAATGAGAGAGCCGCTAGAAACAACTTGGAGAGAGAGCGCATAGGATTGAAGCAAAGGAGGAAATTCCATGCAAAGTTGGTGGTTGAACCATACTAGTAGGGTCGTGGCTGAAAACCATTCACGACTCGAAGGCTTCTTGCACCGGACTGCCATCGACAACGTCATTATATCTCGGCCCCGCACAATCTCAATTTTTCCTGTGCTGTTGGTCATCCCCTCTTGCCGATGAGTTTGCAGCTTCATAACTCAATCATAGCTTGCGATAGTAACGCTGTAAATAAGTGAGGTCAAAACAAAGCATCACTGGAACTGAGCTAGCTGAAGAGTATACCTGGAGCTCTATCACTGCGGCGCCGAAGCAAGGTTGAAGTGGCTCAAATTGTCTCTAAGGCGGTTTGCACATCTCCAGCCTAGTCTAAACTGACCCAAGACACAATCAGGCCGCCGCTGCCTATCAGGTCCCGGTGGCGGCAGTACGTTCACATATTGTAGTACGATTCGAAAAGAATCAACTACCACGGATGGGGTCAGAAATAAATTGCACTGCGTTTGATCATCAGTCCATTCACCATTGACTTGTTTCTTAGAAATATGTTGTCAAACGGTACGTACTAGTGTAGCCGAGCGCACAAAGGTGGGGCGGCTTTAGTGACTTTCCAGAATTGCATAAAGCAGGCAGCACAAAGAATATATCTCTGCGGAACCTTGTTCGTTGACAAGCACGTATGATGTATGGTCGATTCCCGACACCCACGCTTAGAGTGAGTCGAATAGATGTTGACAATGTCGACGTTGATTGTATAGTAGTACGATGGGAGGCAAACGAGAGGAAAGCAGTGATCCAAAGGATTGCCTAGTAGTGGTTAGCGGGTAACGTGATCCATGTCTGATTCTTAGACTCGTGGTTGACCATCGAATTCTGAAAAGACGTTCAAATTCACGAAACTCGTTATCAACCGACCTTGACGCCTTCAATGACCTAATTCGGTCCCGACCAATTATCCTCGATACAGTCAACAACCCTCTGTGTTTCGAGAAAGCGATCGGCGCTGCTTGTCGGTTGTTACAAGGCTTGGACGGTGTGATGTTGTAGACACGCTCAAAGAAGTATTTTCCCACTGACTAAGCTAACGAACTCGAAGTCCACAACCCAGCCTGAGGCTGTACATCAAATACCGCAAACTAAAAGTCCTGCTTGTTATCTCCTGGCCTATTCCGCCTTGATCGGTCATTCAAATTTATATTGGGTTGTAGTATCACAGGAATGAGAACAGTCATTAGTGGAAAATACGCGCTGTGCTAAATCCATCCTGCAGCTGATGGATCTTACTAGGATGCTGTCCAAAGGATGGGACTCCGAAGTGGCATGCCCAACTGTACACACAGCGATCAATCCCCGGAGTGAATATTTGGGCGGAATGAAGAAAGCAGCGCATGAGATTAAATAGTAAACGTGTATCTGCAGCCCAGACTCGGAGGTGAGCTGATTATCAATTCGTGGCAGTTACTTTATTTCTGACTTTTATGATAGCTTTCCAACTTCCTGTGGTCATAAGGCCACGCCTGTATATCCTTTCTCCCTGTACCTCTCGTTCCTGTTTGTAACTTAGGGATGGTGTTATATTCTCCGCGCATCATTCATGGATCATCAATCAGAATGTGACAATCGAGTGTGGTGCGCCTTGTATCAATTCCATACCTACCGTTCAATGGGATCCTTATGATATGAATAGTCGATGAAATCCAGGCACATGATTGTGGTATATCTAGCATGAATGCCATCGTCGATGGTCATACAGTGTCCACCAAGTTCGCCTCTCACCCACACCCACTCTCTACCGATACTATGACAATAGTCTTAAATAATCCACTTGGTTGTCGACCATCATTGCGTATCGCCTTTACAGCTATTTTACAGGTTCGTGGGATGTTGAAACTGATGTCTCTATTTAACCTTGACTGTGGTTTCGCAGTTGCCGCCTTTGTTGGAGTGGCGTATGATTGGGGTGAGCGTAATGATATTCAAGGAATGCTGATATCTTACGAGTATTTCCAGCACTTACATTCGCACAAGAGGTATGTTGATGTCATGACCGGAGAGCCATCTCGTTAACAATTGTTTTATACTAGGTCGAATTGATCTGGGTGAGTAGAGTCTCATGTCAGAGGAACACAATGGAAACTCAACATTCAATTACAGAGGCAACGTTGGTCCTTGATAACAGTTCTGTACATCGGTGTACGTAGCTTGTTTGTTGCGGTTGCCGTGTTGTGCTGACTTAAAATTATACTAGGTGCGCTACCTTGGTGTCTTCTTTGCTGCGTATGTCCGGAAGGCTAAACAGTATGTATTGTGCTAATCGTCTTTCTCTCATAATCAGCCAGATCATGCTGAGTATGTCTCCTTAGTACACATTAGTAGCCATAATGACAGCGATGCAAACTTCAGGGGGTATGCTTCATTGTGAATGAAACAAATGTGCATACTCATTGATGAATGCAAGAGGAATTTATCATCTCCGGCACTTATCAGTGTTCGATTAGCTACGGAGAAAATATCCCACTTCTGAATTCTGTTTCTTGGATACTATTCATCGTATGGGAGGTCCTCGCACTATGTCTTGCAGTCTGGGTTGCAGTAAAACACTTCCGTGAACAGCGACTACCTTCAGAGGACTGTCTCGTAGTGTTGATGAAAACTCATATGCTTTACTTTGCGAGGTAAGCTCATCACATGATTATTGTTCATTTTTCGCCACTGAAGGGTTGGACGTGATAGCTTTGTTGCTGTTTCCTGCTTCGAGTTCATCATCGATTTCTCTCCAACACTCTCAGCGGTATGTTAATCTTTCACTCACCGCTGCATGCGACTACGATTCATCACTTCTATAGGACCAAAATTTTATGGAAACTGAGGCTTTTTATGGCTTGCTTCAGATTTTTCAGGTCGTGCAGATGGTCGTGCTTGACCACGCCTGATCCTTAGTGTTCGAAAATTCTACGCTAGGCTTGTGGCCGATTCCGACGCAGCAACTGGTATGACCTCGATCGTTTTTCAGGAGCGCGTGCATATATCGACTGGCAGTAGTGTGTGATGCTCAGTGAAGTTGACGGCTATCTAGTGCTCTACAAAGAGCAGGGAAATTTGCTCCTACTTTCGTGATGGCCAATATCGAAGTTATCTGGTGTTCCGATGTGGATTTCGACTTCAAGGAGACATAGGTCTAGATAATGTCTTCGTTGTAGTATTTAGTTAAATGATTTACTATGAGTGCTTATCTGACCTTTCCGCTGCAATCGATATTGCTCGTTAGCTTCCGTTCCTATAGACTGACACTGTTGTGACGCATATTCTGACCGAGTCTGATTTGTGTATCTCTGTTTGATGTGTCTGAGCAGCTTTTGGCTTCGGTTTGCTCATCGTGATGTTGAATCTTATGCCGCTCCTCCAGGAGTCCAGGACGTTGGAATAATTGTCGAGTCACATGCACCTCAGGCCAAACTTTACCCGGGATTTGCAGGTGGATCGATCATAATGGCCGGAATGACGAAGGCGTAGTGCAGCTCAATTGAGCTTAATGACCACATCAAGGACAGATGGAACGTCCCGCTGCTGGAATCTGCAACTCATTCGGACAGGAGGGCCTTTGCACCAGAAACGCTAAATAAGACACTTTGTTGAACATGCTTCATCACTTTAGAACAATTTTGGTATTAATATTGCTACAACAGTCATCGTGATGATAATTAATTTGGTCATACTTACAGGAGCAACAAGTAGATTACCAATGATAAAATGATCATAAGTGGAAGTCGGGGACCTGGTGCATACGCTCCGCTACCAATATGATGCTGGTAGACGGCGACGTAATTGATGACCCACTTGGAATCTACAATGGAACGCTGAGTGTGAAACAATTCAGCATCCTACCAAACTTACTGATGTAGTTGGTAGCATTGGCGACCATATCTGAACACGTTCCTGGGCACCCGGATTGGGCGTAGATACCACCACCTGCCCAATGGCCGCAGATAGTAGTATCAATGATCATCTGGTGGTCGTAGAAGTTGGCCGTGATGTCGCAGGTTTGTGAAGACCAGAATCCAGCTGGTATGCCCCATGTAGAAGGCCTGGGCGTTTGGGCTATGAGATCCGCAGGGATATTGGCCCGAGCAAAATGCCATATTGACATGCCAGCAGAATTGTCCCACAAAAGTGCAAAGACACCACCTTGTGCATTGTTGAAACCATACGCAAAAGAGCTATTACGCAGAAGCATCAGGTCACGATTGGCACATAAGAAAAGATAAGTACGATACAGACCTTGTGTCCGTGTCCTCGATGATGCAGCCTGAGTCCGCACGTCCAGTGCTGTAACAGTTGGTCTTTTTGATCTGGCCCGTAAACTGCTGGGTACCATTTGTCATTTCGTTGGTGCAAGTTTGGTTCGTGCCGGTATGAAGTGCCATCTGGTTTGTGTCTTGATTATTCACACCCTCGACGATGTCGATTTCACCTGCCATGGGCCATTGCGGGCCAACGGTCCAGAAACTAGGCCACGTCGAACAACCTACAGGCATGTAGGAAGCGTCAAAGATGAAGAGACCGCCATTGTAACTCTTCTGAGATGTGATGCGAACACTGCATTCATGATGAAACCTCATAAATCATAATAAACACGAGCATTACGCACGAAGCACGCTGACCACCGGGAGCAACGGTGCTGGTTGAATCGACTGCAAGGATCAATGAGTTGTTGCTATCGTTGATATACGCAAGACCCTTAGACTGCGCGTCCGATTGGCTTTGGTAGATGACATTGCCATGAGTGGGATCCGATCCAACATCGAAAGTCCAGTCACTAGATGATGGAAAACGATTAGCCACGATACAAGTTGAAACTATATAGGTGGTACATCCTTGAAAAAATCTTCCCCTTGATAAAAGTCTTGTATCATGTAGGTTTCGCCGGAAAGTTGTCTATGAGCAACAGTGCGGTGGCGAGGCGAGGACCAGTAATGGCTGCCATCAACCAGAACGGTAAACGAGAAAGCCACTAGAAACGAGTTAAGGAGAGAGTGCATTGGGTTGGGGCGGGGGAGGAAATTCCATGCAAAGTCGGTGGTCTGGCCATACTAGTGGGGTCGTGGTTAATAAAAACCCCAGAATCCGGCACAGGGCCAAAGTAATATTTTTCTTACCTCATCTACCTCATCTGTGGTACTAGTGGAACAATATCTGAACGTACTACCGCCACCCGGACCTGATAGACGGCGGCAGCCTGATTGTGTCTCGGGTCAGTTGGGACTCAGGAGACGTGTAAAACCACCTTGCTTCGGTGCGGCAGTGATACAGCCTCCAGGTAATATCTAGCTCAGTCTCAGTGATGCTTTGTTTTGACTCCTCTTATTTGAGCTATGAGGTACGTACTTTAATGTAGCCGAGCACACAAAGTTAGGGCGCCGGCGCCGGCTTTCGAAAATTGCATAAGGTAAAGAACATATCTTTGCGAAACCTTGACAGGTATGGTCGATTCCCGACACCCACGCTCATAGCCGAATAAATGTTCGAGACAATCATGTCCGAGTCAACATTGATTGTCAATCGTACGATGCGAGCAAATGAGAGGGAAGCGGTGGGCCAAAAGATTGCAAAAGCAGTAAGATAATGCCTAGTACTAGTTAGTGGGTAACGTTATCCATGTGCATGAGGTCTTGGTCGAAATATTGAATATTCTGAAAATCTAACTCGGTTCCGACCAATTGTATCATCGGCTGCTATTTTTGCTTGTCGCTTGTACGTAAAAGGTCCCACGGCCGTACGACCCGCTCACTCAGTTTTACCCCCCCTTCCACTCTCAGATCTCAAAGTTTATTACATTCACATCATAATATTCGTCTCATCATCATTAGTTTAGCATCTGATCATTCGTTCTCTAATAATACCAGTTTCGTATACCATCATGCGTCCAAAGGAGCCAACCCAGCAGCAAACTCACCGGCATTCGAGCTGAGCTAACGCTCGGTCCCAACCCACATATATCTGACCTCAACGCATTCGCGATAGATGAAGCTGGAAGGCTTAATGTTCTAGTGCTCACACCGAACTGGCTGTGACTCACTGACCCATGGCCCTGGATGTTTACCTAGAGCCCTAGTCAGCGTTCTATCACCGTGTGCCAAGGCTCAAGGTACACTAATTCTGCCCCCAGCACTATCGCAATGCATCTCGCTATTGCAGGTCCTACACACCCACTCGGCAATTTGAACCACCGCATCACTTCGACGAAAATGACTCTCGATATCTTAATGGATGACTCGAACCTCCCTCGAAGCTTTCCTTCAGCCGACTCCCAGTACTAAGTCACCGCTCGGGAATGTCATCATTACCATCGCCATCACCACTTCCTTATGACTGCATGGTCTATATCCATAGACGTAGAAACGTTATGCCTAGAGATCCCAATCCTTCTTAAAGGACAGGAAAAATTGCTGAGTGGAATCGAGTGCTGCAGGATTTGGTATGAGGTTCTCCTTGTTTGTTTAGCTGTGGCAAGGACTGAGTCTGGAGTGTAAGTTGTCGCCTGATGTGAAACAAGATGAGCAGGATAAGTACACCGAGTACTCCATCGGTGCAGTTCGCCAGTACGCCGAACTCCTGTATTTCTCGGCAATAGGTCATCGGCTCGGTCTCTTTCAAGTTATCACTGCAAACTGCAGTTGCAGCGGAATATACCACGTCCAAATAGCCACACCCGTGCTGCAGTACAAGTAACTTTCGACGACCTTTGGTTCTGTTCCTTCAAATCGTGTCCTGCGATGCATTCAAGTAGTGTTGTTCTTGGGACTCCGACATTCTGACAGCGGCTTATAAGCGTACGGCATGGGTCTCTTAGTAGCCACTTACCTTCATTTGGTTCGTACACTTGCAGTTTCATTCATATCAAATTAACTGACTTTCTCTCGTACAGTTCAATGTAGCCTGCAAATTCTTCCGTCCAACGCATGTCCTCCTACTGGCCAGACCTTGATGAGCTTCGGCACATCATCTGTATGATCCGGCCTCAAGTTACCGTGCTCATTCTGCCCCCAACCCCAAACTTCCGTGTCCGACGAGCCAGATGGAGAGATCGATGTCATCACATGTTCGCTGCCACAGGCAAAGGATCTCAGTGAAGGTAATTTGCCATCGTGGGATAAGGTAAATTCGACAGGCCCGACAGCAAACCCATTCCTCGACTTGGGACTCTCGATCTAGTCGACAATGAGTAGAGGTGTTTTCATCGTCATCCCTGAGAAGGTATGTCCCATTCCACGTGCACCCAACTCGCTTGTTGAACACGTCCCCAAGGATCCATCCTATGGAGTTGTCTTTTCTTGTTAGATTCAAAGACTGTCGTCGCCCTGATTGGTGGCAGGCGACGGTATGTTGGAGACCGAGAGAACATGTTTGCACCAGATCTAGAGATACATCAAGGGAAATGATGCAAGGGCGGACATAGTTCGTGTCCCCTAGTTGGCCGTCAGCCCCCAGCCAATGAACATATGTTCATTATTGAGAACAGTTCGCATGTGAAGGTATGACATCTCCCAAGCGGCAGCGATGAGACAACTGATCGGCGTGAATTTTGTCAACTGTCCCACGTGTTCAGGACCCAGCTGCCCTTGGCGTCCGTCTCCACATCCCAAAAGCTCCCTTCGACTGTCATCAAAATCCAACAATGCGAGAGTATGGTTTGCTCCAGTCGCAAGCTGCAAAATCCCGCGCGTGTTGGGAGGAAGCGTGCCCCGTGCAGCTTATCAAACGGCAATATTTGAATCGTCATCAGAACCATTGGCTAGCTAACCGCGAGCATTGGAGCCAGCACTAGGAGACGTAGATATGGAGTCTGGGTGGGCACGATGTAAGACTTGATCATGATCACTGAAAGAAATTGATTGATCTGAATCAATCAATGATTCGACGGATCGTAAATGCATATGGATATGTTTTTAATGGTCCTTTCGCTGCCCAGACTCGACCGCAGTGCAGGTAAATCAAATGTTGCCTGCTAAGGCACATAATATCGATATCACATGTGGGCAGTTCGAACCTTTAGGGATTCATCCTCTCGTCGGTCGTGTGTTCACGGGATCATTTTCTATCTGTTTCTCGAATACTTATTGGTATGCGGGTATACAAGCCACCTCTGATCCAGCAAAAGAAACTCTATCAATATACACTGGTGGTACAAGATATCCACAAGCATCAGCTTATTTGCATTCACAGAAATGCGATATTCAATTTATTACTGCAAAACAAGTCGTCAGCGACTAACAACCACCATTTGCAGACGTACTCACCGTAATGACAGTAGGCTCATCCCTTCCAAGGAACTCCTTCAAGTTGCTGATTTCCAAGGCAACCTCGATGAGACCCTTCAAGCCCTCGGCAGTGTCACCTGCCAACACTTTCTCGCCAGCCTCCGGTCCAACATACCTCTCCACATACAGCCTCACAGTCGCACCAGCACTCCCAGTACCACTCAACCTGAATACCACCCGTGACCCATCATCGAACAGCACAACCTGTCCTTGGTTCTTGCTCACACTCCCGTCAATCGGGTCTGTGTAGCTGAAGTTCGTAACAGATGCGATGGTAAAGTCCTGATTGGTACTCTTCGACTTGTAAGTTTTATTTGCGAGCGATGATAAAGTGATTGCGCCATCCAGCAGTGCAACAAGCTTGTTGGCACCCTCGGAGGAAACCTCTTCGTAGTCATATCGACTGAAGAATGATCGTCCGTAAACAGCGTAGTGCTTCTTCAGCAGTTCCTTGATGCCAATAAGCTCATTTGGTGACTCCTTATTGGCAGCAGCAATGATGTTCAGCCAAGCTGGTTGGCGGTGAGTATTTGTATATGTGAGTGAGACCGAGACTGACCCATGATTGCCCATATACCATCCTTCTCACGAATGTGGTCTGAGCCCGTTCCAAAAGACTCTTCACCGCAGATGGAAAGACGGCCAGCATCCATGAGGTTACCGAAGAATTTCCATCCTTTATTCAATGGCTGTGAGCACCGTATAGCGCTATCTTATTACCATCGACTTGCCGGTAGGAACCTCGAAATACTCCAGGCCCTTCTTCTGGGCAACCAGATCGATCGCTTTACTGGTCGGCATACTCCTCGCAAGGCCCTTCACGCCGCCCTTCTTGAAGTATGGAATAACATGCGCCCAGTCTGCGATAATGGCGACTGAATCACTAGGAGTGACAAACGCGCCCTTGCCGTAGATCATGTTTCTATCGCCATCGCCATCACTTGCTGCACCAAACTGAATGTTTTTCGCCTCGACAACTTCGACGAGTGAGTGTGCATACGTGAGGTTGGGATCGGGGTGACCACCGCCAAAGTCCGGCAGTGCGACACAGTTCTGAATAGAGGCTTCAGGGAGCCCGAGGGTGTCCACTAATATCGCGCGTGCGTAAGGGCCTGTAACACCATGCAATCCATCGAATAGGATACGGAAAGACGCGGCGTTGTTCTGAAGGAAGTCTTTGATGAGCTGGAAGTCGAAGATATCTTGGAGGAGTTCAACATAATCTGCTACTGAGTCGATGATCTGGACTTCAGTTGGTCCATACCTCGCTTTGCCTATTACGGAGAGGTCGACCTGATCACCGATGAAGGTCATTCCAATGAATGGGTGTATATGAACGTACTGGATCAGCCTCGATGACCTTGTACCTTTGGATAGTCTTCGTGATCTCATATATCTTGTTCGTTACATTTTCAGGTGCGGGTCCACCATTAGAAACGTTGTATTTGATTCCAAAGTCGTTGTTGGGGCCTCCAGGGTTGTGACTCGCGGTGAGCAGGATACCACCATCCGCCTTGTATTTGCGGATTACATTCGATGCAGCAGGTGTAGAAAGAATAGAATCTTTCCCAATGATCAACTTCTTCACCCCGTTTGCAGATCCGATCTTCAAGATGGTCTGAACGGTCTCGGGGGAGAAGTAACGACCATCGCCTCCAATGACGAGCGTCGCACCTTCTGCCTTGATAGAATCGAAGATAGCTTGGACGAAGTTCTCCGTGTAATGCTGATAAAAAGAGAGAGAAAATTCCATTATCTCTCGGGATTATCGCGGTAGACTATCGCGTACCTCCTGCTGGAAGACTTTCACCCTTCGGAATGCAAATTAGTATGGCTTATCAGTGATCGGCCTAGTAAATACCTCTTCCTGAGTCCTGATGTACCAGGCTTCTGCCCGTCGAATGGCTTTGTTGAAATCTCCTTCACTTGATAGCTCATTGATGTAGTGGAGAGTTGACCTCAAAACTGACGCAATGGGCTTCTTTTAGTATCATTTGGCACGTGACACGTGATTTTCATCACGTGCATAGCACACAAATTACGACCCTGAAGGGCACTCAATGAAAAAATATCAAGGAACGAGAAAGGAACAAGGGGCTGTTTTGACGGGTCTAACATTAACGGAACGTGCATCGCTCCGTGCAACGATAGTTGTATTCTAACGTACTTACCTCCAAAAAATGTTAATATTCAATTGTTGTCCCTACTGTAGTTTATAGATGAGTGTTGACTGCCTTTCTACATTCAGGGTCTGTTGCATGATTTAGTCATGTCTTTTTGTGCCTCAGAGTTGAACTCCTTCCCTCCGAGGCTGCCCCTGCAGGCCCCGCCCGACCTTGGGGAAGACTTGTCCATAATCCCCCCTCTTTCTGTCACATTAGTCACGTCACAACTGTTCCTCTTCCCGAACCAGGTGAATGCAGAGCGGAACTTCTTCTATTGCACATGCAGATGTCTTCTATCCTCCCTTGTCTTTAAACCTAAAGCCTGCCTTTATCTCCAGCCCACAGGTCTTCTCCAAAGACCTCCGAGAAAGATTTACCAAGCTGCGGAAGCATATCTTGCGTGACAAGACCTCTTCCCTGTAGCTGAAACGCCATTCGACTGCTGGTTCGGGTGACCATACTTCCACCCACCGCTGCCAGAAGCGGGAGACGAGAAGTAGGAATACTCCCATCGCTATCCACCAATGGGCATCAGCCACATTTCATCGCCAAGCCAAGACTCACCCGAAGGCACCGTCTTCGTAGCATTTCCCCCACGCAAGCATCGCCCCAACCGTTCCGCTGAGAACATCACCCTGGCCACCACACCGCTTCAACCCGCCTTCTACATCTACCTCAACTACTTCCCTCACACGTTGCCGCTCCTCATCGCCCTCGTCCAGCTTACTCGCCTCATGACTAGCAGCTTCACCCGTAGTATCTCTCGCGATTAAATCAACCGGACCTTTCTCCAGCACTACGACACCTCCAAGTAGTTTAGAAACTTCTCCAGCGCGTTCCTTCGTCGGTACATCTGGCGAAACGCCTGCCGACTCGCTTAGACGTTTGAATTCGACCACATTAGGAGTGAGCACCGCACGGCAGTATCCCTTGACGAGAGGAAGTTCCTTCCCAACCATATACAGAGCATCAGCATCGAGGACGACAAACATAGCCTGTTCACGAGCGATAGACAGCGCCAGGCGAGCATAAGACTGCATGTAATCCTCGCGGCCTAGTCCTGGTCCCATAACGAGGACATGCAGTCGAGAAAGCAGAGACCTGAGATCGCTCTCCACTTTCTCATATGATCTATGATGGTCAGATGAAACTGCAAAGTACGTGAACAGACTCACGCATCTTCACCGAGAATGGGGTGTACGATCAGGTCTGGGGAGTAGGACTTGATAGCTTGAGCAGCTGTGGGCGAGCAGATGACATGCGAAAGATCTGCTCCCTGCATATAAGAGCTTAGTATATGCTTGTGAAAACGTTCATACACTAGAATGTATACCAGTCGCAATGCAGATATTGCTGCGAAGAATGGTGCACCAGTGTAACTGCAATACAATCAACCCACACAACTGCAGGATCATTCTGAATAACGCTCACTCCAAAGCTCCTCCGAGCACGCCGACTCTGCCTGAGTAGGGTAGAGATCATGCACATTCGCTGCAGAGTGGAGAACAGTCGTTACCTGATTGTCCTTTGTGCAAAGCGCCGTTCAAAGGGGGGATGATCTGCTTGATCTGCTTAATTATACTACGTGGCACGGGCATGGTTGGAATCGTAGCAGTACTTGATGGTGATGAACTATCGAGAGTGCGATACAAGTAGGCCAAGGGTGGGAAGCGCGTATTTTACAACGCACTGACGTCACCTCAAGGCCTCATGCACATGCGTTAACTGTTAACTCCGTTCATCATCAAGGACAAAATTGAGCAGCGACTGATCTATGATCTGTAAACACGCAATCATACATATAACCACAACCACGCATGTAATAGACAAAGCATCTGCAAGGACGCGACCACAGCGTGTCAACGATACATCCTATGTACAAGCCAAAAGTAGTCAGTATGAGTAAGTGCAACGAGTAGCTAGCTAGCCATTAATCTTATAGACGGAGGGGGTACTAGTAATATGCGGAGAAGAGAAAACAGAAGGGCGTGATATGGTTGGAGGTCTAAGTCCAGGGGGTGATATATAATATGTACCGGTGAAGAACCCAACGGAGAGCCAAGATAGAAGAGAAGACGCGAGAAACCACAAGCGATGGACGATGAGACCCAGCGAAGACGAAATAGTTCCAAAATACCGGTTATAAGTAAATCATGTGATTAGGCGTCAAAGTTGGGGGGAGGGGGACGGAGGGGATTGACATGTTGTGCTTGCGGTGGGTGGCACATTGACGTTTGGCAGCTCCAGACTTCGAAACGAGAATCACGGCGCGGCAACACTCGCTTGCGGGCCACTATGCCAAAAGGAATTTAGGAAGGCACCTGCGTTCGACATGATCTCGACAGCGCGCCCAACGAGACCACCCTGCTGTCGATCATCGGCCCTTGTAGGACTTCTCGACGTACCAGCCGACAGCTTACGATCATGCCGTGACGAGCTCGCAATGGAATGGGATTTCGGGGAGGGAAAGGCCGGGCGCATAGTCAGGATGGGTGAGTTGGCAGGCGTAGGTTGTCGTGAGATGCACTCTTGCTCTTCTTTGATTTCCTGCGCTTGAATAGGTGTAGGGGGTATGACTGTAGACGAGGATGATACAGAGGTGGCAGAGGCAGAAGCAGCTTCAGTCAAATCAGTCTGCGTACTGGGCTCCGTGTCCAACACAAGCCGAGATGGAGGGCGCATAGTCGACACCGAAACAGCTGATATCGTTGAAGAATCAGAAGACGAGGATGACGCGGAGGTGAACTTCTTCTTCGGTGACTCTGGTGGGGCTGTAACCACAGGAGGTACCCGTAGATCCTCTGGGCTCAGACTTGAGCCTGAGCCCGAATTCGAATTTGTTCGGCGCCCAACACGATCCCGACCTCGCTCCACAATGCGTGCGACTCCCTCCCTTTGGCGATCACTGCGCGCGTCCCGATCTCGTCCACCTACGTAAGCACTGCCAATTCCGATTGCTAGTCCGAAACCACCGTCAGGGCTGAGGTTCCCAAAGCTTTCCGTACTCTCACTGTCACGATCTGAGAACGAAGATGTCCGCGTGATACTCCGTCCTCGCGCCTGCTGCCCCTCGGCCTGTGAGGACAATGTCGATGACGACGCAGATCGGCCACGAGGCGCGTCAGGTGGCTGAAGCAATCCGGATGGGGAGGAAAACGAGCTAGACCTGGGTACAGGGACTGCTGTACTTTGGGGAGGCATCTGTATGGATGCCAACGAAGGCGATGGTGTGCGAGACCTGGAGTGAGATTTTGATCTGGAACGAGATCTTGAGCCGGAACGCGATAAACGTTCTCCAGAGGTATCCTCAGAGCTCACGACGACTTCAGGTCGCCCAATTCGCCCAAAGTTCTGCACAACAGGAATGTTCCCTGTGCCACCGTGGGAGGAGCGGAGTCTCTCTGGGCCTTCAGCCCCAGGCTCAACAAGTTCCTGCTGCTCAAAGTATGTGCGAGTATCAACCTCCTTCATTGGTACATCCTCGTCCGGAAGTGGAGATGCGACGATAGGGCGGTCGAAAAACTGCGCTGGTTTCAAGCTCTTATGATATCGCTCGGCCATCATGTCGTCGACCACCCCGTCGCCGTCTACACCGTCAATGTCCGCACAAATATAGCTTGGGGGTACGTAAACAAGCTCCACTGACTCCTGCCCACCGTAGGCATACCACTTGTCACTTGAAGGTGAATGAGGATAACCATGGGAATGGGTATACGGGTAGTGCTCATCCTCTTCAGCCCGGGTCTTCAAGATAGTTGGTGCAATGAGCGCGATAGTGACAAGCTCCTTGTCTGAACTGTGCGTGTGCATGAGGGCGCCGGCAGCGGTTCGTCTATGATGGACCGAGGAACCATTCGTGTGATGCGTATACGACGCGGAACGAGCTTTAGGTGGACGGGACCGCGAGGAAGAGGAGGAGGTCGATGAAGAAGAATGCGAGGATGATCGGGGAGGTAGCATGGGCCCGGCGTTAGCATGCCTGACACGCATCTCGAGGACCTCATCTTCATCTTCCTCCTCCGACGTGGAAGACGACACAGGGGAAGTATTCTGTGGCGGTGGGGAAGACCGAGGATAAGATGCATGAACATGTGATGGTGAGTTGGGGTGTTCGTCTTCGTCGCCAAAAAGAAGCTCATCAGTTTCGTCGACGATCCCATCTTCGGAGTCCTCATCATATCTGTCGGGAGAGATTGATCGGCGAACCATAAGTATACACCCATAAGGAAACAACCGAAGACTGACCCATCATCCTCAAAGCTATAGTCTTGACTATAATCGTTCGAACCCACTGTCTTGGAATTAGTATATTCCACATTCCATCCTGTGCGCTTCTTCTTTGGCTTCTCGATCGCGATGCATTGTTCCACGAATGTGTTGAAGGTGATGTGTTTCCGCTTTTGGCCAGGCACAATCACAGCATCAGGGGAGGACCCCTGCCTGGAGGCGGGAGGCACCTCACTCGTAATGTCAGGAGTTCCAGATGCGATGATCCGCGGAGGTGAATCCCGCCTACAGTCACGATTGAGGCCCCAGCGGGAGATATGCGTATCGCTCTTGGTGTGCGTGAGAGGTGGCCGCTTGATCATTCCTCCCACAACAGGTCCCGACAAATGCTTCGGAGCTTCATAATCGGAATGCACATGAAGTATTTCATCCTCTTCCGAATCAGGAGGGCTAAATATGGGAGAAGAAGGTAGGTCGGAAGTTAGAAGTTCCATGATAGAACGGTGCTTTAGAATCGGCTTTGTGGTGGGCGGGGATGATGAAAGCATGGGGAGATCGAGAGCGGCGGCAGTGTTGGCTGAAGGTTTGGGGGTGGGGGTGGGGGCGGGGTAATCTGCCGTGTGAAGAGGACCATATAACCACGTAACATCAGAATCTTTCAGCCTGTAAAATTGGTTAGGGCGTGTTCGAAATGAAGTAAAAGGTATGACGTTGGGTAAAAGTCTACTAAAAGGGTTTGAAAAAAAAAACGATGTGACGGTGACACAATGAGCAGTTTAGGCAAAGATTTTGAATGATTATTGGACACATGGCCATGCAGGGCCCCACAAAATCGCGGGGTTCGTGCTCGACGATCATAAATGAAAAGGGATGGTCGAATTGAACCATGCGAGCAAGGAAGGGGCGTATAGTATTCAAAAATGAACATTGAGCTCACCAATTAAGAGTCTCGGGACTAACAGTGCTGAGCTTGTTGCGTTGTTTCCACCATGTGCGCCAGGAAGCGTTCTCCAACCTCATTCCATTTGTGATTTCGTTCTTCAGACGAGTCATGCTCCGCCACGAGCGCCATACATCTTCTTCTCGCCATTCATGAGAGAGATAATCGACTTGACCACGGGGAAGTTCCGATACAGCAGTGTCATCAGGTATGGTGTTTACAGAACCGAGTAAGACGGTCATATAGTTAGCCATGATGTGGCAACCCTTTCGTGTGCACTAACAAATAGGGTCAGGATGGGATGTTGGGTTGGTTGAAAGATGATGAGCGAACGACCCCAGTGTGCGACTTACCTTTGAGAAGTAAGAAGCTAGTTAAGAACAAGCTTAACGACGAAGCCGAGTTTGGATTTGAGATGACGAGAATTTAGATTAAAAAAGAATGAGTGAGAGAGGAGGAGCGGGGAAAGGAGCTGCTGGGGATAGTGAGAACTTGGCTAGTACAGCTAAATCCTAGAGAGCTGCAAAGTTGGCGGCTTACGCCTTCTTTAAAGATGATGGTTAGTCATTTCTTGAAATTGCATGGATGGAGGGCAAGAGAAAGATCTGGATTCTGGACCAGCCAGGCAGACGAATGCCACACGACAAACACTTTTTTTAGGTCTTAATTCAATTTTTTCCGTATCACTTTTCGGGGTCTCTCGTGCCGATTTACCCGATTCTCTTCACACGACTCGGTCCGCTTCAATAATAATATAATAAAATATAACAAATATTCGAAGAAATAATACTAGCATCAGATGCCCCCCGCATTACCCCACATCAATAATCCTTTTCAGAATTTTTGGTCCTATATTCTCGTCCTTCTTGCTATCCTCAGTCATTCTGCTGGCACCGCATCCACGAGCACGGCGTCTCTGCAATATGAACGCGATAACATCATTCCCTGAACTGGAGCACACCGCTATCCTTTCTCTGGCCTAGCTTTCCATTACCCGCTTCCGACTTCCAAGTGCTCATAATCGCCTCCGCAGCGCCAACAGCTTACGGGAGTGCCATCGGTGTCTGTCAACTGCGCTGTGCACTACATACTATGATCCGCCCGCACTCGCATGTAAACTTTGACCGTCGTTATGCCCGTTGATCGTGGGCGTGCCTTCGTCATCGGAACTTTGCCAGCATGCAAATCAGGAAGGTTCATCTTTATAGTTCGGACCAACTTTCTTCACCGAAACTTCTCCGCAGCCCTACTAGAACGTATGTTACATAATTAACATGGTTTGTTGGAGCCCCGCTATCCAGTATGACCCCCACTCCATAACTTACGGCGTGCCAGGTGGCGTGGGCTCTGACTGGTGACCGCCAAACGTCAACGCTCGGCGGTACGTCTTTCAACCAGACGCAACCACATAAATTGAACTAAGATAAATATATCAGCGTCTAATACCCGGCTTTCCCAACAATTGGCCATTCTGAAGTCAAACTTAGGCATTTCTTCTGCCACGCTGCATATCTACCATGATCCCGTAGCCAGTTGGCCTGATTGGCACGGAGCACATACAGCAACCAATTCATGTTAGGCAGTTTCGCATGATCTCCCCGGATCTCGTCACCCAGCCATCTGTGTAAAAATAATTTGCCCGCCCCCGCCAACCACACAAAGGATCATCATTGGGACCAATAGGAGCTTACTCACTATTACTTTGACGGCTATTCTACGGATCCGGTCAATGAGATTGCATTTACGGCCCGCCAGGGCCCGCCTCTATTACTCCGCACTAACAGCAGTCAGATAATAAAAATAAAAATAAAACGATCCCGACAGGTCGCGGCCCATCGTCAACCAATGAAGGGTATAGCGGTCAACCTGGTACCCGTACAACTGCTTTCGCCGCCTCATCTTGCTCCCATCGATTGGTCGAATCAGTGGAAGTTTGACGAATAATTCCGCTACCAATGATCGATTGTCACGGCTGTAACATGCGTGTCTTTCGCTTGCTTGCGACAGACGCACAGAACCAGACAGCAGGACCCTGCGCGTTTTTGTTTTTGAATATCGTCGTGCGTGCCTGCAGGGTCTTGAGAACTGCTACTTATCAATGTCAGTACAATAAGCGACCACTCTCCTCGAATGCTGGAAAACATAAGAAGTATGCACTTCAAGGGAATAATAAAACTTCGTGCAGCACGCCATCGAAGAGAGGTCTTACAGGTGCACTTTGACAACATACTAAATACATATGACTGCAAAAGGTACAAAAGCACCACATGGCCATGGAGATATGTCACTTGTCGAACAGTTGTTTTCTCAGATAACGGTAGTAGACAAAAGAAGATATGCCAACCAAGATGGCATCCCCGATCAGGAAACTCTCCCCTTCCGGTTGGCTGTCTCCCAACCTCTGATCCGTAAACACCCTTGAAAGTCGAGATCAAATGTACATACAAGCGCCCACAAGTGAGTAGCAATGAGTGTTGGTATCGTCGTGGCATCGTCGGCGATCAACTTAGTGAAGTTGGGCGCAGAGTTAGGGGTTGAGGCCAAATGGGGGAAGAAAGGGGAGGGCGGACATGTGGAGAATGCTGGAGGACGTCAACAAAGAGATGATCGGGACCGAAGCAGTATGGGGAAGGAATAGGGAATGGAAGGGAGAACATGTGGAGGGCGTCGGCAAAAGACTGTGATGATCGAGATTGGAGCGTTCATTAGGAATGTGAAGAAGGAAAGGGCAAGAATGATGCGTGTGGAAGAATTGGCAAAAAACTGTATTGATTGGGTCTGGGGTTGTATGGGGAAGGAAATGCAAAAGAAGAATATGTGGAGCAATCAACAAAAAACTGTAATGATCGGGGCTGGGGCTGTATGGGGAAGGAAATACAAGGCAGGCTATGCGGAGAAATCGACGAACACCTGTAATGGTTGGGAGCGGTGTATCGAGAGGGGAGGAGACAGAAGGAATGAAGCGTGGTGGACGTCAACGAAAAACTGATCAGGACGAAGGCCGCAAGAGAAGGAAAGGCAAAGAAGGATGTGTGATGCCAATGAAAAACTATACCAGTGATCGGGACAGTTAAATCGGAATGGGGTGTATTGGAACTCACATGTACATGAGAGTATTGTTATATCGAACAGTCAATCTCGTTCAAAAACTCGCGGACTGTTGTCCTAAAAAGACCACTGATCTGAATATGAGATTGACACGTGCATATTAGGGTTGTTGACTGGGTCGTATTGCCGCCGGTTAGCAAGGAGGTACTTAATTCGTGGAAGGACCAGCGAGTTGAAACAGTAAATGGCTGCCATGAGTGAAGTGCTTCTGAATTGTTGAGTGTTCAAGGGTCAGGGTCCGAGCCTCCGAGGTGAGACTTGACGACACAAAGTTGCATGGAATAAGAACCTACCATCGGTGCAAGACCAATCTGCATGTTATGTAAAACGCGCTCAGAGACTGAGCCTCTGGGTGTCACTTCAGAATGGTAAAGCGAGTTTCCTCGAAGCTCGCTACTATCCCGAGGGAAAACTCAAACTGACCGACCTGTGGTCGCTGCCTCAAGAAATCTCGTGGCCATTATAGAGTGCGAATCGAATAGGCATTCCGCGCCGCAGGTAACACATGCCGAATCTGATTGAGGAGGTGCCCACCGAGATCCGAGATCGACCACCTAGGGCTTTTGTTGGCCACAACCAGCGTTTTGTACCCTTAGTACTATGAGCCTGGGAGGCAGATGTAGCTTAGCATGAGAGTATGTGAGGTCCAGGGCTAGTAAGTATATGCCGGCGGTTGAAGCTTGAAGTCGTCTGCCAGTTGGTCGTATGCTAGCTTCGTTGAAGATTCTTTCGCAGTGACTTGTGTAAATTTGACCAGCCAAGCTTGTAGCTTGAGTCTATTTAGACGCTGTCGGCTGCGGCACTTTAAATTTGACGATGTACTTTTATGGGTAGTGTGGTGCTGTGCATCATGCTGCACTGGCTCTAAGTGTCTGTACTTGCCAGCTTCTACCTTCGACTTCCACGTCCTTTTCAGGCGTGTCATCCAGTAGCACGATATGCTCGACGCTCAGGAAAACTCAACATTAACGTCCGACTTTGATTCCCTTCACATATCTCTTGATTCACGCCCTCCTCCTGGCTTACAGACTCCCGCCATCCCATCCATCACTGAAGCCCAGAATCCATGGTCAGAGGAGCAGCTGAAGCTCGATTTGAAGCCAGCACATACCCCAGATCCAACAGCGATTAACGCCGCTTCACCATCTGTTTTCGCTGCACCTGCAGACTTAATCAACAACGCTCTCGATCACCAAGTGCGTGTTAGCAAGGATGTTCTGACTCAGTTTGATCCTTTTACAAACGAGGACGAGCTGAGTGCGCACCAGGCCTGGGCCAGCTCAGAAGGGCATCCACCACCTCCCCGAATTCCATCGCGGCCGAGTAGTCGAGCACACTCTAGGTCTGCCTCGAAGGACATTCAACGTGATGGGCCTTCTTCCAGATCTGGTTCACCCTCTCCACAACCATCGACTTCTTCCGCCTCATCTGCCTTCCCATCACTCGCTGCAATAGCTAGGACCTTCTCCATCCCTAGCGTGGCGACTAGAGCGCGCCCTCGGCCCTTGTCAATGGATGCGGCCAAACCCATTGCCACCCCCTCGCCTACAACCGTGTCCTCATTTGCACAGCAACAGTCTCAGTCTACTGCGCCATCACCGCTTTCCAAGCAGATTCCTCTTCCGTCTGATTATGCTGCCTCGAAGACACAAAGCGCACCGGACACCCGGTCCGCGACTCCAGCTATTACATCGCCATCTGGATCAGAGTCTCCACGCAAGGATAAGGACCCTTCTTTCAACTTCCAGAAGTTCCTCGACCAGATGAAGTCTAGGGGTGCCGAACCACTTGGCAAATACGTGCGATCGTGCGTCTGGTGACATTGTGTTCGTTATATGAGCTCACTTCGCCGTCCTTCACTCTGCAGGTTTCTCAGCAACTTCACGAAACGGACGTTTACCGTCAACGACCAGATCAAGATAATCAATGATTTCCTGGGCGTACGTGTCTTTCATTCTATTCAAAATCAAGACATTCAAGTTCATCAGTTCATTGCCACGAAAATGCGGGAAACGGACATTTGGAGAAATGCAACGGAGGAAGAATTTGACAACGCAATGGAAGGAATGGAGAAGCTAGTGATGAACCGGCTTTATGAATACACGTACACGCCTTGTCTTCCTCTCCTCACTCCACCCCGACCAGTCACAGCCGATGACCTCGAACGCGATCGTGTGTTGTCTCAACGAATTGCGTTGTTTAGCTGGGTACGACCCCGACATCTTGATATACCCGAACTCGAATCCGACGATAACGATGGAAACACTGGATTTTTAGAATTTGCTCAACAGGGTATGTAGTATTCGTCCTCCTTGCTAGTCAGTCAAATTCTAAATGACGGCAGAACTTTGCAAAGTGAATCACTACAAGGCTCCACGGGATAAACTCATCTGCATTCTGAACTGCTGCAAGATCATCTTTGGTTCGCGCTTTTCACTTCCTATCTCAGTAGCATGTTCACATTCTCGGATGTCACCCAGGTTTGATACGACATTTACGCAAGGACGAAGGTGCAGACTCTTTTGTGCCGATATTGATTTACGTGGTCTTGAGAGCGAACCCTGAGCATTTACTTTCGAACGTTGAGTGTGTACAGGTTTTTTCACCGTGCAGGCCCAACGAAGTTAACAAAATTTCCTAAAGGTTTATAAATCGCTTTCGAAATCCCGCGAAGCTACAGAGCGAGGCGGGTTACTATCTTTCAAGCCTCGTCAGTCTATGACTGCTTTGTCGGTTACTCGTGCTAATGTTTACTTCTCAGATGGGTGCTGTACAATTCAGTTGAAAGTATGGATCATACCTCGCTCTCTAGTATATCACAGGCAGAATTTGAAAGGTTTTTATAATCTGCATTCAATTCGTGATTCGTGCTCATTCCTCTTGACAGAAATGTAGAGGCAGCAATCCAAACACTCCCTCCGTCACTTCCTTCTTCACCAACCATAGCCCAAGGCTCACAAACCCCGAATCAACTTCCACGTCAATCTCCACACGCAGGAGAAGAATCTGCACAACCGCTCGCTCTCGCCGTCCCATCATCAGCCCAGAATCTCACAATTGGCGAGGATGCTCGAAAGTTATTGCAGAAAACCGGGGATGTGGTCTCAAAACCTCTCGGTGCCATCAGTCGTATATTCAGCGAGGCACTAGATGAAAAGATGGGCTACCTTCCAGGACCGTTTGCGCCCTTTGAGCTTGGTAGAGAAGAGCGGGAGAGACACTGGTCACACCCTGACCAGGTTGCTCAGTTTGCTGGTGGTACTCCGCACACACCGACAGGCAGTGAGGGACTTCAGGCGCCCATGCAAACACCTTACAAGCCCCGCGTCCGTCGTACGTCGCCTGTTCCAACTCCACCCACGCACATGGGGTACTCTTACGGAGCCGACGAAACCCCAAGTAGACCTGGCTCTAGAGGGCCATATGTACACCAAGCACTTGCGCTTGGTCCTGCTCAACCATTACCTCCCCCCAACGCTATTCCACAGCACCTTCAACCACCTTCTGTAGGTCAACATATATCTCGTACGCCCACTCCCTCGCTGGACCTTACTGCTGTCGAAGCAGAAATCGACCGAGCGCATGCACAGGCGAGCGCTGCTGCTCGTGCGACTCTAGCCCAGATTTTCCCAGGAGTGGACCCAGAGGTACGCGACTGGGTACTGGAGGCCAACGGAGGGGATTTGGGCAAGAGCATAGAAGGGCTCTTGGATATGGCTGGAGGATCATGAACAGCCTCAGAAGACGAGTCCGTGGTGAGCGGGGGCTTTGATGCTGACAAGTCGTCACCAAAGCTCCCGAACTAGGAACTTGACGAGAGGGTTGTGACTTGCGATTGGATCATACGGCGCGGGAAAACATATATCAAGAGCGTTTCCCCGCAATTAGTGATCTCACCGTGCGAGATCAATATTTCGCTTCGACATGATACGGGTGTTATACTCCGGCTGTCAGGTCAAAGTGAGAATTCTGGGCCAACACAGCTGACACTACTACGACGGTACATCTGTCATCCATGTTCGTTCACTTTCTTGAAGGAGAGGCTTGGGTGTTTTGATGCGTGCTTGTATATGCGATTTATCTTATTTCCAATGATAATTTTTTTTCTTTCATCCTGTAATCCCATTCGCATTTGTCTTCCTTTCCTTTCCGTGGCTAGACTAGGGAACTGGCTGTCGACAGCTGTTCTTCATAGCTGAGACACAGTGCAATATCTCCACATATTCGAACAGTCTCACGGCGTAAGTCAGACCTTGTAGACACTTCAACAAAACCTGTCGAGGTTGCCGTGTTTCAGTGCTGGTGAGTAGTATACGAGGTTTATTTCATCCGTCGAAGATCTGACATCAGTATGACATAGGCACCTGGCATGGTGACAGTTGGCAGGTTGTTGTCGGGTACGGAGCTCCATTCCGTCCCTCGAGCCTGTACCAAGGGTACGGAGGCGCTGCTCGAAGCCAAGCCATGGGCCATGGCTCGCCAAAAGACTGTTGCCAGACAGCAGTGACCATGATACGCGTCAAGTGAAGCAGACTTGGCATCTTCAGGTCCCCTCTTGGTCTCGACATATTATCCGGGTTCTGTGCGTGTTTTCTAATACGTTCTTTGCTTATTTGACGTGTATTCGATATTCACATCGGTATCCAAGTTTTGTGCGCGCTTTTGAATACCGCGGTCGGCTCATCGATCATTCCTTATGTGAACCATCAATATCCCCTTCCACCTACTCGAGCATGGTATTCCAAGAGAACTAGAAGTATGAGTATGGCAGTGTCTCCCCTTTGCATCGAAAATAAACAAAGCCTACAGGCTGCAGTTATCCGGCTATGCCAACAACAAGTATATTGAGTGTCCGGTTTTTCTCAACATCAAATCTGCAACGACACGCCAAGGCTACTGATTTGTAACTGTGGTTCCACGAAATCCCTCACACGATCTCTTTCCGGTATTTTACAATTCAAAGTAAGTCTGATCCGGGGTTATAACTTACAGGCACAGGAACCTACGATTGGCTTTTTCTGTCCAGGTGTATCCTCAGCAGAGCACCCCAGAATGCTTGTTCTCGCTGCGCATCCGTCCAGTGGTCTCGTAGTAATACGAAGCAGTTCAGTGGGGGTGGGGGTTTTGATTTCCAATACATCTGAAATTTCATCACCTGTGAAAGCTGGGGAACATAATCCCCATCGAAAAATTGGATGAGTCGGCATCTCGATCACACGACACGCCCTGACACGCCTGTACATGCCAATATTAATGTCTGAGTCATCTCTTGAGCTGTCGCACTCGAGGGCAAATCAGCTGATTTTAGTACCTACTGGCTAGCGGTAGCCTAGTAGGATCTCCATATCGATCTATATATATCAGTGCATCGAACTGCAGCCTACCTGAGGCACGTCGTTTTTAAATCTACAGGACTCGGATGAGCTTGGCCACAACAAAGGTCAACAATTTTTCCTAAAAAGATCATGTAGATCACACACAAACGCGACACGCCCGCCGCGGGCTGGGTGGATTCTGTGAACTTGGGACTCAACAGCTTGGAGAATGTGCTACTATCTTTACTCATCAGTGGGGTAAATGATTGTAACCGTTGTCATTAGCTTGGATCGGTGCACATGATCGCGCTGAAACAACCATCGTGATTGGTCCAATAACGGATATGAACCGCGGCAACGCGCTTAGATCAGTGATCACTCTCGACTTACCGAATTGGACAACTCGATATGTTCCTGGAGTCCAGTCTGACAGAACCTTCAAAGAACCAGGGGTGACCAAGAGAGACCGGGTGGTGACCGTGGGGTGAAGTCGCTTGCAGGTCTGTCATCACCGAGAAAACATGCGCACTCGATGCTTATATAGGTTGCATCTCCGTTAATTTCAAAGCTGAGGTCCCTTTCCTACTGCCACCCCATCCACCCATCGACTGAAGACATCTCTACCACATACCATGACGTTGTCTTCTCCATCACCCAGCATCTCCGAGAAAGATGATGTGGTCCATGTCGAGGATGGAAAGGCTGCTGCCGAAGGCGGGCTCTACAACCCTCATATCGACGTTTCGGGTATCGACGAACGCGCTTTAATGCGAAAAGTTGACATGCGGACTATACCATGGTTATCTTTTCTGTATTTACTTTGCTTCCTCGACAGAACGAGTATTGGAAATGCAAAGGTGAGCACGCATCCACTGGAGCATCACTCTCACGAGATCTAATCTCTTCGTAGCTTTACAACATGGAGGCGGAATTAGGAATAACTGACACTCAGTATTTGATATGCCTGACGATTTTCTTTATATCCTACGCATTATTCGAGGTGAGCGTGATCTTGAGATCAATGGACGCTAGTTGACCTTGTACCAGGTGCCCTCAAACGTCGTCTTGAAACGTCTAAAACCCTCCGTATGGCTTTCGATGCTCATGGTTCTCTGGGGTATCATGATGGTGTGTATTCCGACACTATTCTCTGGATCAAGTCGCACTAACCCTGTGTCCTCTACAGACTGTGCAAGGCCTAGTGCACAACTACAGCGGTCTACTAGGTTGGTACATCGCCTAGTGATTTTCGGATACCACTGAATTCTTTCCTCAAAAAAGTAATGAGATGGATGCTTGGCGCCTTCGAGGCTGGGCTTTTCCCCGGAGTCACCTACTATCTCTCATGGTACGTGCGACTAGCTCTTCTGTGTGCGAAAGCGTTATCTGATCTGTATCATGATGTTTGTGCAGCTGGTATAAGCGTTCGGAATTTGGTATCCGCGCTGCTATATTCTTCTCGGCTGCGACCATTTCTGGAGCATTTGGTGGCCTTCTCGCTGTATGTGCCAATTACAACTAGCGATTCTTCTAATTTAATTTTTTTGTGCCATGCAGGTCGGCATAGCCAAGATGAATGGGCTCGGTGGAAAGCCTGCCTGGGCGTGGATATTTATCATCGAGGGCCTTGTTACCGTCGTGGCAGGTGCTGTCTCTTACTGGATTATCGTCGACTTCCCGGACAACGCAACGTTCCTTACCGAGGCCGAGCGGACTGTCGTTATTCGCCGCCTGCAGGGTGACGCCCAGTTTAGTGCTGCTGGAGAGAAGATGCAGTGGCGACACATCAAAAAGGCACTGACCGAATGGAAAACTTACCTTGCCAGTAAGTCCACCTAATCCGCGACTTACGTTCGCTAACAAGCTGTCTTAGTGATCGTCTACGCCGGAATTGACATGCCTTTGTATGCATTCGCGTTGTTCTTGCCGAGTATCATTAACCACGTGAGTCCATGGTCTTACGTTCCGTCTTTATGACTCGCACTTACTAACTCTCGTGAAACAGCTCGGTATGCTCTCATACTCTAAGATGTGACATTCATTTCACCGATTGATTGTCCCCAGGATACTCTGCAACTAAAGCGAATCTACTAACCGTCCCTGTTTATGCGCTTGCTTGCATATCTACTTGCCTCGTCGGCTTCCTCGCCGACCGGTACGGCAACCGTGGGATGTTTAACTTGTGGGTTTACCATTCGCTACACTGCGGCTCCATTGCTTACCACCATGTTTTTTGTTCTTAGCATTCTGCTTTCCATCGGTAAGTTTGCATGGTGCGCCCTCGTGGTAACAACGTCGCTCACGCTATCTGGGATGTTTATAGCCGCTGTTGGATACATCATCTTGATCGTCTCCCGCGACGCCGCATTATCATACTTTGCGGTATTCTTATCTGCTTGGTAAGCTAGTTCTACTATGAAATTGATATATGCCTGATGAAGTACAATGTAGCGGCATTTACCCTTGCATTCGTGAGTGGCGCTCTTTCTATGGTATCTCTAGCATTAATGTCGATCACTTCTGATTCCGCAGCAAATACGGTGTAAGTGTGATCCATTAACGACTTGTTCCCTTCTGACCGATCGGAAACAGTGCCTGGATGTCTAACAATTCAGAGGGAACATACAAGCGTAGTGTCGCTCTTGCGATGGTCATCAGCTGGTGAGTTATTTTTTGGGTGCGCGTGATCCACGACTGACACAGACTCAGGGGTAACTTGCAAGGCGCTGTTAGTTCCAACGTCTATCGTGCAAACCAGACACCTTGGTACCCATTAGGCCACGAACTTGTGCTGATGTACATCGGAACTGGTCTCATCGCTACGGCCACATTCAGGTTCCTCTTAAAGCGGGAGAACGCTCGTCGGGACCGCGGAGAGCGAGACGAAATCATCGAGGGACACGAGGGAGGCTTTGAAGTCAACGGTCGTTTCGCAAGTGTTGACGATGCCAGGAGGGAAAAGGGAGACGAATGGAGTGGGTACAGATACACTCTATGAAAACTGCGGTACGGTGTGAACGGTGTGGTTTTTTTTCCCTTTCCTCAATGTAACTTACGATGTGATTTACGACTGGATGTAACAATACATTAATGTCTGACGATTTGTGGCTTTAGTATGTTTCATCATTTTAATGACTACCAATTGGGTTTTGCGCTTGGCCTTCCAGAATCCAATGGCATTACCCCGGTTATCGATACAAAGTATCTTGCAGGAAAGGCTAGAATCAATATCATGGCTGGTACCACATAGTTTGACATAGTACGGATTGATACTATCCCTAATCGGCAGGCAGTCACGCAAATGTCACACAGGGTTTCAAAGTTAGCGACTAGCTTGGATAAGCGAAGCGCGTCTAGCTGCTGCATTCACCGGTCTTCTAGGATAAGGGTCCGTTAGCTAGGACAAGAGAAACAGCAGTAGTGCGAAAATTCTCGTTGGAGTTGCGGCCGCTACTCCAACTGCGCCCTCGGAGTTAATACCACCGCCAAGCCGCCTATATACACGGTGCACCTAGTATATGTACAGATTCCGTCGCACGACTGCACCACGTCCGATGTGACCGGCCAGTAGTACATCCAGTAATCATGACCGCATCGGTAGCGTTTATGGTTTGGGAGGGCTAGTGGTGTAGGAAGCATCACTGAGACCCCCACTAGCAAGTCTCGTGGCCACTCACTCACCGAGAAAGTACCCTTTTCGGCCGTTTCCGGACGTAAAGTTTTCAAATTTCAAAGTGAGCAACTGACGACTTCAGCACTTTCAACGTTAACTATCTCATTCAGTTCTGCTTCAATTTTGGTTTGGTGTAACTCAGCTGGATGGTGTTTGTATACGCTACATAGTCTTGGACTCTTGGTCTACATTCTACCTTGGGTAATAAGTCTGTTCAAGTCCACATCATCACGATGCGGACTTGAACAGACTTATTTCTCTGTATTTTTGTCATGTCTTTTGCGCCCTAGCTATCATTCATTCTAACGATTTATCGAGCTGATAGGCTTCACTACAGAGAAGGTCCCAGTCACCGAGTCGTCTCTCCACGGGTAAACTCACAAAGAGGGCATCTGATGCCTCATCTACGCGGTCACACTCAGGCTAGTCATCTAAGTCTATGATAGACTTGGATGACTTGACTCTCTCGGAGATGAACGACGTAATGGTTGCGTCGTCCATATCCGAGTGAGTCAAGTCACTCAAAAGGCTGTCGCAAAGGGGTTCCAAGGCTCTGGCCCATCCCTTGAAGAAGGTCAAGCAATCATTTGCGTCCCGATTTGCTCAATAGAGACCCACAGACACTAATGATCTCACATGATCAAGTATCGATTTGCTGACCAGTGACGACGACAAATAAACAAAAAGTACATTCCATCCTGATCCCGATCTTGCTGCAGGTTTCGGTGTGTCTTTTCATTGATTTTTTTATTGTCGTTAATACAGCCTCTTTGGTAATGTACCCGCGGCATTTTCATTTTCCAATATCTACGGTTGAATTTAACCGTATCCGTGGAGGGTACGTTGTTGGCAGGTCAGGTGCGGTGTCGACTTTCCGACTCGTGCGGAACCTTAGAACTTCCACAAATCGCTTTGTGTCGTCACCAACGCCGGAAGCTCATCGTAAGCATCAAACTTCTTTCTGGCAAGCGAAAATCATTGATCTTTCCTGATGAAGTCTGTAGGGTACCGGTTGCCAATGCGCCGGAAGGGATAGCATGATAATAGTTTAAAAGTCCACAAGCTAGTCACGGCAGGCCATAAATACAGTCTACGTCCATGTCAAGGTAGTCCACTTCATCTCCTCTTTGAACTTGCAAGGCTGACTAGCGGAATGGACACCTCAAATTCTCCTCGCACAACAAGCGAAACCACGCCTCTGGTCTCAGCAGGGACCTCGAAAAAGCCTAAAACACCTCTTCCAAAACTTCAGATAGGCATACTTATGACATTGCGACTTGTCGAACCTATCGCTTCGATGTCCATATTTCCGTACATCAATCAGGTACGATGATTTGACAATGGGCGCATCAAATTGTTTTTCATCCATTCTTCATATCTTTATTTTCAGCTTATCAGAGAACTTGGCATCACTGGAGGTGATGATGCGGCTGTAGGCTATTATGCTGGAATAACTGTAGGCACCGAGATTATGAGTTGCCAGAATCATAATTTTCTCATACCACCGGATACGATTGCACAGGAGTCTTTGTTTTTCGTCGCACAGACACTGACAGTACTGAGATGGAGTCGGTTGTCTGACCGTATTGGGCGCAAGCCAGTGTTACTAGTGGGGCTATCAGGAACTTGCATGTCAATGCTGTGTTTCGGTCTCTCGACGACGTTCTGGGGCCTTGTCGTTAGGTATGATTTCAGCTAAAAAGATGGAATACAATCCTTACGTTATTTTTAGCCGCTGCATGTGCGGTGTACTGAACGGCAATGTTTCAGTCCTTGAAGACTATGCTGGGCGAATTGACAGACTTCTACGAATATGGCTCAGGGATTTGCCTTGCTTCCAGATAATGTGGTGCATTGGAGGCTTTATTGGGCGAGTAAAATCATTGACTACTTGAATGGTCAGAATTAAATCTGCATACTACCAGCCCCTTAATAGGTGGTATGCTTGCGCGTCCACAAGATAACTGGCCCGAATTATTCGCGCATCCATTTTGGAGCAAATACCCATATTTTCTACCTTGTGCAGTGTCTGCTTGTATGTTTGTACTGGGCTTTCTCGTCGTGTTATTTTTCTTAGAAGAAGTGAGTTTTACATACTACCTGTCATCGTACAATGTTACTCACGATCGACAGACATTATCGACCAAGCGTCGACCAAAGTTGACAACAACTACTCTAGGCATTTCAAACGATACCAACAGTGATGATCGAGGTGGTCTTTCACAGATATCTAACATGCCCATGCGATCTCTGCTCACACCTACCATTGTCATTCCAATTGCAAACTACGCCATGCTCGCCTTGCTTGATATTGCTCTCATGGCTATTTTGCCACTGTTCCTTTCTACGCCTACATACCTTGGCGGCCTTGGCTTCACTCCTTCTCGTATTGGCTTGTGGATGGGAATATATGCAATGGCAAACGGTATCTTCCAGGCACTGTTCTTCGCCAAAATTGTCGATTGGGTTGGTCCAAAGCGTTTCTTCTGTGGCGCCGTGTCGTGCTTCGCGCCAATCATACTCATGTTTCCGATCATGTCGTGGCTTGTACATGCAAGGGGGATGGTTGATCATGCAATCACACCTACATTAATCAGCCAACTAGCGCTTACGATGATATGGGATATGGCATACGGTGCGTGTTACGACGAAACCCATCCTGTCATTGAAACTAAAACCCAGTTCATTATAGGGACTGTATTCATGTTTATCACGGCCTCTGCCCCCACAAAGAATGTCCTTGGCACTGTCAATGGTCTTGGTCAAACCTCCGCGTCCATGGCTCGTGTCGTTGGGCCTGCATTTGCAACTTCGCTTTTTGCATTCTCAAAGGAACACAATATTCTTAACGGGAATGCAGTCTATGTTGTCTTCATCGTGCTGGCTGGTGTACTGAGGTGGCTAGGGTCACAAGTTGCCAGATAAAATACAAGATAGGGATGAGTGATTCACAAGGCAATCAGCGGAAAATGTGTATGCATCGCTGTCCATAGTGTCCTCCACCCTAGGGAATTACTTCATTCCAGTGCAACGTTTAGTATAACTGCATGGGTTTCAATCTTGATACAACTGGCGTCTTTGCCGCTATATATCCGATCATTTCTAATTGTGATTATAGTATAGATACCTGATCACCGGACTAGATGTCCACCCAAGAATTTGTCCTGAGTCTTCGTCCTCAGTGGTCTGTCCGCAAACAAGACACGCACAAGTTTCAAATTTCAGGTTCCAAGCTTATGATCCTTTGTTCCTTTTGGGCGGCCGCGGCGTTTAGGTGCCTCCGACGTGACGATATGGGCACTTGAAATGTACATACAGGGGTTCACGAGAAAAAAAATATCTCAGGAAGGAGTTTCGAAAGGAACGTTCATCAAATATTATGTAAGTGGTACATGATGCATAGAAGGCCCCCTCTACTTATCCACTAGACATATTATTCTGTTGCAATACAATTTAATTGGCTGATGAAAATATCTAGCATCGTTGCGGCACCCAGCACAAGCTTGTCGAGTGCATCACGCCACATATCTCGGCAGGTGATACTTCTGCATGACTTCAGCACCTTCAACTATCTCACTCAATTCTGCCTCAATCATGGTCGTTCAACCTCGCAATGAGTTGTATTAGAGGGGTGGTGATATATAGGTCAAGAATGCAGTGTTTGAGTGACTAGGAATACGAGTTTTGCGAAAGTGCCGACCTCTGTGGGTACCGATTACACAGTAATGGATGCTAGTAGTATACCGAGTGCCACAGTGGATGGTGGGAGCCTCGTGATCAGCTGTTCAATGAATAGAAGTTAGTTGCCCCTGACAAGCAAACCGAATAGAAAGAAGGAAATCGTTCCTACCTATCGACGCCCATCCTACTGAACAAAACCGACGGATTCATGCTCCAATAATGTGCCAGTAAGCTGGGCATGCTGTGCATAAATCTCAAGCATATCTGGTTGGTCCGATTCGGAGATGTGACCAATATGAATCATAGCCTATCGATATCTGACAACGCATGAAACAATTTTGAAGACTTACATACACAAAACCTCGACTCGGAAGCGGTCGAGCCTCGGGAAGACTTCCATCGTTCGAGAAGCTGCTGAAATACGATCAGAAAGCTCGGATTTACCCACGACGCTCGCAGTTATTATAGTCTGACGCCCAGATGCCATCACCTGCCAAGCTGCGACGAGACCGAGATTCGGCTGTCCGAAGACCCCGGTCATGTGAAGCGCGGATGTATGTCGGCATGAACCACGAGGTCTGAAGTGGCACTGCACGGCGTATACTACTTTGTGGTTATGCAATACTGCCGGAAAGTATATCACGGAATGTTGTTGCGAGGATCTTCGTTTTTGGCTTGTTCTTTGTACGAAATTGACCATGAGCAGTCCATCAGAATGCCATAGCCACTTTCGATACTTCATTTCGGTGTGCTGAAAGTATAATAGCATGGAGCTATTCACAAAAAGGATAGTGATACCATAACTGAAGTCTGAGCGCAATCAGAAAAGAACGTTCATTGCGGCGGATTGGAACATTCCGATAAGCCAAGACAAGTTTTGTCAGCAGCACATAGTTACCGTCAAAATCCGCACCTGCCCTAAACTCCTTGTACATGAAATCACGAACCTATAATTAAAGCCCGGAAAAAAAATCAATGCGTGTTTTAACGCGTCTTCTTCAAGTTGGCGATCATCATCCTCCGTACATACCCTCCCTCCCTCAAAATTTTTATCTCTACTTGTTTTATTATCAAAAATGGGTCGCCCTCTTTACTCTAAAGCTTTCCAGACGGAACCTATCATCAGACAGCCAGAGGCTCCTTGTCCATATGAAAAGTGGTCACATATCAACGCTTTCGATCCAGACTCTGACGAGTTCTTCGAAAGCGACCAGGCAGTTTACGAGGACTTCGTTGACCACATGCCTGTAGAACACTCGGAAGATGAAGAAGAGATGGAGGAGGACAGAGAAGCCGTAGTTATCAGACTAGACCTCACCGGTGAGGGCAGTCTTCTCGACCGTGACAGCCCAATGGCTGTTGGCGGTGATAGCCTAGCCCAGTACATTGGTCAGGCCTACCGAAGGCAGACGATAGACTCGGAAGCTCCCGTCCGAGTTCGTCTCGCGGCCCATGCTATCCCTGGTGAAGTCCAGAGTGATGCGCCAGTGTCGCATGAATCAGTAGAGATCGACTCTTCGCGGGATGTGATGGCATCATTAGATCCACCTCCGCAGCCAATATTTGCCACGCAGCCACACAATGTCTTTAATCACCGTCATCATGAACCTCGAGATGAACTCCCTCTTCCGACCCCCAGTACGCCCATCCCTGTTCCCGGCACAAACTCCTCTTCATCCGGTGAAGGGCTATCTCTCTCCTCGTTCTATCACCACCATATATCATCAACACCGCCACGACGTCACACATCCTTTTCTCGGTTTTCCCCGTCACCGCCTCCCACAGTCTCACCTCGTATTTACACCTGGGCGCCTCGTCGCCAGACATATTCGCCAGCCGCCACAAGTCCTCTTCCTAACAATAATGCACGCATGTCTCATACTCATATATCCCCCGCACTCGTCCGTGTCCGTGACGTCATGGCTTAACTTGTAAATCATCGCATCATCGCAATCTTTTGTTACATAACGTCTTCCTTTCCTTCATTTTGACTAGGGTTATCGAAGCGTTCCAGCATGCACCATTCACCTGATCTTTATCCTGCTTCATACACTCAGCTAATCCATTACTTATTGCACTATTACAATGGCCGTAAATGACCCACCTCGTTTACTGTACTATACTGTGCTTTTATAGACGTTGTTTAGCGGAAGTATAGGTTAGACTTGGTGCTCTGAATTCATCCGCTTTCAGCATTGTTCATCCCTTATTGTGAAAATTGCGATCAGAACGTTTGTGTGAATTCGACTACTACAGCACATAGTGGAATCAGCCCCATCTCGCATCCCATTGTCCAATACTCTCTGCAAACACAAAGTTCCCATTTTGACCCGGGCCAAGGATGAAACAGCCGGTGTCCTCCGCGTTGTTTTCCGGTACTCGGAGAGGTGGATCTCGGGCCGTATCAAAAGAAGTATCAGGGATGGCGCCAACAGGCGATGTGCAACAACCTTGTCTCGTTATTGCAACGAATGCGTGGTTATCGGTAGTAGATGCCAAATATGACCTACACAGCAAATCATCAATTCTCTTAACACCATTGAGCCTCAAAATGTCTAACGTCACCGTGTCCAGAGCGTCTTTTACGAACGATTGGTGAAGGAAAGCCGCCCATGTTATCCGTGTCACGTCACCGATATATGAAGGAGTGGGAACTTCGTAGACAGCAACGTAAGGATTGACACGGTCATTTGCTTTCAGTCTACCGTTCGTTTGTTGAGGACAAGTTTGGAGAAAGTGACGCTTAGACACGAACCTTTGAGCTCCTATGCAAGCCATGCCCACCCATTCAAAAAGGTCGCCGATACGTTCATCCCAATCCTCTGTGCTTTCCTCGGGAATGGGAGCAAGTGCCGGGATTGGGATAAGTATATCGGCCGAAGGACAGATTTGAGGCTGAGCAATCACCACCTCGTGCGAGTCGGAGGTTCCTAGCTGGACGTCTTAAAGGAACACCGAAATGCGTTGGTCTGAATATACACAATCTCCGCTCTACACACGCACCTGATTGACAATAAAGAACATTCCATTTCCCAAGACCGTCTTCTCTAAGCTCGTCCCAGAGTTTCAAGGCTGCCTTCTGCTTCGCACGTACAGCGACAGATTCGGTCTCTTGCCTAACCGGTATGCGTATCACTGCACTAGGTCTCCATCACTTCTTTTTCGTGCATGGACTGGAATCCTGAGTGACATACCGTACTGCTCGGGGCACCCTTTGAAGGGGAGTTTCTTCCCGATCAAGCCGAGTTGCTCGTACAGTGATTTTGAGACGCAGAGGGTGAGGACGCCTCTAGGATCGATGCACCATGTATCAGCGCACTCGGAGGTAGATGGCAGTGCAGTGATATTCCTGTTTGACACATGATAGGATCGTATCAGTGTTTCTTCAAGGCACAATTCTGAATTTCTTTACCTGCTCGGACTGTTGGAGGCAAACTCAAAAAAATCTGATAGCGTACAACGTTTTTTATAGTATGTGGGCTTCAAGGATGTAAGCGCCTTCTCGAGTTCATCGGAAGCAGGAAACACGATGTCTAGCTGAGGAAGCAAAGGTGTTCAGCGTTTCGCTTCAAAAAAGTACACAACGATACTATACCTGCTGAGTGAAAGGGTGTACCGCCGAAAATTGATTGAGTTGAGTGGATGGCAAAGTGCCGTTCGTTAGCATCACTCTCGAATGCGCCCGGGCCATCGTCACGGTGGTTGGCGATCGCGGAAGGTACTGGTAGTTGGAGGTGAAGGAGATATGTGGCTCGGCAATTTCTAGAGGATCGGACAGTAGCTAGTCTGACTCTGGATGCGCTTCAGCATTTAATAATCTTGCCACACCCGCATCTATTTGTGAGCTATCTTATTATACGTTTGAGGTCACCAACTACGATATTGTCGATCAACCTCGTTTTCCCAACCCATAGCGCACCGCTCAGAATCACAGGTATATCTCCTGCCAACTGATAGTTCGAAGACGCATCCAAGACGTCGAATGTCTCCGAATCATTCATCTCTATATAATCCAGCCGCATATCCACTCCGTCTATGGCAGCCTGTGCTTTTACTTCGTCGATGACAGAGACAGCTTTTGAAATGCATCGGTCCTTGGATTCGCCGTTCGACCACGCGGACTTGGCGTATTGTAGGGCCTTGTAAATCGCAGGTGCAAATTTCCGCTCATTGGCAGAGAGATATGCGTTTCTGGACGATAGAGCAAGCCCATCGTTCGGGTCACGGGTCGTGGGGACAATATGGACGTGGTCAGCTTCGGGGTGTGGGAAAAGCAGGTCCTTGCAGAGTCTCCGAAGAAGTAAGGCTTGCTGAATATCTTTCTGACCGAAATACGCATTTGTAGGCTACAGTCGTCGTCAAATTAAGCTGCGTCTTGCGGAGAGGCCCTCTCACCTGGACCACGTTGAATAGCTTGGTTACAATCGTCACCACGCCCCGGAAAAATGTCGGCCTGCTTGCGCCTTCCATCTGATGTCCGTATCCCTTCATCTCGACGAACGCTCCCTTTTGTGTCGAAACATCTTGGCTTATACCAGATGGATACATGTCCTGGACCGAGGGTAGAAATATGGCAGAGGCTTTCCTCACAGTCTCGCCCACAGTAACCTGCTGTGCTGTAAGGAGCTCCAGGTCTCCTGGTAAAGTGCGAGGGTACGTGGCTAGGTCTTCATGCGGGGCGAACTGGGCTGGGTTCACAAAGATGGAAAGAACTGTCAGCTCATTTTCGGCCAGTGACCTCTGAACTGAATCGCATGGTTTGAGATTAGTAAGGAGATATTTTTAGACTTCAAAAAAGAAGTGTGTGGGATGTGCTCACCAAGAGACAGATGTCCGTCGTGAAGAGCTCCCATGGTCGGCACGAAGCCCACAGATTTCCCCTCATCGAAGGCTCTTTGTCGCCATTGTCTGTACGATGCGACCGATGTTAGAAGAGGGATGGGTGATGGCGGAAGGATGGAGATTGACGTTGACATTGATCGATGAAGTGCCTTGGTGACAGAGCGCCAGATGTACATACTCAGTACTCAGTACTCGAGGCCAGATGATGCGACTCTGGCAGCACAAACGCGCGAATGACGACGCGGTTAAAATGTGGGTTGAAGTGTGAAAATATATCACAATATCACGCAGAGAAGTTTGCCAACAATTACACGTTTTACTCTCATTATGTCTACATTTTCCCCAAGAAATCTCGAATATTTCCACCGGTGTGATACATCCAGCTGTATTCAAAATATTGCATATACTGCGCTGGCTTCGTGCTCGAGCTCGTCCAGTCTGTGATCATCGTACAAAACAAACAACTGAATTTTCAGGCCATCTTATCTAGCCGAATTTGATTGCACGTGATCACTAATAAATACCTTGAAAATAAATACAGTCACATGTCGACGGTCGTTTCTACTGCTCGTGTTTCCACTCAAGAAGGGTCATTATCTTCTTCTCTCCTCTAGCTATTTTCCCGTTGTCGAACAGCCCTCTGTTCACAAACCCGTTCTTCTCAAAAACTCGGTTACTACCAATATTCCCAGCAAAAGTGTGCGCTACAACATGGCGAACTCCCATCCTAGGGATCCCCCAAGCGGTCATCAATAGACCGATTGCTGCAGTCATGATGCCCCTTCCGTGGTGGCTCGCAGCGAGCCAGTCTATCTCAAACGAAAACATCATAAACTCGTCAGCACTGAGACAACCGCCATAGGTCCAGAGAACCAACGTACCTCCAATGGCATACACAATCGTCGGATCTCCTGCTTGCTTTTTCGCATTATCTTCCTGCATTTGCTTCCGTTCCACTTCATCTAGTACCTCCTCGAATGGACTTCTTCTGAAATTCACGTCTCCTAGAAGATCATCCGTCCCGTCCTCTTTGACTTCCCTAATATGCCGCACAGGGCATGCATCCACGAACTGAAGCGGGCCATCAGGGAATTCCTCCGCACTCTTTCGTAGATATTCCAAAGTAACATCTGATTCCTTTCTTACAGACTGGATCCAAGAGTTCGCGTGTTCCGGTAGATACGGAATTGGGGGGTTCTCTAACCATCTGTAAATAGCCGGATCGTTTATATGCTGTATGGTTACAGACTGATCTCCCTGTCGAGGTGGGGTGACAATAATGTTCTGGTGTGGTGCGGCAAGCCGGAGGAATGGTTCCCCAGTTTGGGGATTAATCTCGAGTGGATGAAGTTGGCTTGTCATCCTTGATGTTCAATGATGCAGAAGATCTGTTGATGTGACTAGAAGTCTTGCAATCTATTGGTGAAAGGAGTCACAAAGTGTGTGTTTGAGTCATGTGGAAGGCGGTGTGTGTAAACAGCCTGAGGTGGCTAGTCTTCCGTAGACAGACCAAATAAGTCGTTCACTCCTTTAGTGGTACTCATATTAGTTGAATTTAGGCTTGCACGAGGAAAAGTTTATTTCGTTCAGTTTGCCTTGGGGTTGCGGTGCCATCCTAAATTTGATATGCATTGGGGCAGGTAAAAGCCAAGATATGGTGCGCAATCATGTATCTGATGGATAAAACATAAGATGAAGCTCATTTCTTTTTCTTCCCTGCTAGACGTGGATGCTGCTTCAGCCATTCAGTTCTCCATTGCTTCCACTCAGCTTCTCTCCCACCATCCGCCCAGACCCCCCAGCCATCCCTTAGCTGTAGCCACACGCTTATCGGGTGATTTACTATGGCAAATCGGATTCGTCCAAACACAGAGTCCGGAAATTTAGCTGAAAGTAGTTCGGTACACACATAATGTGAAACACCTAATACCAAGCCAATCACAAGGCCCCATTTAACTTGATGGGGCGTATGGTACAGCAAGTTGAGTCTGACAAAATGCTGAGCGCCCAAACCGGTGTCAACGATTCCTGCTAGAATCTTACCTTGAATAGGCAACGATGGCACACCACGCAGCTAGTCCAAGGTAGACAACTATTCGGAAAAGCTGATCGAGCACGATGGATCCTGTGGATGCAAAGCGGTGTCGAAAATACATGTGGCAGATCAGGAATGCAGAAAAATAGCCCATGTACTGGCTGTGTGACGAGGGAAAGCCATAACCATTAAGGTGAAGCTGGCTACCTGATCAGAAATATTTCAAGAGCCATTTTAGACTGAGACACAGCCTCATGTGGGAATAGTTTGGGAAACGAATACATACCAACTGGACGCTCTTGTTTGAAAGTGTGCTTTAGCACCAAATTCAAACCCTCTGAAAGGAGTTGTCCTGCCCACATGTTGATGATGGTCAATTCACGGGTATATACTGCGAGTACTGCATATGCAGGCTGTTGTGGGCGTATAAGCGCTCGCGAAGCTGCGGTGTATGGTTGAGCTCGCACCATGAGAAGGATTGGACTCAGCGTCACCAATGCAAGTACTAATGAAGTGTCTGAAGAAGGATCATCTGGACCTGTAAGCTGGCAAGGGCCACGAGACATGGTTTTTTTTTAACGCACAGAGTACATGTGTTAGGTCCAAGGAGACACGTTGGGTGGCTAGATCTGTCATGACCGTGGTGTGAAGCCTATAGTGAAGATACCGAGGAGTTGATTGGGACTTAAATGGCCCAATTCGCTCAGCGCTCAACAGTTGCTGTAGCGGATCAAACAACCGGAAAGGGCATCAAAATTAGTAACTCCGCTACCGTAGGGCCCTCTGAGACTTAGTACCAATCCTGCTCGTCACTCAATCGATGCATCACTTGGCATAATATTAATCATATGGGCATCAAAAACGTGTTCGCCAAGTATACTAGCCAATCTAGCTGATTCCATGTCAACGTGAACGTCGAGCGCTATGCTGTAGCCTATCAACGATACTCTGAGTCACCCACAGCGCTCACGCTCGACTCGGAGTCATCGGACTGTCATCCCTTGTCATGATTAGGAGGGGGTCCGGCGGCTACGGGGTTGATATAAAAAGTGACTCTGTACAGTGTTCCAAGGATCATTTCCGCGTTCCCGAGTTTTTTAGTCCAAGCTGGCGTCCATCCCAGACCTCGTCGAGCAGCTCCTGCACCTTGCAGCGTCGAATACTTCAAGTCCAAACGTTACCGTGGCTACCAATGACACCTCACCGCATATGATGACACCTGCTGCTTTGAATGGATTCGGCTCATTGATCTCGTTCATTCTTTCGATCTCTGCTCTGAGAGACTGGGCAAAGCTTTTGATCATTGGTAGCTTCTTTGAGACATGTCGACGCCTCCTTGCCACACTCTGGTCGTCCACGATCGATTCTTTCTTTCTCACTGCGTCGTTTGAGGATTACGATGACAGTTACAGTGAGTGACCATTAGTCGGTTACACGATAATCAATGACAAGTGGCTGTTATTTTGACAGAATGGATGATGATCTGGCTTTCGAAACAACCATCCTGGAGTAAGCTCTCCGATCAACCATTTCCGTATTCTTCTAAATATCTTCTGTCGGTCCACAGAGAATGTGCGCAATGTGAATATCAGCACTAGCGAAAGGTATTTGGGGCATGCTCCTCGTTCCGAAGAGGAGCTTGATCCATCCGGGAAGCCCAAAGTCTCCTACCTGCCAGCAGTCTCTGGGTCTTATACTCTATGGTACAAATACACATGGATGCGGATTACCCGTATTTCGGAGCCAATACCTGGTTGGGGTCCGAACAACAGGGACTCATTGACTATCAGGTAACCTTTTCTAAACATCGGTTAAATCGTCTGTTTTATCTGCTGCTAAATAGCATCCTCGCACGCAACCATGACATTTTAAACACTATCCTACAAGATGCTAAAAAGGCCTACCAGGATGCGCAAGGCAGCTCCATTACTATCTACGTTTCTGATTCGTGAGTTCTACAAATTTTTGATGTTCTACCTTTAACGTGTTGCAGTACGAATTGCTGGAGAGAACTTGCTACGAGACGCAAGCGGCCTCTGGATTCTATTATCCTAGATCCTGGAATTAGGGAACTTATTGTTGATGACGCGGAAGATTTCCTTGCCAGTAAACGGTGGTATGCTGAACGAGGTGCGTTGCTTTAGACTTGGAGTGAAGGTGTCGATATTCAGTTGAACCTGCTTTTAGGAATTCCTTTCCGCCGTGGTTACTTACTGGTAGGATGATTTCGTCTGAAGAGTTTTTCTATGACGCTCATCCAATTGTCATTGCAGTATGGGGCACCTGGCTCAGGGAAAACGTCTCTAATTCATAGCATCGCGGGCGAATTGGAACTTGATGTTTACATCATCTCCCTCTCTCGTAGCGGCCTTGACGACACTGGACTTTCTGAACTCATTTCAGATTTGCCGGAGAGATGCATCGCTCTCATGGAAGACATCGACGCTGCTCTCCATAACAGTCTTTCGCGGGAGGACCCTCCCACACCACCGAACAAAACCGCCGAGCCCATCCCCATCCCCAGCCCTGGGCTGCCCACTCACACTACCAGCAGGGTTTCGCTCAGTGGTCTACTTAATGCATTAGACGGCATTGGCGCACAAGAAGGACGGATACTGTTCGCTACGACGAACAAGTATTCATCCCTTGACCCTGCTCTATGTCGTCCCGGTCGTATGGACCTCCATGTTGAATTTAAGCTTGCGAGCAGACATCAGGCAGACGAGCTGTTCAGGCGTTTCTACCTGCCTTCCTCGCCCAAGACCCCCGTAGATGACGACCAAGAACCAAATTCCAATCCTGCTCAGTCCCATCCTAATGGCTCCACACATGACGGAGGTTCCTCTAACCTAATTGATCTTGGCATCCCAGAAAACACTGTCGATTCCCCTCTCCCATCTCCTCCAGCCTGTTCTGAAAAATATGAGCGTGTGGCTCCGACATACATAGGCATGCGTCACCGCGGACATGCACCAAAGCTCTCGAGCGAACAGCTTTCTGCGCTTGCTGCACAGTTTGCGTCAGCTATTCCCGAGCGTGAGGTGTCTATGGCTGCTCTGCAGGGTTATTTGATGTCACGGAAGAGCAGGCCTTTGGAGGCGGCCAGAGAGGTCTCTGCTTGGCTTCAAAGGGAGCTAGCGACAAAGAAAGCTGAAAGTGAGACAAAATCATGACATGATGCTATATTTCGTCTGTAGTTTGGTCGTGTTATATCAGATATCCACAAGTTGTATCCATTGCTTCATCTTCAAGTCAACTACGCACGATACTAGTAGCAATCAAATTCTAGGACAATTACAGACTTACAGTAGGGGTCGGCGTTGCCAACATGGACCTTGCTCAGTAGTTTACGGTTTTGTATTTTTTGTCGCGACCAAATCCACATTTTCTGTCTCTATTATTCATGGCGGCGAGTCTGCAGGAAGGTGCACCGCAGATGTTAGTGAACAGTGAAACTCGGGGTCGATTGGTAGCAATAAGCGATATTGAACGATGTTTGATTGGCTGACTCAATCAATTTCTATCAGCACAATTACATAATAGACGTTGGCTCATTCAAGAAGCTCACGCACTCCGAGGGACAGACAATATCAATGCTCTCAATTCTCCCAAAGCCACCAGATGTGCCAACTCGTGTGAGTAAGCTGTATTTTTCCGCTCCTTCAGCCTTTTGGCCCTCAAAATATGAACTGTAAGACATCATCCATGTGAGTCGTCATCGTCTCAAATTCTCAAATTATCCTGACGGGCTCTCATTTTTGACCTACAATACTTTAGTCATTCGCGACGCGTCATTCTCAGGGAGACTCCCGTTGGGCATTCAGCGACTCAGATCTCGCCGCCAAAGAAGGATGGGAATGGAAGATTCACTCAGTAAATCCCTGCAAGGGCAGATGTTCTCCTGCTGCGGAGCATCAAGCTGAGATGCTCGAAGTCACAAAGATGTCGATTACTCCCTTTTTCACTTCGAGTGGCGAATCAGTCCGCTCTGTGATCGATGGTCTAGGCGCGAAAATGGTCTCCCGGATCAATCGCGGTGGGATGATGATGCAGTTAGCAGCTGATACTACGGGTGTTGATGCTATATGCTCAAACTCATGAGCAAATACCCTGGATTGAGTCGAGATATCATTTTGAAGCAACTCTGCGGAATATAGAGACGTCAATGCCGAAAAGCTCGTGGAGTTGGAGCGGGAGTCTGAAAAATGGGTAATGGGCACGTTTATAGAAAATTGGTTGAAGGATTGGTCGAGAATTTCTCTTGGCTCGAATTGTTATGAACATCTCGAAGTGGTACGCATTTATTTCCTGTTGAGTTATGTGCTATTTTATTGATCTGCGTCTACAGGAGTCCATGCGCATATTTTATATGTCAGAGATTAGGTATTTGCTCGTGGCCACCAATCATTTTCTTCTCTATAAAAAAACCCACTTAGTTTCCTAGCTACGTCTGCCATTTTTGTCTTTGTCGATTATCTGTGCGATATTCATTGGTCAAGCTGAATCTCGGGTGATGTTGAGTTCGTCCACATTCTCTGTCTCGTGCTTAAATGGAGTAACACCTAGTTTAATCGTCGCTAAGTTCACCACAAACATTGGCCAGGACGCTATGCCTCGAGTCATCGACCCCTGAACGATAGTATAAGACATTCGTGATCCTGCAATGGGAATCAACAACGTTGTGTGCACGCAAGCCCGATACCATGATACCAGGTAAGATGGCATATTTCTGGGCGCCAAGCAGTGGGACATGCTAACTCATGGGGCTCGCAGTTTCTTTTTTCCCATGCTGAACTCCGTGTTCGAGACAAATTTTCCCGTCGTTCCTATTACTAAGAATGATTTATAGTTTGAACTGCAGAATCCCATATCACGAGCAAGACAAGTGACTTCGCAACTCTAGTCCCCCACAAGTGTTCTATATTTGTATTTCGGCAGGGATCCGAGTCGGTGACTGGTGAGTATTCCAGTCCGAATAATCGTACCTCTACGTATATGTTGGATGGTTGAAATTCTTGACCTGCTTATTGGTTCAACACAACCACTTGCAACGCGACGTTGCGGGTTTGCTTGCTGCGTCATCAAATCAGTGACTTTGGGGACGACGCTAAATCTCAGGATTGCTAACACTTGTGACTTTACTGCGTGGGAGATTTTGCCAAACACTTCCCTGAACTACGAAGATCATCCCCAGGATTGTGACTGATGCAGTTTGCACCTGCCACCACTCATCATTTCTGCAGAACTTAACATTTGTGGGAATCAACATCCCATGTCACTTTCCGAATTTCCTTGTTCGTGAAGACGTTTGTGCTCGGCTCACGCCATCATTGTTAGCGTTCGCCGACTCTGACGAATGGACTGCTATGACTAAATTTTCTTTTCGGGCGCACGTATACGGTGGCGTGTACATATCAAGGGAAATGCTCAGCTGCTGGTCGGGTACACTAGCCTTCGGGTACACTGATCGGGTACATTATATTCTCCAAATCTTGCTTGAACAAATGCCCTCTGCCCAGCCGGTGTAAAAATCAACAACTGACCTAGCGGGCGTCGAAGTCGGTAGCCCGCCCGCGCAAATGCACCACTGGATACAATTCACTCATGGCTCGTGGCTCTACCATCTGCCAAGTGTCGCTCCCGTCGTATCAACCTTCCGTTCCTGCCCCGAAAGCCCTGGTCCTCACTCCCACCCCACACACAGCTGAGGTGGTTACTTTCCCATAAAACCAAGATAAAGCCTTTTGCTGATACGGCTGTTGTCCTTTTGTTCACACAGGTTCACACACACTCGAGAACATCGTATCCATCTTTATCCAAGAGATTGGTTTACCATACGGCGTCGAACTATTATCAGTCTGCAGGCGCCCAGTTTGTAATTTACTGGCACATGCAAAGTTTCAGATGGTAGTGGGACTTCATCCCATGGTTTCCTGTCTGTGTGGGGCTAGATAAGCACCCGAACACAAGCAGAATATGTACCCATCTGATCATTGTCACTCGTGTGAGTCTTTAACTCTTCCGTTGGTAGCTAACTGTTGAGAATGTCCTGACACCGACAGGGAGTGTGGTGACGCGAATTCGTAACATGTCGTACAATTTCCATTCGATCACCAACCCTGGCGAGATAACGAAACTCTGGTTTATAAGTATCTATATGATCGACAGCACATCGTGCTCACACCCTGAATCCGTTAATTGATCTGCACAATCTCATGTCGTCGGACGAAGAAGTTGCCTATGCTCTCCGATGGAACAACAATATAGCAAGTTCGTTCACCGACTTGTTCGTGAACGAAGCATCATACTGAACTTCATCGTTTTTCCAGTAATGATTTTTGGATTAGTATCCTATGAGTACAGTCCGTAGCTTTCACGAACATTCAAGTTACACTGCGACTGAGCGCGAGATAATCTAGTATTTCACTTCGAGAAAGAGGTAACGATAAGCATGTTTTCTCTTGGGCGAGTACTTATGCTCAAATTGCCGTAGGTCAAGTTTGTTTGGGTAGGTGGTCAATCCCCAATATCAAGCTCCGGAAACTGAATCATTGTATGTACAGACAAAAAAATGGACACCGATGACGTATCTCTACCTCGCTGTGAGTTCCGCCTTGTCAAAGTACTTCGTGACTTTTTATTTTGTGTTTATGCCAGGCACGATACTTTGGTCTTTTCCTTGCAATGTACGTCGTGGTGGTTGTGTCCTTCAGTTGCTACATTGTAAACTGACACTGGCTTCAGGCTTTGCGCCTGCTGTATGTGATGCCGTGCCAACCGAGCCATCGTTAGCTGACTAGCACTAGGGGGAGGTCTAATGTATATTCCCGAAGGGGTGAGTGTGTCGATGCTTTCTTTCTTTGAAGAGTTCTGTGTTGACCTAGATTCAGTCGTACGTCAGAAGTCCACTTAACAGCTGAGCCTGATCACTGACGTATCATTTAGTTGCAAGTATACTGCCTTGGACTTGAACTTGCATTCGCTTACTACGCAGCCGAAACAGGCTACGCTCTTGCCGTTCTATTGGAATGGGGCTTTTCATTTTATTTTTTGTTGGCGGAAGGTCAGTCACATATATTTGTATCTCATCGCGCGTACCGATTTTCCATCTGCAGTCATTCTCATCTGGCGTCTTTACGCGTTATACAATCGATCCAAGTTCATACTATATTTGCTGGTCGGGTTGTTCCTAGTCATCGCCGCGCTTTCGATAGGAATCGACATATACTTATACAGTCGACCCGAAGCGTTCTCGGGTGAATTTCTAGTTGATCGACTTGTGTGCAAGCTGACCTCTCGTTGTATAGTGAAAGAAATAGTAACTCCGAACGTCAATTACTGCACGTCTTCCTTCAACATAGGGCCTATGCCTTCGATCTATGTTTCCATCCCGATCATATGCTTCGATATCTTCCTGGTTGTTCTCGCCGTTCTTAACCTCGTGAAACACCTCAGAGAACGAAGAGAGATACAAGTGCAGCCTAACACATATGTAATTCTGATCGTTCGGTGTCATGTCATATACTTCCTCCTGCAAGTTCACCTTCGTTTGATTGGTACTCTGTTATTCACAATATCCCACTAGGAATTTAACAAACGAAGTCTTATTGACTGTGCTATGGGCCAACATTCCGGTATGATGATGTCGTTATACTATGGAGATCAGTCCTAATAAGTGCATCAACAGCCGGCAGTGAACAGTCTCTCGGAGGGTTTCATCAATACCGCACCATTTATTATTGCGCCCCGTCTGATTATCAGCATTTGGGACACACACGCCAATGAACAGCGCACACATGACAGTGCGTCGTTCGAAGATTGCATATGTTGGACATTGCCATCGACATGCGAGGAACACGAAATGCACCACGTATGATTTTGACCCGGTGAAGGAAAAAATATGGGGCGAAGTAGTTGGACCCGGGTCCTGTCAAGTTCTTTGATACACGAGAGTAAGCAGTAGAGGGCCGATTTTTATATGTATCTATGTACTATCTCTTGTGTACAAAGAAGACTACTTCAATGGATGGACGGCGCGGCGACTGGACTTAGTAAGGTGTATTACATTAACTGTGCAGGAGATTCAGTGACAGGACAACTGAATACAGTATACTTCTGAACGCCATCGCAACAGTTCTGAATGCATGACAATCAGTTACATTTTAGTCCGTGCAACGGAATCCTGATTCTCGTTTGAAGTTACCGTTTCTCGAGGCTCGTGTGGTTGCTGGTGTCGTGTGGTTCTACAAGACAGCTGAAGGTCGTGTGTACCGACGGCCCGGCGGAAAGAAGTACGAAAAAAGCGGACAGCGAGCTACTTTCTATTGTTGACATGCTGTGGGACCTTACTGGCAGCGTCGGAACTGCTTTTGGACTGTCAACACACGTAGGTATATAGCCGAGTGACCATGCGAAAAAAAAAATCGTCGGAAGCTTACGCGAGTGCCATTCTTTGCGTTGCCGGTTAAGGGGTCTCGTGAAGGCATTCAACTTAAATAGAAGGTTAGCACACTGGATTGCGCGGTCAGAATAGTTGTAGCCTACTTCATCGCGGTGACCATTTTATGTGTCGTCTTCGTCGTGATACCCATCTTCGCTATCACTGTCGGTCAGATCATCATCATCACCTCGGTCTGACGACAGAATGGGCAATCAAGGACAGTTTGATTTTGTGCACGAATCGTCTCGGTAAGTCGAGGTATCTAGCTGCAGAGATGCGAGCTATGGTCTGCTCGTGTGAGGACGCGCTAGACATTTGTTGTAACAGTCATTGTCGTTAGTCAAACTCATTGCCTGGTGTACCTCATGCCCTCGTGGGGGAGCATGCTGCATGTCTCGCTGATGATTCGGCTTGATGCTCATGATTAAGTTCAGTTTCAAAGACCCAAATCAATCAATTAGAGCATACTTTCTAGTTCGTTCTTTGAAGCAAGGGTATTGATGGTTTTCGCGGACTTCGCGCTCGACACGACGGTGGTTAATTTATAAGTCTACTAGCCTGAGGGATTTGTTGACGTGTTGTTTGCATCACATTACGTAACAGCCAATCTTGCTGCTTGAATTGAAAATTCGTTAATTGAACACGCTTCCAATTGATGGCCAGAATTACGATACAGTCCATCTCTTCAACAAGCAACACAGATATTCAGCATTCCCAAGAATCTCATGCGCGTGAATTCTATTATCGCCGCAGTAATCCAACATCTTTGTCTACAAATATACATACTACTGCGTCGGGTATATACGTCTAAATGCAATGCAACTCATAACTCAAACAGATCACCAAGATCAAATGATGACACCAAGCATGCGGCCTCTCATGCCCTTGGTGCACGTGCATATTTGCGACGGTATTTGCTATCTACGCTCTCGAGGTAGAATGTGCCAGGCCAAATGTTCTCAATGGGACCCTCTGGCGTGTAGTTCACAGCGTTGTGGTTTTTCTCGCGAAGCTTTAAGAGGATATTAGTTAACTTGTGTGATCAACACGAACAAATGCTGGACTTACTGTGAGGGCGTCAACGTACTCCTGGCAAGGTACGAGCTTCATGCTTGCCAAGCGAGCGAGCAAGTCCATCTTCTCCCGGATTTCCGACGTATCGCCCTTGACACGGAGAGTGAAGAAACTGGCAGCACAACCTGAACCGAATGCGAACATGCTCAAACGCTTGCCCAAAAGCTCGGAAGGTGTGACAGAAGACAGGACAGAGGCAAGGCAGCCGTAAAGCGAACCCGTGTACATGTTACCCAAGCGTTTTGAGCAGGCCATGCCAGGCTCGACTTTCTTGGCGTATGTTGCCTTCGATACACCGATGAAAGTTTTCTCCAGGTTCTTGTCGGTGAGGGAAGCGGTGTATGAGATTGCAAGGACGGATTCGGGGTTAGCGACATTAGCGAAATGGGATGAGGAGGGATTTGCGAGGAAGTCGTTGTAGAACAGACGACCGAGACCCTTCTGGACTTGCTTGCCATATGGGCTGTGGAAGACAGCATAGTCGATGTCATCGATGGAGAAGGAGGTCAGGGATTCTTTGGCATTCGCGTGACCGTTGAAGTGAGCCTTCTTAGCTCTGGCGGTCTTTTCACGGAAGCGCGAGTATGCAGCATCCAGTGCAGAAGTGTAAGTGGTAACTGAGACAGGGCCGTCGACTTCGGGGTACTCTGAGTCCAATCGGGGCTTGTAGAAATCGTATGTGTTTGTCATGTGATTGCCGTGTATCGCTGAAGACATGGAATATCAGATCCATGATCGAGCCATAACGTCCGAAATAAAGTGGAATAGACGTACGTTCAACAACGACAGGTGCGTTGGGACCAATGAGAAGGGCGACAGCACCAGCACCACCGGCTGGGCGTGCGGCACCTTCAGCGTAAATGGCAATGTCACCACCAACAACAATAGCATTACGGCCGTCCCACGAGGTGGATTCAACCCAGTTGACTGCGTTGAAGAGCGCAGCAGTGGAACCATAGCATGCGTTCTTGGAGTCGATGCCTTCAATATCGAAGTTACCAGATTCAGAGAAGAGGTCCATGAGGGTGGTCTTCACAGACTTTGATTTGTCAATGATGGTTTCAGTTCCAACGTCAATGCGACCAATGGACTTGGGGTCGATGTCATAACGCTCAAGAAGACCGGAAACAGCTGGAAGGAGTAAAATATGGATTGTGAAAGGGTGTGGTGAGACGGTGTAACATACCATTGAGAGCAAAGGAGTTGATGTCTTCCCGGTCATCGCAGCACGCCATGTACTCCTGGCCGAGACCAATGGTGTACTTTCCCGTTGGGACACCATCAAAGACCTCGAGGTCAGCCTCAGATATGCACTAAAGTGACGTAAGATGAGGATGGTTGTCATGTAGTAGCATATGACATTACCCTTTGAGGGAAGTAGACCTCCATTGCAAGGATACCGACATCCTTTGGACGAGGAAGTTCGTGCTCAGAAGAGACTGAGGAGAAAGGAGGAATAGCCATCTGTGTAGTATTGGAATGAGAGGACGAGGAATGGATTGCGGATATAAAGGCAAAGGGAGAGTAGGTTATATAGCATCATGACCCGAAATTGAATATAACGTTCAATTGATCTTCTTTGGAAATTTTATGGTACGATTCACTTTATGGCGTGTTTCACAAAAAAAAACCTGCTGGCTGTGATCACTTTCCTCTTCTGTTAGGCTCTAGCCGAATCTTTCCAAGCGCTGTCGGAGACTGTCGAGCTGGCATTTTGTATTCAAGTTGAATCATATCTCCAAGCTGATCCATGTTACGGTCGACGCAGAGTCGTCGCAGACAAGTACAGTGAGACTTGCTTATCTCTTCTTCTATAACGTATAATGATTTCTTACAAAAGTAATGATACGACACTGTGCTTCGCGCCGGCCTCAGACCGGAAGCAACTCGGATGACCAGGTTACATTACCGAACTCCCTTGTTTACTAGGCTGTGTATCCTGATAACATGTCGTGCCGAGCGCCCGCCCGGCTCATGGCACCATGAGCATCTCCGGCTCTCAGATCATGATATCGCACAACCTGTGCTCGTTCAATTTTTCGAGAACAGCAATCTGAGTCCTTGTACCTCTCGCAGTGGTCTCCTTATCATCCACTTTTACATATGGTTGGTTGGTTGGTTTGTCGATTGGAGAATAGATTAGATAGGACGTAGACATGTTTTAAGAGTGGGGGGTTGTCATGGTACATGACATTGCTAACCATATCAAGGTTTGTGGGGTCATATCTGTGCCTCTTCAGCTCAACCCTAAGGCTAACGAAAGGACATCCTTACTCGGTCACCTCATTCCCTACCCTTGCGCCAAGTACTATCTTCGATCCATGGCGACTTTCTCGGTAGCTTGTGACCCAACCCTATACCAACCAATGCACCTCTGTGTATTTTTTGGATAATCTATGATGCAAACCTTCAGTCAGCCTCCGAGTCAGCCAACTGCTTTCGGCTCAGGTCAAAACCAACATTTTTATCATGCCCAACCACTGTGAAGCGTACCGCCCTCGCCTGTCATTCATTCATCTTTCATGATAATGCCTTCGGATGCTTATTGTCCACCTGGCGGTCTTATCAACCACCCTCCCATTCACAATCAGCTTTGCATCTCGCTGTCTGACCCGACTCCTGTGACAACAAAGCTCTTAAACTTACGCCAGGTGGCCCACCAACGCAAGCAGGAGGAAGCTGTGAACTCGAAATACCAACCTAGTACGAATGCGATGCGGTTCCTCACAAAGATCAGATCATTCTGCCCTATTTCGTTTGGAACGCACGGATCTCTCTCTGCGAACGGTTCATCGCCAGCTTGTATTTCGCTGTACGACTCAACTCTTGGAACAACTGAGGTCGTTACCTTACCCCAGGTGACCCGCCAACGCAAGCAGGAGGAAGCCATCAACTCGAACCGCCGACCTGGCGAGACTCCAATGAGATACCTCACAAAGATCTGCACAAGTGCGTTTGGGAAGCTTGGATCCCTCTCTACGAACTGTGACCAACCATCGTACAACTGTCTGTCTGATGCCTTGGAGACTATCATAACCATCCACTCTGTTAGTTCGTTGGCAACGACAGATGCGGACGACACCTTCGTCACCGCGGATGACTTGTCTGTATCTCTCTGTCCTGTGTTGTTCTGCCACGCTTACATATATCGACGTAGCATCCACGTCTCCAATCTCTCACCCCTAGCAAGTGAAGTTGTCAGAGAAGAACTCTACATCCGCGGTTATCTCAAACGACCTAATCAGGGCAATCATTTTCTCCGCCATCCACAGTGTATTGTTGTTTCACGGCTACTCCAGGTACTCCATGACCGTTGGCCGAAGCAAGTCGCAGCTGTCCCCGTATCTTCCAAGATTCCTCAACACTCGTCTCCACGGGCCATTGGCCGGCGTGGGGGACTCACAGTTGCAGAGGCGCTCAAGGTGGGTACCCCTTTTGGTGAGTCATGCGAACTGTGCTCACTCTATGGGCGCAGTCTACCAATATTGAGAAGAATCCTCATACGCCCACTCCGACGAGATCGTCTTCTAGTGACCAGTCAATCTACTGGTCTTGCCAGTCACCACAGACGGTCATTGATTCATCTCCATCTCCCTTTGTCCAAGAAAGTCCTACGTCGACCACCCAGTTTTGCGATTTCTGTGAATACTCGTACATCACGTCGCATACTACACCTCCCTCGTCACCGGAGCTCGCGGGCCTCAATGAGAATGAGAAGGACGTTCTGGGTATGATGAGCTCCTCTGAAGTAGCTCTGTGGTCCTTGGCGCCCCGAGTTGCGTTGATGAAGGCGAAGTGTTCGCGTGTGGAGGTGGATGCGAGGAGTTTTCAAAGGTTGCGGTACGGAGAAGTTGACGACCACCGTCTTGCCTGATTTTTGTGGCTTTTCTGCTCACCAGAGCTCGAATAGTTTGTGTTCGTTCTTTATATATCTTCTCTTTGGTTTCATGATACGGACTCTATGTCCTCATGCCGTGACTTGGAAATAACGCTTGGCATTTGTTAGAGCTTTTACTCTGTGGCGCTATTGGGCCTAACACCGCACCGCTTCTCGCTTGGCACTCACCCCCTCTATATGCTACCCGTGGAGAAGGGTCGACGGCTTGGCAGGCAACCCGTCACAGCACTAGACCGTTTGTCGTCGGTGCCTGCATCCGCGCCACGCAGGGTGCCCTCATGGATGCATTCCTCCCTCACATCGAGTTCCCCCATACATACACCATTACCACATCCATCATGCATCCTCCCAGAGCCACTCTTGGCTGGCCAATGTAGAGACTCGGACGACTGGTCGGGGTACAGAATGTCAGACCGGAGGATTCGGTGTCACGTCAATGAAAATCATATCATTTGGCCGTCGACTACGTGCCCACTGGCAGCGGACATTCATTACGGCATTAAGTACCTGGGTTTACAAGTATGTCACGGTCACCTATCTACCTATTTCTATTCTATGGAACGCAAAGGGCACCACTCAAGCCCTTATTCTTATCACCGTGTTCCAAACATCAAGAGCTTTTTTTTTGAACTTGTGAGAGGAGGAATCCAAAGGCGGTGTAGTATTAATGATCACGAACACCTTGCTGCAAGTTCGTGTATTGCCTAACTGATTAGGTTATATAGTAAATTGATTCTCGCCGGTCAGCGTTACCTAGGAAGCAATCTCCCCTCACCTCGAGTCTACCTCGACCCCCTTTTACAACACTCGACTACACCTGCGTATCTTCTTACCATCTTTCTTTCCTCAATTCTTGAGCATGCAGTTTGTTCGCGTCTTTACGTACATTGCTTCTTGTCTCTCTGTAGCTCGTGCTTTTAGCGTGACTGTTGGGACTCCCACTCAATGTGATCCTCTCAAGATTTCATGGACTGGTAAGCGCATATCTAGTATATTCTATACGCTCCTGCTGAACTTTATCGGGCTATCAGGTGGGCAAGCGCCGTTTGAAATACACTTAACTCCCGTTCGTCGGCGCTTCGCCTCAGGCTCATCAATCACATGCTAAATTTTGTGCTTTCCAGTCTTTAAATCCTTATCAGAACGTATCTGTACCAGCATCAGCCTTTAAGAATGGCGTAGGCTCTTATTCAATATCAGAGTTGTCGTTGGCGTCGGGAACAAAGTTTCTACTCACCATGTCTGACGCCACCGGATTTGGTTCGGGTGGGACAACAGATCAATTAACTGTTGGGAATTCTGGAAAAAATGATTGCAACATTCAAGATTTGCCACCTCCTTACATGTTCTTCTTGACTCCAACTCCGAGTCCGATGACGCAATGCAGGTAAGTTTGGTTCGCCTACCTCCTGTGGCACTGACCTACCACTACTGCAGTCAATTTACCATCTCGGTCAATAGCAGTGCAGCTGCTGCCAATGGTGCAGTCCTGCCCATTACTATTGCGGTCAGATCATCGCCAATCCTATCAAAACAATCTACTTATCTTGCTACAGCAACTTATTCCTGGCGGACAACCAACCATATTCTATTCCAATGAAGACACTTTTACGTCAGTTATCGATGTTACAGGAGGGACGAGCCTCCTGTATTTTGTCACCGACTCCAAGGGCAGACAAGGTGGGGTCTCTGGGTTCCAGCAGGTCTTAAAGTCGAGTAATTTTACGTGCCTAAGCGCCAACTCGCCGTCATCCACTGCAGGCATATCAGCCACAGCCACGTCCACGGCTTTGCCATCAAGTGGTTCATCAAGCAAGGTTGCTCTTATCGCAGGCGCGGTCGGCAGTGCGGTGGTCCTTACTGCATTGGTCATCCTCGGCATGTGCCTGTGGCGTAAACGGAGAGCATTCCGTATTCAGCCTTCTAAAAAAACTTATTTTCAACTGCAGAATACAGACGAAGTCAGTCTTTACAGTGACGCTCTGCCATCGCCATCATCATCACCATATCCTGTCAGCTACCTTAGTTCATTTATTCAACCTGGATCACAGCCAATCCCTCACGCAGACTCTGCTGTCTATGGAGGCATTCAAATGTCAGACATGACACCCGTCGAGCATATGGCTGTGAGGGCTCGACTAGCACCACCGTTACCACGGAAGAGAGACCCTGTCCACTTTTCTTCACCCGTTGAACCTGGATCCCAATCAATTTCTACCACTTCCGGCAACGTCACAGTTAGGGATCCTCCCGCGCTCTTCCATGTTGAGAGACAAACTTCCCCCGACACAGACAGCTTAGCTATGCACGGAGCGTCTGGAAGTCAATCTATGGCATCGGCTAGCGCGCAAACAGCCTATCAACCTCCTATTCAAATCATTGTGCATACCGACGCTGATGATGTCATGCCAGACCGCAATGGTTTGGTTGAACTTCCGCCGCAGTATTCAGATCATTGGGAAAACCGTACTTTGGAATCCAAGTCTGCGTCATGATTACGTACCCACATTCTTGATTCTTCGGACGTGGGTATACCTGTAGTGCGTTCGTTTGTGCATGATTTTTTTGGTTTGAGTGTCTTGTCTTGATAATGAAGTACATGGGCATCGTGCTCCTACTTTGATTTTGTCCCTCTGTGATATGTGTCTCATGATATATCAATAATAATGACGTGTACTTTAGTGAAGCACTGGAACATTTCCTAGTAGGATACAAGTATATTCGGTCATTGCTGTACTACAAGAGCAGACTTTCGTACACTAGATTTTACCTCAATCACCCGTGCACGTGACGCATCACGCGTGACTCCTTGCTCTGAGCGTTGAACTTCGTGTTCGAATTTCGAAACCCTTTGTTGACTTCCTATGTCTACACAATTCAGAGCTAGTATCAGCCGTCTTGTAACGAACTACCTTCGACGATTAGGCATGTTGAAACCTCCCCCTGGAGATCTCCCTGGTCTCTGGTTTGACCATAAGTGTCCTACCATTCGTCTACTCGTCAGTATCGAACTTTACAAAAAAACTTTGTTAGAACACATAGATGGTGACGGAAAGAACAATTACATGGGTTGTTTTTTCTACCGTATTGACCACTACAAGTGTTCCCAGGCAGTACTATCGTTGGGCCAGAGTTGCAAAATTGTATAGAGTTGCAAAACGCTTCATAGCTCACGCAACAACACATCTTAAGTCCTCTACTCTTGGATCTAGGATCTTCCAACACAGATTCATAGCATTGTATTTTTTTATAAAAAAATACCTATGAGGAACATGTACGGCTCCAAATCTATCACTCGAAGTCACCTGTTTCACATAGAATAGTCAGGGGAGGACAAAGTTTTTAACCAAAAAATTTCATTTTTTTTCACATACACCTCATACCTACCCTTACCTTCTGAGAATTTTTCCGATGAGAATAGAGCAGAGTTGTGGTTGTTATTGACGATGCAATCACTGGTGTCAAAGAATGCTCAAGTGTGACAGGTTGGAGCGGAGAATCAATTCTGATTGCGGACTCTCTTGCGCTGCAATCATCTAATGCCAATGTTTTACTCTCTCGTGTCTCATGCATACCGGTTGCCGGGTCGGGGTTCAGATTCATAGAATCGATGTTGTGACATAGTGTGACATCTACGCCAACCCGCTCATGGGAAATTTTGCAACTCTCTACTATTTCTAACATCTTGCGTCGGCATCCCTCTGGCAAGCATCTTCTAAATACATTTCGTTCTTCTGTCAATTAGAGCTTTCCTATGACACACGTAGCTATAATTCCATGTAATTATTTTGTCTTAATGTGTGGTAGTTATTGAGATATGAAAATGAGGTCCTCAAATTTTGCAACTCTGGCCCAACGATAGTAGAGCAGGAGTTTCTCGTGCTACAATTTACACACTGGGACAACCCCACAGCCACAGCCGCTATCTGCATCGATCGCTCCGTCAACCTCACTATTGGACAGTCTTCCGGTATGCTCACACCATCTTCAGCATCATCGGAATATCTTGCAACAGACATGGTCGAACCGCTCGGTTGCGCCAGCAACTTGAATATCAAATCGTGTCTAACGAAAAAATTCAAATTATTCAGACACATTGCTTCACTTTCATTTCCGAGTCAATCCACACGACCTTCCGCATTGCAGGTCGTGGTCCTATTGTTTCAAGTGAACCAACATTCCATCAACTATCACGCCCTCGGCGGTCAGTGCGATTGGTTCGGGTATACTGTTTTCAAGAGCTTGTAAACCCTTTTTGGGCAGGAGGGGGAGAAGGAAGTGTTTGAATCAGACACCCGCGGCCGCTTTGGACCCATCCTGGTATTGAAACCATCCCCAGACGACGTCAACGTTATATGTGATGGATTCTGGAATGCTCATCAGCAAACCATGAAGGTGGTGGAGGCCCGGTGATCTCTTCGTCTTGAAGAACACAACAAGGTTTGTATTCAAGTTTTTCAGCAGCTACAGCCTTTCCTTGATTGATTATACTTGTCCCTACAGCTTGTGGAACAAGGCCGCGCTGACTGGCAACATGAAATTGACGAACACGACCGCCAAATTGACGAACGCGACTGCCAACTTGCGAAGGTACATATTTTCAGCAGCGACAGTCTTTGATTAATGATGGTGCTTGTCCTGCATTTCAGATGCAAGCCGAACTTGAGCTATTGAAGGCCCAACGTGCAGTTCCGAATGACACCGCAGAATCACCATTGCCGTCATCCTAACCTCGTTTGTGCAACACCCACATTTCTGTCTCATCGCAAAGTGTTTTACTATCACGCCTAGAACAGTGTAGAATTTCAATCATGGGAAGCATCATTGATGTAGACTTGCTAGCATGCTCGCATACACTCCTACACGTTTTACGCTTCTGGTACTTGTACTTTATGACGCTGACTCCTCACAATCACCCAGATCACCCAGACCTCCCTGATGCTATATGATACAGTAGCCTGGTCCAACTTTGCTCGTCATTTCTAGTTTTATTACACCGCTGTAACAGAGTATGACTTCTGATGTAAATACAGTGTTTCTCGAGATTGTTGAGAAGTTGGACTTCGACGAATTGACAATGTAGAGTCTGTACCATTTCTCACCAATTCCTTTTCGACCGAGAGGTTGCGTTGTACATATGATATACAAGTTGCACGTGCGCACAGCTTGATCGACGCAACAAACGTTATATCTTAGCCGCGATCCATCACCATCATGATGGTAAGGGAGACTAGTCGCAGTTCACTAGACTGGGAGTGCTCACAAGTCATGAACACTCTCGGCGTCAACGCTCGCAAGCACGTGTTCATCATCATGTTCATAGCCGCCTAACCAATTTGCTGTGTACCACCACTCTGCTCTGTCTGCGCACCCCAGACCCTTCCCAATTTCGCTAGCTTTACTTGGGATCTAAATGTCACAAGCATCAGGCACTGACAACGATGAGCCTCCCCGGCAAATTGACGCCGTAGGACCCATCGAAGAGTAAGTTGCAGCTTCCTGGGATTTGTCACCCGTCTAACAGCAAGACAGGGAGAAGATAAATATTGAACCTTTGGCGGAGCTACCACCAGGGATGTAAGTGTCTCTCTTCCTTGATGGGCGTCTGCGCCACTCCTTACCAGAACTGCAGCTCGAATGCTGGGCCTTCACAGCCGTCAGGACCTCACGTACAAGAAAGCACACCCAATGTTCCACCACTTGGCGATTTAGCTCCGTGAGTTCTTGTCGATAATGACGTCAAACATGCTCCTGAATTGTCTCAGCGAGGGGGGAAAGGTCGTGGCGGAGGAGGACCAGCCAACTCTAAGCGAATTGTAAGCGAAAAATAAGTCAAGTGATCACAACTGACGGCACTGTACACGCAGAGCAAATGTCATGAAGCAAGTATTGGACATTCTCCAGGACTCCACGATTGCGTCGAGGATTGGAAAGGACAAACGGTCTCGTTTCTGGGGGGTGTACAAACGAGTCGCAGAGGAACATGACGGCGAGTTCCTTGAGCGATACACTACTGAGGCGGGCGGCATCAGAGAACCTGTGAGAAGAAGATATCGTCATATATCGTTATATATCGGAATATATAGGAAAGGTTTTCGTCACATTGTAATATAAAGTGATATAAAGCAATATATGACCATGTAAAAGCACCATAATCAGCATAATCCCCAGCAAGAACTCACCGGTTTACTGATGGCCCGACATGGACATTGTCTTGATCTTCGTAAGTTTAGCGTTCTTATCTTCTGCACATTTTGAGACTGATGTTTGATTAGTCTGGTCTTTTCTCGGCTGTCAGCACGGCTTTCATCGTCGCGATGGAGTCTAATCTCAGTCCCGACCCCAGCGACATCACGAATTCCCTTTTGAAGCAACTCGTGCAGATCGGACTCGGCAACCTCGTTGAGGCGGGCACCGCTCCCGCAGACCCAGCATCTACATGGTCGCCATCTGCGTCGGCTGTGAGGATCCAATTGGTCGCATACGCAAGCTTGTCCATGAGCTTGCTCGCTGCATTCGGGGCGGTACTAGGCAAGCAGTGGCTCGGGTACTACAAGTCAAACCGGTATGGCCGCGGCTCGCAGGAGGAACGAGGGAAGCGCAGGCAAGAGAAGTTCGACGGCATCGTCACATGGTATTTTGATGCTGTCGTGCAATCTTTTCCTGTCATACTTCAGATCTCACTTCTTCTCTTTGGAATTGCTCTTGGTGCCAATATGTGGTACGACCAGCCGAGCATTGCCTGGGTCATCATCGCAACGACAGTCTTTGGATTTCTGTTCTATTCCCTGACAGTGATGGCATGTTTGATATCTCCTGCTTGTCCATTTCAGACGCCAACATCGACGATGTTACGCATGTTGCGCATCGACAGTAAGATCATTTTGCTAATTTCTAGTGGTTGTGCCCCGTCTGAATCAACATGGCAGGGGTTCTACGCCTGGTGTTCAAACGAACCTCCAGTTATTTCCAGCAGCTCACCAAATTGCTGCACGGTGAGTTATGTCTTCTTCTATGTCCACAGGTTTTGACTGTTTTATGTCAGGCGTGCTGGCATGATTACTTGGTATAGTTAGATCGAGATGGACCCGATTGTCTGGAGTAATTAGAGGTGACGATCTTATCCACTATTACAACGATACTCAGCGCTCACTTCACTCCAGGCCCTGTACATGTGATCGGTACATTCACACGGCAATCTCTTCAGCAGTTAATCGCTACACTTCATAACTGGCTACGTTTTGTTGTTCCGCGCTTTTCGACAAAGGTCGCGGACTCGGAAGCACAATCGCTCGACCTGAATTCAGATGTTTCGTCGGAGGATGAATACGCTCTCACTCTCCCTGACATACCTACCAGCAATCTGGAAGCACCTAGCATCAAGTGGCTGCTCGAGACCTCTACAGATCCTGAAGTATTTCTTGCCACTGCCAGCCTTGTTCCGCAGGTCGAATGGCCCCTAGATCTTGACGTCTCAGACATGCTACATCAGCTGTATGATATTTATACGAGCTGCGTCGGCTTCCATGGGCGAATTATGCCGTCGTTGGAGGAGAAGGCCTCAGCTTGTATAATGGCCATGAGTCATGTATACTGTGGCCGCGTTTTTCAGGCATATCCTACCCGTGGCGAATTTCTTGGTTGCAGCAAAAGAGATTATGACATGTTTCTTCAGATGATTGTGAGGGACATCAATGAAGCAGACAGGACGGTGCTTACCACGACTACGAATATCTGTTTTCCGCAAGATGACGATCGCAGAATTCTGTGGTTTTCATTGTATGATTGTCCCGACTCTGTGGCGGAGTGGCTGTCACATTCTCTTCCTTACCACTTTGTCACTGGGCGGGCGAATGAACAGGTGGAAAATTTCGCCATAGAGGTGATATCAAAACTGCTATCATCTACATCCTCTCCATCGAATCAAATCATAGCCAATTGCACTCTTCTTGCTTGTGTCATGGTCGGAGTTCAGTTTGAGAAGAAGGACATAGTTCGGATTGATAAAAGGTGCCATCGACTATTTGGTACTTCTGCTATGGCTAACGAAGATATTGTGTAGTTCTGCCCTGCCTCGATTTGCGAATGCCCTTTTGAAGCAGTTCCAAACTACTCTCTGGGCATGGTATGGAGGTGATCTCAGCAATGACAACACAGGCGTCGCACCGAGTTGGGCATGGAACTTCATCAAAGTCATTTGTCTGGTGCTCGAGTCTGCCAAACATTACTATCATCCTTTATTCTCCACCACGCGGAACCTGGACGTGTGTAGGAAGATTTACTCACGAGTGAGATCATCCGAACAAAATCCTCCGTGGGAACTGTTGGGTGCTCTGCGAAATGCAGTGCGCTTCACGCTCGCCGCTGCCAAAGTATCTCGGGACCCTGCCCACTTGTGGAATGGCCAACCTTTTTGGACAGATGATTCCTATTTGCCAGAAGACTTCGACTGGTTGGTTGACTACCTCGAGTACATTGATTCCGACGACCAAGAAGCAGTATTCGACATCCTTTTGCTCCTGGTTGTCATAAAAGTACGCTGCAGCCCTGCTAAATGGCATCAGTTCTTCAAAAGCCTCATTACCTACATGAGTAGTCACATACCTGTCCACTTACGTCATGCTGCCCTTCGCCTTGCCCACAGTGCCCGAGAAGAAATGGTCTCGATCGATGTCATTGATAATGTGGAGCTGCGGGACATGATCTTGACTGAGTTCTCCCCCGCTATCCTGACTGCAGTTTGTCCGCAATCAGGTGTAACACTCTCCGACGATGATCCTGACCGCTTCTTCCGTCATGACCGCGACTTGGGCTATCTCGAACTACTCTTTGCCCTCGCGAGGAATTCCAACTGGCACCCCCATTTGTTCCAGGATCACCATATAGATCGATGCATTAGCATTGTTGCAAAGTGCCACTTCGGGGAACATGCATTTTACCTAGCTGGCATCCTCCTCCGGATCGCACCCGAACAGTTGTCAGTTACATCCCTCAATTCTATTACAGGGCAGCAGTGGTGGGACTTGATGAAAAATGCATGGCTTCATGCCAGCTATATCATTGACGACATACACTGTTTCAAGTTCCTTCCCGTCCTTGTGGAAGGCACGAAGAGGTATATGCACATTCCTCTGGAATTAGATCTCAAGTTCTTCATTGAAGATGCGGATCGTGTTCTTATCGCACTAGAGGGACAAGATTCACAGCAGGGAGAGGGAGGGGGTGTCGCCGTTGCCGTGAAAGAGTTGAGGACTGTAGCCAGCGATATGCTTGAGAAGTTGGTCAGCAGTAAAGGAGTTGCTGGTCCCTGATTATCACAGTCCTTGCGTCCTTGGACGTCCAGAGGAAGGGATGGAGCAATGCAACTGTGAGAGGGGATAAGTATCACAACTACAACAATATTGATACCAAATATTCGACGTCTGCGCCAATGGTGGCTGCAACACGCTTCCCAAAAATCTTGACTGATATCTTACACACCATCGGGTGCTCTGCATAGCTTCAGATACGAGCCCCGAGCGACTCCTAATCAGAATGTAGGTCACAAGCAGATCAGGATCACGAAGAGATTGGGTCCCAGGTAAATTCGGCAAGCTCGCTTTCGGATGTGTCTTCAAGAGGGCAGTCGAATGTGAATTGATCGAGGAATTTTGGTGTAGGAAAAAAAATGAATTTACGTAAGAATTACTTTTTGTTTGAGCCTGCCGCCGTGCCACTCAAGTACTACTAGTAGGACGGGCGCGATTGCACAGGCCCCAGAGGTCTGCAGATCTGATCAGAGACCATATCAGCTCGACCGAATGATTCTGGTTCAATGGAACCTCAATCAAACCTACATGTCGACTGCTGCCTACATTTCATCAGTCACCCGGGCCCACGCTCCCAATAAAGCTCCATGACATGCGGCAGCCTGCCTTTTGATTACTGGTCAGTGCAACTTCTGGGCCTGAAGGACCTCATGAACATGATGCACGAGATTCATGTGACTTGCTGAAGTACTTGTGTCAAATAACGTGAAGCGGTGCACCACTAATAGATCCTCCATGAAGATCAGGCGTGCCAACTGCATGCCATATCCGCGAGTCACAACACGAAGGGTATATCTTCTCTCGTCTGATTTACCATCTACAATCGCTTTTGATCGCTCTATTCCAGAAACTTATCCATGTCTCAATTCCTGGGGGCTGCGCCTCTTTCTGTCGAGGTTTCCTCGTTCCGCGCTCCTTTTGATGCCACGGATGCAGATTTGATCATTCACACCTCGGACGATGCAAAATTTGCTGTCCACAAAATCTTCCTCGCTGTTGCGTCTCCACTTTTGAAACGTTTTCTGTTGTCAGGGTCATCCTCTCCATGTCCGCCGTTTGAAGGGCTCGTCCTTAAGTGCGATGGCGATCATGCCATCATCAAACTCGAAGAAGACGCTCAGACAACTGAGAGGGTGCTGCAATATTGCTACCCCTTCTCCAATCCCGTATTTAGCAATCTAAACGATGTGCAGGCCGTCTTGGAGATGATGAGAAAGTTCGGGATGAAGGGGTTGATGAACAGAGTCAAGGGCTCGCTTGTACAGCAAGCGTTTTTAGATGATCAGCCGCTGCGCGTATTTGCCATCGCATACCGTTATGGTTTGGAGGATGAAGCCCGTATAGCTGCGAAGTACACAGTCCGCCAACCCTTCTTCACTCCCTACGTCGAAGAACTAGAACACATCCCTGCCTCTGTCTATCATCGCCTCCTCCAGTACCATCGAAAGTGTAGTGTTGCTGCATGCTCGCTTACAGCCGACTTTTCGTGGTTTCCCGGCTTCGCATCACGCTGGGTATGGTTCCAATGTGATGACTGTGTTCATCATCCCCTATCGTGGCCTCTTTCTGATGGGAAAATATACGAAGTAAATGCATGGTTCATCGAGTTTATGGAACGCGCCAGGAATGCTCTTCGTGAGCGCCCTTGTAGCAAGGTCGTCACAGATCCATTCTTGATTGCGGAATGCCTGGAAGCAGCGTCTGGCTGCCTTACGTGTCGACCAGCTGCCTTCCTAGATCTCAGCGTGTTTATCGGGGAACACTTCACTTCGGAGATTGAGAGGGCGATTGATACTGTAAGTAAGTTGAAACTCACCATTCTTGTGTGTGCTGATTCTTGCTGTCCTAAGGTGGAGCTTGATATCCCATTCTAGCTAAAAAATCTATGGTTTATTTCAAGTAGAGAACACCGCGTTGTATTCGAACTGTTTCAGAATGCTACCTATCTGAGAATTCTCAATCATCCTCCAAAGCAAACCTCCTCGTGTTGACTGGTCGGTTCTTTGCAGCACTTAAATACCACTGACTTCTGCCTATCGAGCCCCCCAGTACGAGACCTTATTTCCGTCGTCATGTCAAACGCTGAAGAAATCACCACCGCTGAAGCACCATTCGATGACCATGACTGTGATTACGTCCTACAATCAACCAACGGCGTAAAATTTCATGTTTACAAGCTTATTCTTTCACTCATGTCACCCATATTGAAAGACAAGTTCACGTCACCACAGAGCGAATCGCAGTCGGATAAATCATCTGTACCCATTATGCCTCTCAGATCCCTACTTCTCCTTTGCTACCCTGCCGCAACCCCAACGTTTGACAGTCTGGATAATGCAAAGGCTGTCCTGGAAGCAGCCAAGCAGTATGATATGCAAGCAGTCCTCAGCCGTGCAGGAGACCTCATCATCGCTCAATTCCTGCCAGATCACATTCTCGACCTATACGCTCTTTCTTGTCGGTTCGGATGGCAGCATCATGCTCAGACCGCTGCTACCCGCGCCCTCGAGATCAAGGATCTAGGACGACCTAGCAATGGGTTTCATGGTTTGCAGGATATCACTGGCGCAGATTACCACAGGCTCCTCGTATACCATTATCGATGCGGCGTCATCGCTCAAACAGTCGGAGACAGTCTTTCCTGGCTACCTCCGTCATCCACAAAAATGCAATTGCAAATGTGGAAATGCAAATGCAGACTCGTGGACAGTGCTAAGAAGCTCGAGATTGGAAACATCGCCGAGTTGAAAATCGTCCCGTGGTTTGCAGATTACTTGGTTTCGAGTGGGAAGGAGTTGTTGGCGAGGCCTTGCGAGTCGACCATAATGGAGTCGGAATATTACAATCACGCTGTGATCGAAGCGACAAAGTGCGATGATTGCCGAAGCGAGGTCATCAAAGATATGGACAGATTCCGTGCTTTGTATATCGCACAAGTTAAAAAGGTGGTTGCAACTGTGAGCTTTCCTTGCCGACTGGTTCATAGCCGACTCAAAGCTCACCTCGCTTCTGTAGGTGGAATTGGCAACCCATTGCAACACTGTCGTGTTGCTATTTGAATTCTGACTATCATAGAGTGAGTGACAAGTACCGTATGATTGCTGAGTGGCTGTCGGAACACCTAGTAGGCTATGGTGGAAACTAGTCAGCCAGTGTATATGGATGTGAACTTGGATGTGCATGATTACTGAGTGCATTTACGCTACTGATGTAATGCATAGAAGCTGAACAAGCTCGTACGTAATTCGGTTGTTTGTGCTACATGCCCCTTAATCCGTGCCTCTGTGACTTACACTAGTGGATCATGGCAGCCACTGAGGAAATCAATATCTCTCAAGCTCAAGCACCATTCGATGATCATAATTGTGACATTATCCTTCGTTCGGCCGATGGTGTCGATTTCCATGTCTATAAGCTCATCCTTTCACTCATGTCACCCGTATTCAAAGACATGTTCGCGCTACCGCAGCCTGAGAGTGAATCGCAGTCAGATGTTTCGTCCATACCTGTCATCACTGTGATTGAGGGTAGCACGACCCTCAAATCCCTTCTTCTACTCTGCTATCCCAGTGCCGCCACCCCAACCTTCCGCAGCTTGGATGATGCAAGGGTTGTGATGAAAGCAGCTAGCAAGTATGACATGCAAGCGGCCCTTAGCCGTGCAGGAGATCTCGCCATGGCCCAGTTTTTCCCAAATCACTTTCTTGAGTTATACGCTCTTTCTTGTCAATTCGGATGGCAGCATCATGCTCAAACTGCTGCTACCCGCGCCCTCGAGATCAAGGATCTAGGACGACCCAGCAATGGGTTCCATGGTTTGCAGGACATCAGTGGTGCAGATTACCACAGGCTCCTCGCGTACCATTATCAATGCGGCATCATCGCTCAAAACGTCGGGAGCTCTCTTTCCTGGCTAGAGTCTTCATCATATGTGGCAACACGGAATCATGCATGTCACCATTCTGTGAGGCTCTCACCAAACTTGTATGTTGCCTCCTGGTTCCATGAATATCTGGTTTTGAGTGGGAAGGAGTTGTTGGCAAGACCTTGCGAGTCAACCTTATTTGAACTGTCACATTACAGTCGCGCTATTATCAATGCGACTGAGTGCACCGAATGCCAAAGAACTGTCGAGAGTATGAGCAAATTTCACACCTCATATATCGCACAAGTTAAGAAGGTGGTCGCGACTGTGAGTCAAGCTCTTCCTGCTAGTACTGCTTGATTTATCGCTGATTCAACACTCACCTAAATCTTGCAGGTGAGATTGGAGGCTTTGGATTAAAGTTTTCAATGTCGTGTTGCTGCCATCGAGTGCTGTGTATCATCAGAGCTGGCGTTGTGTTGGATACTGTACTGTAGTAAATTGGCCGTGGGCTTATGGAATTGAATAAATTATGTATATGATCGAGCGACACTACCATACGTACCAATAAATACATTACTGCGCGTGTTAGGCCAAAAGCGATGTTGCAGCACAGACTCAGACTCGAATACCCGTGCCCCTGACCGCGATTTCCATTTCGGTCTCTTCCCAATTTTGCCTTCTCCAGAGTGATGTACTCAACCTTGCACTGCAACTTTCTCGCGCGTCCTCTTCGCAGCCTCACTTTCGCCTCATGTCGTCCAATCATCCGATCTTCTCTACATGCTGGTTCATTCCAGCTCAAACTCAGACACAGAAATGTCTTCACCACAGTTACCAGAGCCCTCTCTACCTCTTGTGTCAGGTGGTCTGACAAGAAGATCAAAGGCTCTGCTGCAATACCGCCCTTACGCGAGAACATATACACCATACCAAATCTGTTGACAGTTTCTCGGATACTTTCGTGCCCTGTCCTCGGTTGGTCCATACTGCATGACGATTTCTTCCTTGCGACCGGACTGTTGGTATATGCTGGGTTGTCAGACTTAGTGGGTACCCTACGAATGGTTAGGTTGATCAAAAGTTGAGCTTTGACTAAAGGCCGATGGATACCTGGCAAGACGCTTCAACATGCATTCAGTTCTCGGGACCATTCTTGACCCTGCTGCGGACAAAACTCTCATGACCACCCTCACGGTGACATTGGCTATGAAAGGATTGCTTCCTAGTAAGCAAGCTCAATAGCGGCCCATTTTTATTTGGCTGATGCCCGTCTCTAGTCTCATTGGCCTCAATAATCATCGGGCGCGATGTGTTGCTGAGTCTTTCTGCCTTTTACATTCGTTATACATCACTCCCCGCACCAGTACGTGTCAGGCGATTTTTTTTAGTATGTGTTCACCAATTTCTTTAGAAAACCTTCTCTCGATATTGGGACTTTTCTATACCATCAGCTGAGGTACGGCCCACCACAATCAGCAAGGTAGGATTCTTTGCGCCTCATTTTGTGATCTGCTAAGTTATCATTCGCAGTACAATACCTTTGCTCAACTCGCGTTAATGTGCGCTACAACTGTCACCCCCATCCTGCCTGTACAATATAACCTGTTTGTACCCGAAATGCAGTAAGCTGGTCATATATTCATGTTTTTTCTTACCCTGACATGTTTAGAATTTTGGTGGCCGTGACAACGGTTTGGAGTGGGTTGTCCTACGTGTTTTCCAAGGATGCTGTGCGAATAGTATCGGAGACACGCAAGAAGCTTCCACCTTCATAACGCGGAATTCAGGTTTCCGCACTACCAAGGCCTGGTGCAGGGTGTACAAGATCTTGATTTTAGGATACCGAACTAATAATACAACATCTATGATAACAACAATCTGGCCAAACGAAAGACATCGCGGAATGAGGGCTACGAAGTAACTGCAATGACTCTTCGACGACGGACTTCTTGTAGCGCGTTAGAAATTGCTTGTTTGTTCGAGCCTGCTTCTCGCCAAGCCTCACTAACTTGCCTGAAAAGACATCAATCAAGACGGAAACTTGGGATCAGTGACTGGGCACATACCTCACACGCCGTATAAATATGACACTAAGCACAACGCTCTTTATCGAGCGTGTCTTCTTCATCATTGCTGGTGGGTTTTTTGGTTTGGGATATCCTATCCGGGATATGCAGGCCAGTATACGCTTCTCACTGTCGAACAAGATAAACGTACAGCATAATGATAGAGAAAATGCCCGTACCTGGCCTCAAAGTTCGAGAGGAGAACAAGAAGATAATGTTTCTGGTATACGAGATCATCTCGCAAGGTAGACTCGCGCGTAAACTTTGCCTTGAGGTACCGAATCTGGACGACAAGGCCTTTGCACTCTTCCTTGTGCTGTTTTTTCAGCTCGACGAGCTGGTAGCCATCGCTAATTTTTTTGTTCAGCATCAAGATACAGCACGAAAGTATGTCGTCACCCACGTAGCAAATCCATAATCCTTGATCTTGAGCTTCTCCTGGGCCGTCTTTAGCTTCGTATGCTGGCCGTTGAGCTGCTCGTTCAGGAGACGTATCTGAGTCTGGGCCTGCTTTTTGGCTCGCTCGGCTTTCGTCAACTCATTCCTGTGTTTCTCCTGCAGCTTCTCTTTCTCTGTTCGCAGAGTTTTAAGATCACGTCCAAACGCCTCGGCATCTCGCTTGACACGTCTAAGGTCGGATTCAAGGGCTGCAACAGTGCGTGCAACATCGGTCTTCTCAATGGCCATGCGGTTTTTCTCCTCCTCGCTACGCTGTAGTTCGTCGGCTTGATTGGAGAGCGCACGCCTGAGGTCATCAATTTCACCGAGATGCGAATCAAGTTGATGACGGCGGTTGTCGTGTGATGACTGTGACCTTGCATAGTCATTGCGAAGCTTGTTGACTCGCTGTTCAAGTGTTGGCGCAATCCAATATTGTTACAGGAAGAGACACTCACTTCTGATACTTCAGTGAACTGTCGCTGAAGCTCCTTATGGTCCTTGGCAAGAAGAGACCGCTCTTGCCGCAGCTGATCGATTGTCTCCGCGTTTTCTTTGACTTTGCCTTCTAGAAGACGAGCTTGCTGTTCGATGGTTGCATTGGCTGTACTTGCCAATCAGGAGTGATAATTTAGAGATGGCACAGTACGCACTTCGCAATTCGGTCTCTAGTTCATTATTTTCGCGCTTGGCTTTCTGGAGCTGTCTCTTGACATCATCGATATCCTGATAACTTATAGGTTAAAATGCTTCTGATTATAGTCAAGGGACGTACCGCCTCAGTTCGTTGTAGTTGACGAGCCACAGCACTCTTCTCACGCTGGACGTGGTTCTGCTCCACGGACATCTGTCTGAGACGCGTCCTCTCTGCCTGCAGCTCAGCCTCGAGGTCAGCAATGACAGCCTTCGCCCTCTCGACTTCCCGAGTATCAGCTCTCGATCGTCGGCTAGCTTCAGTCGCTCTCTTCGCTTCTTCCTTTGCGCTTCGTACTTCCATGTTCATCCGGTCCGCAGCATCTTCAAGGACCGCCTTTTCTCCTAGAAGGTGGCGTTTTTCTTCCTCCCATCGCTGTTTCATCGTATCCAGTTTCTTATTTACTGCATGAAGGTCCAACCTCAGAGCTTCACTGGTCTTTGTCGGAGGTGTCGGGGGGTTGGAGAGGAGACCACTATGCGACACATCCAAAAAGCTTAGAAATTTTGTGTCAGGATATCACGCCAAGGATGCGCCATGAATCGCACCTTTCATCGGCGTCGTAAAATCGTTGCAATGCTGATGTGTCCACCTTGACCATACATTTCTGACAACGGAGCCTTTGGAGTCGGTGAAGTCGACGCTCCTCGCGTCTCTGTAACCTTCCCATCTCGTTTTCCATTTGAGAAATCTGGGATCGGGCAAGTTCAAGGTCTCTAGTGAGGGACACGACTCCCAGCCCAGCATCTTCCAGTTCATCGAGCTTTTGATCGATATTATCGTTGGCACGGTCAAGTTCAGTTTGAAGACGAGCGATTTCAGTTAATAGCGGCGATACTGACGCATCGCCGGTGGTGTTGTTCAGCCAGGAAAGCTATTAAGTTTCCATGAACAAAGAATTCTCGAATATTATGATATAAGCTTACATCTTTCAGAGGACCTCCAGGTGTCTTCGGAGCCCTAACGGACATCGATAATACATGCCGATGAATGGGTGAGATTCCACTGAGGTTGACCACCTTATTTGGAGTTGCCGCCTCAAAGCTAGTTGATCGGAGGGCCTTGATACGTGCCTGGAGCTCCTCCTTGTCCTTCTCCAGAATCTCGATCCTCTGGTCCTTAGCAGCGTCAATGGCTTTCCGTGCAGGAGAGTGTTGAAGGAGCTCAGCGAGTCTCGCGATCTCTTTGTGCGCCTGTTCGAGCTCTGCCTCGAGTGCATTCTCAAGTTCAGCATTGCTCTCGTCTGAATGCTGTCCTTTCAGAAGTCGAGACATCTCCCTCTCACGTTCTCTTTCTCTTTCCAGGGTGGAAATCTTGGCCTTGAGATCTGCGACAACTTCTTGGTCGGTGCGCATCTTCTGCTCCGCAGCTTCAAGAGCGTCCTCCATTTGGTTGACCAGCAGCGATGCCCTTTCCTTTTCCCTTTCCAATACTTCAGCACGATCATTAGCCTCTTGTTCTTCAGCCTCCAACTGGTTAAAGTGGGTTTGAGCGGAGGTGAGCTGCTCTTCGAGGTCTTGGATGCGTTCAGTTGTCGCGGCAGCAGCCTCTTCGAGCTCGGCAGTATAAGTCTTCAATTCGCGAACTTCCTCGTTGATATCATTGTCAGAATGTGCAATGAGCTGCTGTGCTTCTGCAAGCTCCTCTGCCTTTGCTTCCAGCTCATGCTGTAGACGTCTTGCAGCAGCTTCCTGAGCTTTGAGGTCCTTCTCGAGTTCAGATGACCGAGCACTAGAGCGCATGATCTCAGCCCCCATCTCGCTCAACTGGCTGTGAAGATCATCGTTAGCCAGCTTGGCGGAGAGCCGCTCCTTCTTGAGTTCCTTCTTGAGCTCGTCAACACGGTGGTCGCTCGTCATTATTTCATCCTCCAGATCCTTGATCTGTGCGGTCGCACTCTGCAGGTCGGCTGTGAGAATGCTGATCCGCGCGTTGGCCTCCTTCAATGCGCCCCCAAGCTCCTTCCCGTTCTCCATTGCCGCCTCTGCCTGTCCAGCCCTCTCCAGCGCAAGGTCACGCTCGCTTTGAAGTCGTTCATGGATACGCTCCGCCTCCTTCGTCGTCTCTTCCAGAGCTCGCTCGCTCTCTGCGACTTTCTGCTCCAAGTCACCCATGATCTCTGCAACACCATTCTCGACCTCATGCATACGCTCCCGCCAACGTTCCTTATCTCGTGCACGCTCACGCCGCTCAGTCTCAAGGTCCTGGTCCACGCTTTCCTTCGCCCCTGCCAGCTCGTCGAGCTGAGCCTCCAGACTCTCGACCAGCTCCTCCAAATCTTTCTTCTCCTCTGCCCACCCTTCTTCCCCCGCCTCCTCCACATCGCCCAGTCCACTCCCTGCACTGACCCTTCGCGCCTTTTCAGAGCCCATGCTTTCCAAACTGAGCCGTCGCTGTTCAGCATCCTTCACCTCTTCGTACTTCCTCAACCGGTCAACGAGTGCCTTGTTCTCTTCCTGTAGTTTCGAGTTCAGTGTGTGAAGGTAATGATTCAGCTTCGGCGCGTCGAAGCGGGCCACGCCGCGCTGACCTGTGCCAAGCGCAGGGTCGTACGAGGTGTTGGCACGTGGGTGTGTGGTGAGATCCTGTGAGGACGCAGTGGAGAGGAACGAAGCCGATGCGCCGCGGAGCTCGATGTCAGAGGGGGACGCGAGATGCTCACTTTCACCTGTAGAGGATGCACTGTCTGGAACATGCGCCTGCGCAAGAGGGTGCGACATGCGTCCCCGCCCCCGTCCAGGCCGAGGAGTGATACCAGCAAATATGGTGCGCATGGGACCCACAGGCGTTGCGCTAACACCGGATGCGTTTTCGCTGCTCCCGCTTGAGCTCTGCGACACAGGGAGAGCGCTGAGTCCGGTTGTGGGGATGAGGGGTAAACTTCATGCGTGGTCTGGCAGTGGAGTTGATGACTGAAAGAAGAAATGATCGCCTGCGGGCATGAGGTGTGAGGAGCTCTTCGCCTGCGTCTGTACCTGGTTCATTGTATGCAGGTGGGATGTTGAACTGCGTACGAAATCGCGGAACGGGTGTGAAATCCAACACTGATCTGGCGGGCGATAGAAACGCTGTTGAATGAGCACCTATGGTTCGGTCGTTGTTCATTTGATTGCTTGGATCAGACGATGCGGATGAGAATGTGGGCTCGCGGTCCGATTGCGTGCCAGAGTCCTCCTGCCCTAGTTCGGGGTCACTTTCCTGTGGTGTCTCCTGTGAATGTGCTGGAGAAAGCTCTTGTTCATCACTGCTCTCATCCTCCGGGGGCTGTATCACAACGCTTGGGAGTGAAATGACAGCTGGAGAGGCAGTTCTCGAACGAGGTAAGGCAACGTAAACACCAGGAGTCGGTGATGGTGTCTCTACAGGTAGTGGAATAGATCTGTTGCTGCGAGGCGTGGAGTTTGGAGGTGATGAGACAGGAGAGGGTGTCGTCCGGGAAAGTGACGGCGTTCTCGTCCGTGCGAGTGGTTTTCGTAGTGCAACATTACGATATTTGTCAAATGGCGATCGCTGGGACATATTGATCTTAATAAAAGTGAGAAACAAGCAAGAAATCATTCACCTGAGGTTCAGAACGTAATGACATCGAGTAATCGTATTTCTTCTTCGGCGTAGGATTGTCCAGAGGGATTTCGGGAGAAAACGGGGAACTAGAGCGACTGACCGACTGTAGTGCATCCTCCAAAGACATGTCATCTACCCCATTCTCTTCTGGCGGTAAATGAGACTCCGGAACACTGTGCCTACTATGTGCGAGAGGCAAGTCTTCTGGTTCTGTATTCTCGTCGCTCTCGTGGGGAAGCGAGGTAATAGCACTCACTTCGAAGCTTTGTGCGGGGCTCCGAGGATATGGGTATGTTCTAGAGGCAGAGGAAGATTTGGCTGATACAGAGCGTGATGTAAGAGAGCTTGCAAAGCGTGCTGTGCTGGAAGTACTTGATTGTAGCCTGATAGTTGAGGTCGCCGTGTGCGCCGAGGCAGGGGCGGGTGTTGAATGCACCGGCAAAATAACAGGGCCATCGTCAGTTGAATGTTGGTCTGAGTCCGAGTCTGAGTCTTGTGCACCAGAATCGAAGGCAGGTAGTGACGGAAGAGAAGGTGGCTCTCCTTCGTCTGCAGCTTGAATTCTGCGCCATATTCGAGACGGTGTCTCAAGCATCGCCATCTTGAATGATGTTGCGGATCCTTTGGATGGTTAAAATTTCGTCAGTTCTCATACACACGATAACGACTTACCGAGGTTGATGTTGTTACAGATCACGACAACTCGATTTAGGATGGCCCAAAACCACGTGACCGCGTTTCATCACGTGCTTCTTGGAACAAAGTCAGCCTGGTCGAGACCCCAAGCTCTGCTACAGTGCTACTACTGACTAGAAGTTGATCGAACATGAAAAAGTTAACCGCTCTTACCCGGCAGGACTAGCCCCAGAAAAGAGTGCGAAAGTAATTGTTTTTGGGATCAATAGAAGGGAGACACGAGGGAGTATTCAAACACATGACAGCGAAAATATGATAATGTTTTCGGCGGCGGCATTTGTAACGATTTAAGTCGATTGTCAATGCGTATGTGGAATTGATGGAACAACCCACCGTTTCTTTCCCACAAGAGATGAATCGTAGTCTTGTGTATGTATTATAACTTTTGGTGAGACCATCCACTTTCGGAATAAGTGCGCCGTACCCATACCTTAGGGACATGGGTCGGATCTACTCCTAAAATCGAGGACTTGCATGTGACAAAAACTTGCAGGATACAAAAATGGACGTTATCACTCCTCGGAGGATCGCAGTATGACATCCTATTGTCATCGCAGTGCGATAGTAGTTGCAGTTGTTCGATGATCAATCTTGCCGACGCACATAGTTCGGACGGGCGACAAGGATGATATTTATTTCATCGCATGAGGGGCATCGTCAGGTAAGTAATCGGGAGCGCGTGGATCGATTCAGACTCGGCGGTGCTTACCTGGACCCCGCCTGGGGTGCACATCAGTGTGAAATATTTAGAAAATCGGGAAAGCTGTATAACGTGAAATGACAAAACAGGATAGAGGTAAAGACATTTGCTCACAGCTGCAAATTATTGTATTTTGCCGAAATCACAATCCCATTAATTCGGATATTAGCATTATCCTGCGTGCAAAGGGAATTCTGGAAAGAGAACCTGCCCACTGCAATATGCCTAGGAAAGCGTGCCAAGCATGAAACTATTTGTGACCTGACTCTAGTACATAGTGAGATAAATATCATCAGCGAAAATCGATGTCCAGGGGAATCTGCGAGGAGGTAAATCACAGGCAGTCAGTCAAACGCGAGAGAACTCACCTCCAGGATAATCGCCATTACCGGGAAGGCAAGCTCCTTTGCATATTCAGCAAGCGCCCTCGGCGCTCTCTCTCTACAACCAATACAACTGCCAGCCCTCCTAACCATACTGTCAATCCACTCGGGATTAAGAAGGCTTTCCACAGATGGTCGGATGCGGAGTGCTTCTATGACACTATCTTGATATTCTTTGAGGGACAAGCGAGAAACCCCCTTCTTGCGACAGAACTTGCAGTCGAGTGACGGTAGGGGATACGTAGACCAAAGACGAGTAAGCTGGGTCATAGCTTGACCGCAATTTGTGTGGTACTTGACCAACCGCTGGAAGTCTGAACCAGAGATGAAGTCCAATTCAGACACATACGCAGGCTCCCATACTGCAAAACGCAGCATATATCTCGCCGCCACGAGAGTCTCTGCCTCCGAGCGGTAGCGACATGCAATAGCAAAGACCCGCATAGGTTCTTTCTCTAGAAACCTAGGAGCCGTTATCATTCTAACGATGAATATACCGACTCGTTTCATGTCGTATTTATCGGCGGCATCGAGGACAGACATGACGATGTCCAAGTTCTCGAGAGCGGGCACGTCTGTGTCGTAGACAGGAGAACAAAAGCTCAACAGCTTCTGCAAAATGACGCTATTCTCTGTCACTGGTATGATGGGGAGACCGTCTTTTGTCCGGTCCGCAGCATCATCGAGAGAGTCTGGCTGAGGTAAAGAGAACATGTTTGAAAAGAAAGATGATGCTAGGGATAGCAATAGCTTGTGAAAGTGGAAATCAACATTGTCCGCACTGCGTAATATGATATCCCCTCTGTCAAAGGGGGCTCCAGCGTCGACTGGTATCCGCCGTGATTCAACGTCTTCGATGCTGGTGTACTTGTACAAAGTCGTACATGTGTCCATTGTGGGAGGATTCCGGTGAGAGCTAGGTTACAACTTTCCTGCAGTAACTTCTGCGACAAGCATTTCCAGCGCCCGCAGCGTGGAAGGAGTCTGAGACAACATGTGAACGAGAATGACTTGAAGTTCCCCTTTGGGATGGCTCTAACTAAACTTGGTTTTAATTTTGATTTCTAATCTGCTCTTGAACTGTTAAAAATAATCCTGCTCTCACCATTCGATGGCATCGACTTGCTTCCAGATTATATAAGAACGTGTTGCACATAGGTTTTCTAGGGAAAGCGCAAAAGTTGTACGATGATCACGATACCAAGTAACGTGCAGTAAGTGGTTGTTGTTCTGTCATTAGATGGAAAGTTCTCTACAGTCTAAATATCTATTATATGTTTAACTCACCAGAAGTGCTCGTACAGCAGATACTGGCTCTACTAGTAAGTCCTTGATAACAGGGTAATTCTAAGCTGGTTCAGCTGTGATAGATTGAACAAAATAGCTGAGCCTAGCGGTCTCCACTGATTTTTGACGCGCAAGTGCAGTGCAGGTAGTCGTGTCGACCCCGCATCAAATGGCGATATCTAAAGTGATCTGCAGAGGCAAGTTTAGATCCTTACGACAACCGCAATTCCGCTATTCGCGCACCTCGGCAATGACTCTGTCCAATTCCCGAGCAAAAGTCTTGGTGAACTGAACCATTTGGTCTTGCGCCCGCCGTCGACATGAGGGACAACCATTTGCCCTCTCGACAGCTTCTTCCAAGTTTTTCGTCAATACTGCACCACAAGGAGATTCTTCCAGGGCAATGGATGTCTTGTCCATGTAATCTGCCCACCACTCCCGCGGATAAGTTCCATGTATTAGGTACCTAACGTCCGCCTTTGAGTTACATGGACAGCAGTTTGTCCACCACTCGTAGAAACTGTGCGTCTGTGACTTCTTCAGCCAGTCCAGATTGTCGCAAAGCGTTCTGGCCGCTTGGCCGCACCTAGAGCGATATGCGACAAGGCCCTGAATGACGTTATTAGGAAGGTGTTCTGCAGCAAGGGAGTCATGTGTTGGGGCTGTGTGATGAAGCGAATATCGTGCCGCAGTCCTGGCTTCTGGCTCAAGACTAAACCGACATGCAATCGCAAGGACGCGTACGGGGCTGCTCTCCAGGAGGGACGGGGTAACCATGGCTTTCCTCACCCTCTCTTCAACATCTTCCATCCCGTATTTCATTGCAGCCTCCAGGACTTGCTCCACGTCATTAATGTCCTCCAAACCGGGATCTTTTACCGCTGCCGGATAACAAAATCTCAATAGCATGTCGAGTGTCCTGCTGTTCTCCGACACCCAAATCATGTCTAGGCCGTCAAACATCTCATCTTTACAGTGGTCCCTACTTGGTCGGGGAAGGTCGAACATCGCCTCGAAGAATGGAGAGGAAAGTGCGAGCATGCAGCGGAAGACGCGGAAGTAGACATTGTCTGAAGAACACAAGATGATGTCTGCCTTTGCATTATTGAATGGCGCTTTGGCTTCGCCGGGCATTGTGAGGACTGGTTAGCAGGCAAGGGTAACATGACAAAGGTGCAATTCGGAATCTTATAAGTAATTTGATGCGAGTAGAAGTGAATTAGAGAATTTGGTAACAGCCTTGCGGTGCTCCCCAACATGTGGTCTGTTTCGCTTCCAATGGCCCTGCATGCCTTTTAGGCCTTCATTATTACTTCATCTTGATTCTGGCTATCTATACCGTATCCAAGGGTATTCCCTTCTTGACACAGAACGGGAGGCTGATACAACCAAAAAGCGTTTCTTGCACGCTATGTATAGGAATACATATAGGCTAGAATCCGCCGGACAATCCTGAGCGCTGAGCTTTTGTCTCTGTATCGGAGCTCTATCTCATCCGGGGGAAATTAAATAGTTGTTTACATACAATTTATTTCGCATAATAAAGTGAGGCTTGGCAAGGTGATAAAATTTAAAGAATATACTACGCACGTGCTTATGTTATACATTAACATACCCCTTCTACGTATACTACTCGCGTCCTCTTCTACTCCCTCTAACGTTGTCAACAACGAGCCCAAGGCATCAAAGATGACATAGAAAACTGGCCTTCGCCGTGACTGTATCCCCATTTCACGAGGTTCTGGTTGCATAGATCGCACAATTGGACACACGATTTCTGACACAAGTCTCGGCCAACCTGTCTGATCTACCCACCGCCAAGCTCCAAGTAGCCTGATCCGAGGAGCAGTTTCAGCAGGACCCCGACCAGAGTACCTTACTCTAACAGCGCCTTGCGAGTCCTCGAAATAAATCAACACGGTGATATCCCGTCAAGACGTGACACGACTATGATGAGTTGTTTTGGCTACTAATTTGTAGATGAAGATGCTTCCAGTCTATGTGTTCAGAGGACTGCCACATCACTTACTACTATAGGATATACCCATGAATCAAGTACAGCTGCAGAAGACCCCAGATTATCGTCACGGTCGCATCGCTGGTAGTGTCGTGGGCAGAACTATCTTGGAGTTCTGCCGGAAGAGCTGGCAGAGCTTGGCAAAACCATGTTTTGTTGTTAGTGTGGCAGGTGGCAGAATCAAGGAAAAAATCGCACTCCAACTCTGAGTTCTGCCTGTGACAATCTGCCCAGGAGGTTCTGCCTGTCAGTCACGGTGTCAGTTCTGCCCTATATATGGCAGAATTCTGTCCAGAACACTACGCATCGGGTACGTACCGTTCCGATCACTGACGGACTCGGAGTATACGTACTGACGATTCATTGAAACAACCGCCTCAAGGTACCGTGGCCGACGCGATATATCAAATATCTTACATACCCAAGTGTGTGTCGCCACTAGGTCGCGGGAATGCACTCACAACTGGCCGATATTTTAATCGATTTCGGTCGGCTAACGATAGAAGGAACGGATGGATCAACAGGATTAAATCTCGCCGGCAGTCAGGACGCCATGTTTGCCACGGGTCCCGACTCTCCAGTCAGACAAGGACGCGTGAACTTGAGTTGGGACCATAGCACATGATGCGCAGGTCGGGTGGCTGGGGTCTTTTTCCCCCATGAGAATTTTTCCTGATAGGTGATGATCGATAAGATCTAGGCCGAGGAACGAGCGAATATCAGATAAGTACTTCCGGGAGCGACGTGTCCTGTTTCCTTCGACCCTAGAGAACCCTTTATAAATCAAGGTGTTCTTCTAAACGATACCACATGTAAGTATATCCGTGTAGATATATTGAAAGCACTGGTCTCATTCTCATCGAAATGCCGTCTAAAATAGCGGCAGGAATGGCGAGTGGGTGTAGTGAGGGTCCATACTGGGGCATTTGTGACTTCAGGGGTGAGGCGATAGGGTGGGGAGGTATGTATCAATATGTCCCATATGATGATCCGATCCAGTCACTCGATAGACAGAAAAAGGAGGTTGCTAAGAAGGAAGTGTTTAGGTGTCTCAGCCAGTGAAAAAATGGATGCATACAGTCACGGTGATGTCCATTAATGTGAACTACTTTACTTATCTTTGTATTCAAGGCTAATCCAAATCTCGAGGGTTTACGCACGATAGCTGATCTTATCAACGCCACTTAAAGCCTCAGTATGTAATGTCAGAAGCTTCATACTTAGTTCACATTGGACTAGCCTGGCTTATATAACTACGGACGAGTGCTAACTTACGATATGGTCGATACAATAATCTGGTAGGCTGGCAGTATCGAGTCCCTAGTCTACCCAGTAATGAATCTATGCCATTGTGTGGGACGGCCCAATTAACTGGTAAGTAGATATTATCATTGCAAAAAAATATCAATACATGTGTATTAATATCTACACTGTACAGAGAAGTGAGAGGGCATGATCCATGTGACCTTGTCTAGATGATCTTACTGACTGTAGATTCCGTGACACTCCTCGCAACCTTCGCACGGTGCAGGCATCTGAGTCTGTAATTCTGGGCCAATATCTGAATGTCTTGCGCGCCGCTGACGCTTAACAAAACGAGGAGGAGGATCGTGGGATCGTTCGCGCTGCGAGGATGAAGCCACGCTTGATCTGGGAAGTGCACGCTTCAGGCGTGAAGGTGCAAAGTCGAGTACATCAGGGAGCTCTTCGAGCTTCACGTCTGACTCGGTGACAAGTTCTTCTTGGAAGAAGGAAATGCGCGAGTTATCGACGCTCTCCCTGCCTTTACGTTTTCGGCCGTCGGGAGATGTCTGGGACATGAATGAACTGGTGCGAGTCAGCAACAGGATGTAAGTTCATTGGTAGAAGACGTACTGGTCCAGAAATTCTCTTTCCAAAGCATCATACTTCACCTGCAGCCGGCTGGTGGCTTCACGAGCAGCCTTGGCTTCCAAACGAGCGTCCTTCTCATTTGTGGCATACTGACGAGAAGCTGCCATGTGTGCCTCACATCTCTCCATCAGAGCATCCCGATCTCTACTCAACGCAGCGACGCGTGTTTTGAGTTGCTCGATCTCGGCAACTAACGGAGCAGGAGATGCAATATCTAAGTACAACTTGCGCACGCAGGGAACCATGAAGTCATGGTATTTTTTGGGAACAAAAGATAGATCAGGCATAGCTGCATGATAGTAGTCTGAGCAGAGGGTTCCTCGCGCAACATGAAACATACCAATGTGGAATATGCCCCGACATGATGGGCACGAAGATTTCAAAGCATCATTTCCGGAATTTATATGGGCGCGTAGGCATTTTTCACAGTGAACGTGACCTAGATGACATGAACAGGTCATCACATGCAGAAGTCTGAATCGGAATAGGACTGACCACACGGAATGCAGACAGGCTTCTTGATATCCTCTAAACAGATGCCACATTCAGCCATGTTGGAGCAATCTGTCAGATGTTAGTGGTACAGACGAAACTTGGATTGAAAGAGATTCATTGTCGTGAAACAAGCTTCAAGTAGAAACTGGACAAACGCGTCCACAGCCACGTGACCGCGTCCTTCTTGGCACATCACAACAGAGATAAACAAGGACCAGACTCCTCGGGCCAACTACCAACGCTATTCACAGCCTACAGCAGCTCTGGCTGCATCTCAAGAGCATTAACAGGGTCTTCTTGGACCCGCTGATTTAAAGGCAGCGCCTTAAATCATTGAAACAACTGAAATTTTGATTATTTCTTGCGGACAAGGGCTCCATCACGATCCATTTGATATCCATATTGCCTGTGCATGTCTAATTCTTTGCACTCTCCTTCTCGTCCGCTCTCCGAGTCAAGGTCTTCTTCACGCGGCTCCCTGCGTTCTGCACGCGCTTCGAGCCCGTCAGTACCCCAAAACGATACAGGTATAACTCCTTCACCTGTCCATTCAGATTTCATTCAACTATCTCGGTTCGTTCTATTTCATAGTGGTCGTTCGTAACCAAATGTCGACCTTGAAGCATTCTATTCGGCATCAACAGGCACAGCTACACAGCTTGGAAAATATTATTTTGCGTGGATCACGCCCGCTCCCACCTGGCTTTATGGCACCCTCTCACTCTCCACAACCCTCGTCGGAGGACGTCTTGGATATAAGTCCTTGTCCTGTGTCGTACACTACGAGCTTTTCAACTCCAAAAATGCAACGTCGCTCCAGTTTTGATGTTTTACAAGGCCTCGCTGGTCGCGAGTCAAACCTTCCGCTCCCGAGGAGAGAAAGTGCGACACCAATAATGAAACGTGATGGAATTCGCGAAGGTATCCCCATGGATTTCGGCGGCAGTCCCGGACCTGCAGTGAACATTAAACGAATGTCTAGTCCAACGCGTACACTGAGTCGTACGTCACCCGTGCCTTTGTTGCCTCGTTATGCTAACAACTTCTTGTTTTAGGGATACCTGTAGCTTCCGTAGGTCAGTCTTTCTTTACCTCCCCTGCAACCAGGATTTCCCTCATTGTGAACGTGGTGACTTAATACTATTAGGGAATGCCCGTGCGTTAGCCGACAATGGTCTCTCTCCAGCTCTTAACTCCTCGCCAGCAATTTTACCGATTGACATTCATGGGGGCAATAACTCAGACAATTTGAATGCTTCCACTTCTGCGCTACAAGCTCCATCATCTCCTAATAGACGTATCTCCCTTACACCTGGGGGGACGACTAAAGTTTTGGCAGATCTCCAGGCCGGTGTTATAAATGCTCGCAACGCCTTGGAAAACACCAAGTCTCAGCTTCGTCTCTCACAGCGGACTGTTGCACAGTTGACACGACAGACCGAGGATTTGAAAGAAGGCCGAGAACGCCTCAGGCTGGAAAATGAAGGTCTTAACAATGTTGTAGCGAGAAAGGAGAGGTTGTTACAAGAGGTTAGTCAGCCTTATCATAACTTCTCTACTGACCAATTGCAGGTTCTTGAGCGGGCCCGCAAAGCTGAAGCCGAGGCAGCAACCTTAAAATCTCAGCTGAAAACGGAGACCGCGACCTCCAAAAAGTCCCTGCGCGAGATGGAATCTGCTCTCCTTGAATCAACGGCCCTTTCTCAGAAGGCTGAACGCGAGTACATTACATTGCGGGATAGCATCAAAAGCATGACCGAGAGTTGGAAGCATGATACCGATAGACTTCGTGAAGAGATGCGGAAGCGCGAGGACAAGCTAAAAAAAGAAGCCGAATCAATTGGCAAGAAGTATAAGCTTCTCGCAGATGAGATGAAGGAGGCGCAACGTCAGCAAGCTTCTGTGAAAGACCTCAAAAATGAAGAGCAGAAAATCAGGAAAGAGATCGAAGAAGAGTTCCGCGAGGAGATCATCAAAGTGAAGGCACAGGTTGAACTCCGATCTCATCAAAGCGATGAGGCAGTGGAGACTGCGAGGTACGCAGTACTTCTTTCTTACCCCACACCTTGGCCTTACGAAATTTGTTCAAATAGAACTTTGGCGAGTGAGCTGGCTCGTCTCCGCCGGTTAATGCAGTCTGGTACCAAGTCCCCTCCACCTGATACCGAAAGCCCTTCCTGATCTAGATGTCTCATTTTGTTGCGTCGACCGACTGTCCAGGGGGCATTATTCATTGACATGGACATCTATCTCATGTATATCACGCACACACTCATTCATATATCTTACACCCTTCCATTGCTGTCATATACCTACCAGGATAACTTGAGATGATTTGTACATGGCGCATGATTTTCACTTTACTGCGCGGCAGTACCCGTAAGCGGGGTGGGAGTTGGTGGGCATGGTAATTTCCTTACGCGGATGATTCGGCTACTAATAACCGGAGGCATACATTTCCGACTCGGAACACTACATGCACATGATTACTGAATGGCATAACAGGCGCTCACCGGCCCTTGTTATTGATTCAAACGAGTTTCACGTCGTCTCCGTTCTGAAATCCACCATCTCTCTCTCCACCATCTGACACGATGTCTGTCATCATATCTACACCAATCACCGAGCTTTTTGGGATCAAACATCCCATATTGCTCGCAGGTTCGTGTCATAACTCTAGTGTTACCCTCCAGGGATTCTTATGACTCTGTAGGCATGAATGTGGCGGCTGGTCCGGAACTGGCAGCTGAAGTGACGAATGCAGGTGGACTAGGGTGTTATCGGTGGGCACGGCTATACCCCAAAGGTGCTCAGGCAGCAGGTACGTATCGCTGCGAGAGTTGAGCTCACATGGACATTTAAATACAACTCCGCCGCATCAGATTCAAGCTATCAAGAAGGACTTGAAGAATCCAGATGCACCATTTGGGGTTGACCTACTCATCCCCCAGGTTGGCGGGAATGCAAGGAAAACAAACGTAAGTCTTGTGCTACGTGTCAGTTCTCCGGCGCTGAATCCTCTGCAGTATGATTACCAAAATGGGAAACTAAATGAACTCATTGATATCATTATCGAGGAGAAAGCGGCTCTTTTCGTGTGCGCTGTCGGTGTGCCGCCAAGGCAGGTAGTCGATAAGTTACATAGCGCAGGTATACCCGTCATGAACGTGAGTTTCTTCTTATATCACGAGGGCGGTGTGCTCACGATGCCCTAGATGGTCGGACATCCCAAACATGTCCCGAAAGCGCTTGCAATGGGAGTTGATCTAATTTGCGCTCAGGCCGGGGAAGGCGGCGGTCACACAGGCGATGTCCCTGCATCAGTCCTTATTCCTGCGGTCGTTGACGCATGTCGCGGACATGTCTCTCCGCTGACAAAGAAGCCGGTATACGTTATCGGTGCTGGTGCGGTGTATGATGGGCGCGGACTCGCCGCAAATTTGGCGTGGGGAGCACAAGCGGTCTGGGTAGGCACCAGATTCGTTGCATCCACGGAAGCAAATGCGCCCAAGGCACACAAAGATGCGCTCGTAACCGCAGGATACGAGGACGCCGTCACGACCCTGATTTTTACCGGACGACCCCTCCGAGTCAGGAGAACGCCGTACGTCGAGGACTGGTATGTTTCTACCTTGTCACTGTTTAGCCTCTTGTTTCAACGTCCTTTTTAGGAATACCAATCGCCAAGCGGAGATTAAGGAACTTACATCCAAGGGTATTATTCCTGCGGCTTGGGACCTTGAACAACACCCAGAGAAGTCGCTAGAGGCTAGAACCTTCTTAATAGGAAGAGTGGCAGCACTTATCAATGAAGTGCTGCCTGCTCAGCAGATTGTGGATGAGATGGTGTCAGATGCAGCGAAGATACTGCAGCGCGGCGCTTCCCTAGTGTCGACTAAGGCAAAGCTATAGGTTATAGGTTTCTTAGATATATATTTGTTCGGGCGCCCGTATAGTGTGAATGACTTTTCTTTGTCTTGAAGCTTCAAGTTTTATGCGCGGATAGATATCACACTTACCCGATCCGGCCCCCGGATCACAGCGATCGGTTCGCGTTGGCACCACGTGATTCATTGTATGTGCCAACGAGCAATCAATGTCATTCATCCGCAAAGCATCACTCCTCTTGCGCAGTGCCGACTAATGGCCACACCAAGTACTGAGAGAATACAGCAAGCCGCTACGAAGCTATTAGAAGAAGCTCGTGCAGAGGGGAAATTGAGGCATGTTATATTTTTGTTACCGTATTCTGTAACTTTGTCGCGACTCATACCCATTGCCCATTGTAGCAAGCTCACCGTACGCATTGTGCGTGAGCGGTTAGAGGAAAGCCTTGACCTCTCACCTGGGACTTTAGACGCAAAAGAGTACAAGACGTCTATCAAGAAAACAGTCGTCGACTATCTGGTAAGGCAGAGTTTACGTCCGGACATTGACCTGCTTTCCTAATATTAACTTTCTGAAGGACAATGTTTCAACAACACCACTGAATGAGGAAGATGATGGAGAGAGCCAGCCAAAAACCTCAAAGAAACGCAAGGGAGGGGCCGACGAAGAGCTTGTCAAACCTCGCAAAGGCGCCTCTAAGCCCAAGGCGTCGCCCGGGAAGAACAATAAAGGAAAGCAAGTGCCCAAGTCCTCTGTGAGTTTTTGTGGCATTCCTTTATGTTCCGCCACTCGAACCCTGTTCTGTTACCTCTAGACTATAGTGGACTCTGAAGCGTCTGAAATGTCTGAAGACGAAGTTTCAGCTCGGAAGAAACAAGTCAAACCTCCGAAAAGCAAGGGCGAGCATGAAACGAAACCCTCTGGCCCCAAAGTATGCGCAATCTCTTCAAAATACCTACGTCACTAATGGCATACAGCGCTCTCAGAAGGCATCCAAAACCAAGAAGTTGACCAGCGGAACCGTTGTGAAGGAACATAAATCAGCTGTGAGTTGAAATTCTGTTATCTTGCGACTAGTCTTCTTCATTCACTACGTACAGTCTATTGTCGAGTCTTCTGGGGACGAGGCTGATGCTAAGCATGCATCCAAATCTGTTGTGACGTCTTCAAAGAAAGAAATACTGTCACCTAAGAAATCGCCTTCAAAGGAGAAACCTCTATCTAAACCTAAGGTGAAACACATTCCTTTCACTTCTGTATTTTGTGTGAACTGTTCTCCTCACCAGTCATCCACCAAGCAAAATGCGAAAAATGAGGTGGTCGACGAGCTCGAGCACGGAGCAAGTTCTTCCACCTCAAAGCCTCAGGAACCCGTCGTTCTGAAACATGCACTTCCCCACAGCGAACCTGTGTGTCCCATTTTTATGACCTACGTTTCACACAATTAATAGGCAATTAGGAGAATGACACTGATATGTCAGTAGTCGTCGATGAACCCCCGAAGAAAAGAAGGAAGAAACAGGAAAAGGTTTTTATCTCTCCCAATCGGTGTTCTGTGCTACTTCTGACAATGTATAGGATTCAAACAAGAAAGCCTCGACAGAACGTAAGAAGACACAGAAGAGCAACGCAGGAGGGTCATCTAAGGGTGATGAGACTGTCTCCAAACTCAAGGTAGAAGTGTCTCTACCTAACACATGCGAGACGTGGTTTGATTTTTGCGTAGGCTATAGTGGTTGCTTGTGGCGTACGCAAGGTGTGGAAGAAAGAATTCGCAGATTTGGATACACCGTCAGGCCAAGTTAAACGACTGAAAGAAATTCTCAAGGACTTAGGAATGACGGGTCGCCTCACTCTGGAAAAAGCAAAGACCATCAAAGCAGAGAGAGAATTCGCACAAGAACTTAGTATGTACTTGGAACGACTCGCGTTGAAAACCAAGCTTATAGTGACATGGTGTATTAGGGGATGTGCAAGATTTCGCAGAGGCAGAACGCCGGCGGGAAAGGAAGAAAGAAAAGAGGGAATCGCAGGATGAACAGTCGGGACCAGGAAGTGACGATGAGGACGAGGACCCACCACTCAAGAGGAAGGTTCGTGAATCATTTCCTATGTTCTTGTCTTTGGAATCATGATGTTCCTTAGAAAACTGCGGGTGCGAGCATTCTAGCCTTTTTGGGGGATCAGAGTGACGACGAATAAGTTGATGGTTTACTTCTCACATCTCCTTGATATTCCTTCTTGAATCCTATGTAACTTCCCACTGACTTGGCGTTTTGTACTACGTGCACCCCTGATGAAGCTGTATGACATCGTGGTCAGCGATGATCCTGCGTAATTTTTCTTTCCCGAAGACCACATCCCTTCTTGACTTGCCCGCGCCTGTCGTCGTAGAGGCGGCTCGCCAACATCCTTCAGCCCTTGTCCCGAAGGAGCATACTCGTCTTGATTCTGCCGAATACCTTCTGTTGCACTTCTGTCGTTTACGCCCCGAGTTGGATGTTGTACCTAACAAGGCTTTGTTTGCTCGTGATCACCCTTTTATCAAATGTTCGTTGCCCTCTGTATCCTGTCTGTGCGTTATCTCGGGCTACATTGAGATGTGGTTCTACGGAGAGGCTGTCGCGGCTGCTCTGCGCCGACTGTATAATGACTTCCTTGCTAATCAAGACCCTATACCGAACCATGTGCATGAACTCTCGAGTGTACCAGACGGGATCAAGGTCTACGAGGCTGCTGCCATTTGACAAGAACCTCTTCACGAAACCCGCCATCAAGGCGACGAAGGCCAAAGGGAAGCGAAAGGCCAACGGACCAGCAGGATATGCATAGCATGGGGCAGGCCAGAGTAACTTACTCTAAGTAAGGACACTTGAGGCAGCAAGTTTTTATCACTTGCTTGGAACTTTCGTGTCTAGCCTTTCTGACACCTCTTCCTCAATCTTCGTTCCTTGCGTTTGGGAGCGCAAGGCCGACGGTCCGGCAGGACAGCTGTCGTTTGCGAAGTAGGCACAGGCCGGAGTACTAGCAAGGTTGCCTGAGGCAGCAAGGTTGCTTGAATTTTCGTGCCGTACTTAGCGAGACCATCGGTCGTACGGTGCCATACCCTGAATATTGCTTGAAACCCACAGCTTTTGCTCGCTTCAGGACTTGTGTGGTGAACTGCTGAGTACTACTTCTGCCCAAACAACGGAAGCGGGGTCGTGAACTTGTGGTTGCCGAAACCCTTTTTTATTAAAAAAATACTTGTTTATTGTCCGTTGGGGAGAAGCCCTATGATAGACAAAACATGCTGTATATACTGTATGTAAGATTTCTCTCGTCTCGAATGATGGGTCTCGTTCAATGGTCGTGGCCGGAGCGGGGATGTTAACACCAACTGAAGGTGATAGGAATAGTGGAACCAACTTGAAGGGGGTTTGTTCGAGGTCTTAGTCTATGTTCTTTGCTTCTTCTTTTCTTTCGGCGGGCCGGAACCCACGACAGGTGGCAGTCTGAAGTCACGGTCAATCTCTAGTTTAATCTGTCATCGAAGATGTTAAGAAGTGTTGCAATGCCTATACAGAGATACTACGTACCGAAGCCGTTGCCTTATCGACGTTGAGGGCAAGTAAGTTGCTGAATTCTTCCATCTTCTCCTTGACATGGGCGGAGCAAGTGGTACAGCCCACATCCCTGACCTTCTGTATCGTCTTTTCTACCTCCGACCTCACGATATCGCCAGAGGGAGTGTCCCTCAATAACTCGAATGTTTCTTCCATATAAGTAGTCCACCAAGAGTACGGAGCAGATTTCCACAACTGGAATTTGGCTTCGTGACTCCGTGCGCATTTACAGATTGGGGGCTCTGATGATGCTCCCCATCTATCTACTCGCCGTGTGTCCAACAACCAATTACAGCCGCTTGGATTGCTGTAATGGTTCGTCATCCAATCCAAGTTGACAAGCAATGACGCTGCTGCAACGCTGCACTGCTTGTGGTACGTGAGCAGAGCGAGAAGGTCAGACGCGGTGATCATATCGATCTCTGGTAAACATGTGGGAATCAAGGGCTGTCGCAGGGTGTATCTGGCAGCGGTGATGGTTTCATGTGTGAGCCGTGCGTTCCGGGCGATTGCGAAGCAGCGAAGAGGCTCTGCCTCGAGGACCTTGGAGTTAACTAGAGCCTGACAAACCCTCCTCTCTATCAGGTCCAGCGAATACTTCTTCGCAACCCCGATGATAGCTTTGATGTCTATCAGATTATCAAGCGAGGGATCTTCCGCCAATGTGGAGGGGTAGCAGAACCTGAGGAAAGTGTCTAATATTTTGCTATTTTCCTGCATGGGAATGACAGGGAGACCATCCTTTGTATCATCACTCGTCCCAACTGCTGGTTGGGGGAGTTCAAACATAGTCTCGAAGAGCGGGGAGGCGAGGGCAAGAAAAAGCTTGAAGACGCGGAAATCAACCCTATCTGAGGACCGCAGGATAATATCAGCTTTTGGGTGGTCAAAGGGTGGTGATGCGCATGTGCAGTCAGGCATAATTGTTGAAAGCTGCGAAGACATTTGTTCCATCAGCAGAGATTTGTCGGATTCTTCAAGAGCTTCAAGTCAACTCTAGATGCGAATGTTTTGATGGGTGAACTTTGAAACGAACGGTACCCACCTATATACTATTGTAATTGATTCCTCGATAGTCCCTTGCATGCAGCAGGGCAGCGGGTAGCCTGGATTGAACTTCCTTGCCCACTGATGGTGCATCGGGGCTTACCAGAATCGTGATATTTGAATCGATCAGGTGATGATTTCACTGCATAGCATGTGTAGTTGTAGCATGCCTCGCGGTACTGTCCTGCAAAGAAGTTCGAGAATTGAGAAACGGAAATGTGGCACCTATCATCTGTTAGTCACGACCATCATCAAAGAAGCATAGGATTAAGGAGATGCGCCAATTTTGATCGCTTTGCCTGCACAACATCAAGCGGTGAAGTAACATGAGGATAACACACCGAACGTGCCCGGGCCTCGGTAGTCAGTAGTAGGCGCTCAAATGAACCCTTGCCCACCTTCCTTCTCGACGATTGAATGATACTTGACATGACACTCCTCGTGAAAGACAGGACCTCGCCATAGCAGGTGATCCCTGTGCCTGTAGGTCAGGTTCGAATTTCTCTTAACAAGCTTCTCGTGAATGTTTTCTATTGTGCTTCCATTCATAAGGGATGACACGGATCCATAACCATCGACACTGTATCTTTCTTCAACCACAATTGAGATTCAAGAGACATTGGTGATGACGCCATCTTCCCCCATCAGTGAGATGCTAGAGATGTAAGAGATTACAGCCTCCACCCCCATCATTGAAACAGGAGATGCATTAGCAATAACACACTCTTCCCCCATCAGTGAGACGCAGGAGATGCCAAGAGACTGTACCGAGTAGGTACGAGGTATTGTGGACCTGCTTGGTGAACAACGACTCATCACATGTTCAAACAACAGCGCGCTCCGAGGGTGGAATCCGGAGAGCAGTTTACAAATTGGCGACGATTGGCGAGACAAAGAAGATGGAGTGGGGGTGATCGCCGTGGCATTATCTCCCAGAGGCGACATTGTTACAAGTGATGAGATGGTTGGGTTGTGGAACTCCGAGACCGGGAAGATCAGTGCAAAATGGACTGGTCACACAAGAAACGTGTTGTCCGCGAGTTGGAGTCTGATTTGTGCGCGAGTTGTGAGTGGATCAGATGAGGGAACCGTAAGGGTCTGTAGAGAGCGGCGAAACTATCATGTTTGGTCCAATCAAGATGGCACATAGATTTGTGTACGCTGTGAGCTATTCGCCCGATTCCAGACAGATTGTGACCAATGGATACAAGAAGAATGCAATGCGAATGTGGGATGCCACTCTACAATTGAACATAGTTGACCAGTTTAAACTTTACGGTCACGGTTTGGACGTCGGATGCAAAGAAGTTTGTCTCCGTTGGCTCAATTAGGACTCCCATGGTTGAACCGTCGCTCATCACAATTGTTGGCCATCTCCTTGGCTTACAATGACCTTCTGCTAGCTTGCTCCTAGTAGCAAGAGCTTCACGCGATCGAACAGTGCATTTGTGGAATCTCGACACAAATTTACCTGTGAACCCCTTCGCCACGACGCTGGCGTGTATTGTGTAACTCTTTCCGCTGATGGAAAGCTGCTAGTAACGGGTTGCAATGTCCACATTGCGCACTTGTGGGACATCCATGTCATAATAAGATAAACTGGTCTCGTTTAATGTGAGTCTGACTCGGAGTACGTTGCCCACTCTATACTGATAGTGTTCTTTCTTAGCTACGAAAAGATGAATCGAAAGCGTGCATCACCTCATGGCTCTTTAATGATAGAGCACATCGATCTCCAACTCGTATAGGACGTAGCTGACAAGCCGTTTTTGGAGGTATGTGACGTGTTTTTCAACATCTTCGATGCTCGTAACTTGACATTCCAGGTTAATACTACGAGACAGCTCAAGGATACTTGAATCACATTTTTTTTGACTGCACGCAGGGGCACGTTCATGTGGGTCGTTATCATATCAGTTGGCTCTTATGCTGACCTCATGCTCTCAATACTCCGCAACACGCCATGTCTATATCCAGCCCTCTGCACGTCGTGGCAACAGTACTCTCGCCTCCTTGAGTTCACGTCCACGTGCGGCCATTAATCGCTTCTTGTTCTTCGAACGTTCTCCTTCCATCGACCACGATGCAACACCATTTCAGCAGCACCCTAGGCAACATTCTTCCCACCGACCCCCTGTTGTGGATATTGCGGCCGTCGAGGATAAAAGGGTATTATACTCGCTTGACTATACCCCCGGTACTCATGTATCTCGTAGACTTGATATGTTGCCCCACTCCGTAACAAAAAGAGCGAGGTTCAAGTCACTCAGATCCAAGGACAGTGAGAAGTTCAAAGGCATGATCATTGCCACCATGGAACCACCGCTACCGATTAAATGACCATGTCAATTTTTTCTCGGTGTCGTTAATATGTTGATCGAATTCTGTCACGTTTTTCTGCTTTACCTGTTCTGGGTTCATGCATGCATTGTTACCGTGAGTGCAAGAACCCCTTTTTAAAATGAGTAGGTGTGACTTGCTCGCTTTCAGTACATCGTCAGTTCTGCCACGGAGTCCCAAATCAGGAATGAATATATGCTGTGATATTACGCACATGTAGAATTCAGACTCGATACCCAGTTTGTATTGTGACAAGGCCGCTGTATCAACATTCTGGGGAAAGTTCGAAGTGAGTCATGAGACCGCATCGAGCCTCGCGGTGGTGATAAGTTCTTTATCCTCATACACACAGGGCGTAAGTTTGGCCTTCTCCTCTATTGCCAAATTTGGTTTCTTTCTCTATTGCCAAAATTGGTTTTCTCGTCTGCAACGCTGTCAGACTTCTCTTCTCTTCGAGGAGCAGATGCCAAAATAGGAATGTTTGCTTATCCGCAACTTATAGAGCGCAGGCTTTTACGTCTGTGACCTTCTCTTTACGGACTAACATCATTGATCATGAACTACTTTCCACTGCCCATGCTTGCTATTTGACTATATCGATATAACGGTATCCGATTGTCATGATATTTCAACGCGTCTGGTCTAGATCTCACATACGCTCTGCAGCTCAGAGTGCTCAGTCATCGTCTGCATTGGCAGCCGAGGGCCACAGAAACTTAAAGATCGACCTCCTCTCTTCGCCAACATCACTGAAATCGAGCAAGACGCACTCGGGTGGCATATACCCGGTGATAAGTAAGTTCTTTACATCATACAGAGCGCGGGTTTTACGTCTGGAAGATCATGGCTTGTCTCTTTATAGACTATCATGATTCATGATTGATCATGGAATCATTATTCAATTGACTATCGATATGATGGCATCCGATTATCATCATGGGGCGTTAGCTATAAAACGCGTCTCGTCGACATCTCTGATCTTCCATACCCTCCCAGCGGCAAACAAGTCACTCATCATCTAGCGATGGCATCGCCAATCAAGGACGACGATACTGTAAAGACACCTGAAGATTTTCCTCCACTCTTGTCCAAGAAATTCAACATCACTGATGTTAAGCAAGACGCGCTCAAGTGGGATAAGGAGTGGGAGGCGGCGATTGCATCTTCAACCGCAGCAGACGTCCTCAAGGAGATGTCTCGTTTCCTAGATGACTCTTGCTTCACTCCTGACGCCATGGAGTTCTTCCACCAGGATCTTCGCAGTGTCCAAAATAACGTAGCCAAAATTCTGCGTAACCTATTCGACGAAGGTCACTTTGACACCATCTGGTTGTTGTTGAATGTCGCGGAGAAGAAGAGACATATAAATGAAGGCCTGAAGGGGGCTTGTGAAGCACCTACGTTTTGGGGGCAAGATTGTCGTGCTCTTTGCCCGGAGGTCACAGTTTCGAACCTTCTGACGCAGGGCGGGAAGGCCTTCGTCGACTTTCTCGCTCGTGTCTTGGAGTTAACCGAGTCATCCCTTCAACCAGCATTCCTACCAAACCCATGGTGGGAACAGGCGTCGAACCTTGCCAAATCCATGGTGGGAAGAGACCCCGGATGTTCCACCTCGAAGACAGATATCCCAAGGCACAAAGCTTATGTTCGAAGTCGCGACTATCAATAGGAATAAGTTTATCGGCGAGTGTTTCCCACTCATATAACATCATGCGAGTCTAACATTGAATGAACAGGACATTTTATTATGTCCTCAGTGTTGTCAATCGTAAGTGACATCACCAATCGCAGCGGGGGGATGAAGGGGGTCCTACACGTCATGGAGAATACAAAGGGATATGTTGCTCGCGCTATAGCACAGGTCAAAACGATTTTCAGGGATAAACCTCTTGTCCGCTGCGAGAACTGCACGAAGACGCCAGAAGAAATCGGACAAGGTGTTCGCTTCATGGTGTGCAGTGTTTGCAAAGCGAAACTTAACTTCGAGATACATTATTGTTCTCAGTGAGTAGAAGTCCTTTAATTCTGTCTTCATAACTCCCTCATGATGTTGCATCATCCGCTAGATCCTGCCAGAAACAAGACTGGTCTCTCCACAAACGGACTTGTGGCAAGAAGCCAGTATCGAAGGGTCTAAGCGGAACCAAGGGAGACTCCCTTTGGGCATTCGGCGACTCTGATCCCACCGCCAACATGATTCGTGACTTTGGCAAGAAGGAAGGTCGGCATCTCACGAGCCTCAGAGACATTGGCGTAAATCCCTGTAAGGGTAAACGCACCCCTGCTGCGGACCGTCAAGCCGAGATGCTTGAAGCCGACCGAAATGTCGATTACTTCCTCTTCACTGCGAGCGGTGAAGCAGTTCGCTTTGTGATCGATGATCCAGGAGCTAAAATGATCTTCCGGATCAACCGCGGTTGGGTTATGACGAAGAGTAGTGACACCGGTCTTGATGCTATGGGAGAGTACATACTCAAAGCCATGAGCGGATATCCCGGATTGAGTCGGAGGATCATCCTGAAGCAACTCTGTGAAGAACACGGGGCGGGCACTACCAAAAAGATCATGGGGCTGGAGAAGAAGAGTCGAGAACATGGAAAGAGTACGTTTATAGAGGGTTGGGTGAAAGATTCTTCGTCCGTGTTTGGGGATTGGTCTTGGCTCGGATCGCTTTGAACATTTTGAAGTGGTATGAATTTCTGTCTTGCTCACTCATGCCATGATCTCATTGATCCACGTTTACAGGCGCTATGCATGTCAGAGATTCGGGTTTCGCTCGCGGCCATTAACCATGTTCTTCTGAAAATCTCAATTCCTCTTCGTTTTCATTTGGATTGACTTTGTCGATAGTCTTCAAATAAGTGTACAGTAGCCTATGCGTTCGATGAAGCTGAGCCTCGGCGGCGTTCGTTTACACATTAGTTTCAATACAATTGCAAGGCGCTAAATTTCCTACCTCGGGTCCTCCTGGTACCGTCGTCGGATGGAAAGAACCTTAGGCCTACATTCGACTTCTACTAAAGTACATAAGTCGGTTACATCGCGGTGTTCTAGAATGTACAATATGGTCTCGAGACTATGTACTAGTGTCAGACTACTCAGAACTATACGGCAACTTGTATGCCAACTTATACAATCTGAGTAGTTTTGAGAGTTTACTTCTTCTTCTTCTTCCCATCCTTTGTATTCGCAGTCTTCATTGGTGGCGCGGCCCGGGGGATAGCCTTCGAGGACGGGCCCGCAACGGAGGGATTAACGTCGAGACCGCTCGCCCCCATGAAATTCCGAGCCTTCGTTGATAGGGCAACTCGGGCCGGAACAAAGGGTTTAAGCAAATCCATGTCGAGATCAACCTTTTCAAATGCGATATCGTGAGCCTGATGCACTGCTAGCAAAGGAACAAAGCCATCAAGTCACCTCTGCCGTCAATATATCAACCATCGTGCTAAAAAACTCGGCGAATCCCGTCATATTGACCAAGATATTTGAACAACACCGCGAGCAACCAATAGCTCGAACGCCCCGAACTGTGTCACCGACCTCCGCAAGGACGGTGCGGCCAGATGGCTTGTCGCGCAGAGACATCAGACTTCTTTCCATGTAATCACTCCACCATTTCAATGGTCGTTGGCCATCGAGCAAGAATCGACTGCCGGACTCGCAGTTACAGGAGCCGCTTTGAATGATCCACTGGTATCCTGCTGCATTCAAGCTCAGGTAACTGTTGGTAATCCAGGATAGATCCACCCCCAAGGATTGCACCGATATCCCGCACCTCTGGTGATAGGTGAGTAGTGCAAGCAACTCCTTGGCTGTGATGAGGTCGATTTCTGGAACACTCGCAGGAATAAGAGATTGGCGGAGAGTATATTCGGCAGCGAGCGTGGCTTCCACGTTGAGCTGAGCACGCATTGCAACCGCAAAGCATGTCAAAGGCTCTTTATCCATGCGGCTTTTAAGCGCTCGACGAACTTTGTGTTCAAGCGGTTTCAAAGAATATTTCCTGGCTGCCTCAAGGACGGGTATGATATCTTCAATCTCATGCAGAGGAGGATCCTCTGCAAGAGTTGAAGGGTAGCAGAATCTGAGCCAGGTGTCGAGGACTCTGTGGTTTTCTTCCACGGGCACGACGGGCAGATCACCTTCGACCTGGTCTGACTGTGCTGCTTGCTCGATGATGGAGTCGAAAGACGACGAGGCGAGCTTCAGAAAGAGCGTGATCACATGAAAATCAACGCCGTCGGACGATCGAAGGATGATATCTGCTTTGGCATGCAGAAACGGCGGGGTTGCCACGAGGAGTTTCCTTTGTATGAACAGTATGGTCAAGCTGGTAATATCTTCCTAGGCGACAAGTTAAACTTACATTTGACTGTAGAGGGAACGCAATAACGATTGATAGATTCTGGAAGAACAACAAAGGGCGGTGTGGAAGAAACTTGATGAAGATATTGCCCACAGTGTACGTTATATATATTGAATTATTATATTCACAGCACATGCATTTGTCGTACTAGAATCTAACAGGAAAGTTACCAGCCGGAAGCTATCGGAGACCCATGGAGGAAAGGAATATTCGTAATTCTTGAGACATATTTCTACACAACTACACGCGATTCTTCCCTTAAGCAACCCCTAAGACTACACCTTGGTATTCAAGTTCAATGTACAACTGTTAGATCTGACCGAGTCGTGATTATTGGACACTGGGCGGTACTGGCCAAGTACTGGTACAAGTTTATAGACATGATCTGCCAGATGACGTCAAATAAGTGTTTTACCACAGTATTATATATTGCCTTACGGATGAGGATAGTTGCGATCAGAAGTCCATCTCCAGCTCGATCTGTTGGAAGCTATCAGAATTTGTCCGTGTTGTATAGCAAGGTACATACCGGAGCGACAGCCTCTTCTATTTTTAGAGCAAGCAAGTTGCTGAACTCCGTCATGCCTTCTTTCACCCGGCCAGGGCAAGCACCACAGTTCGTATTGCCTCTGACCTTTTGGATTGTCCTGTCCGCTGCCGTCCTCACAGTATCGCCACACGGGCTATCCTGTAGTAGCTCGTATACCTCCTGCATATATGTTGTCCACCATGCAAGTGGAGCGGAACCCCAAGGAAAGAATCTTCCGTCGGTACCCTGTCCGCAGTTGCAGTAATGCCCGTTATAGTGGGAGCCATTATTGAACAGCCAACTACAGCCATTCGTATTGACATAATGATCCGTCATCCATTTGAGATTCTTCATTAGGTCTTGTGCGGATATAATGCATTTTTTGTGGTATGTTAGTAGGGCAAGAAAGTCGGATGCGGTGATCAGGTCGATCTCTGCAAATAACGCAGGGATTAAGGGTTGCCGTAAGTTGTATCTGGCAGCGGTGATGGTTTCATGCTTGAGCCGCGCGTTCCTCGCAATGGCGAAGGAGCGAAGGGGGTCTATCTCAAGAACCTTGTGATTCGCTAGAGCCTGACATACTTTTCTCTCGATCAGGTCTAGTGAGTACTTCTTCGCAGCTGCGAGTACAGAGAGAATCTCTGTGAGATTGTCAAGAGAAGGATCTTCCGCCAGCGTCGATGGATAGCAAAACCTGAGAAACGTATCTAGAGTTTTGCTGTCCTCAGACACGGCGATGACTGCTAAGCCATCCTTCATCTCTTGATCGGAAGCACCGTCAGGAGCCTGAGGGAGGCCAAACAATGTTTCGAAGAACGGAGAGGCAAGGGAGAGGAAGAGCATGAAAACTCGAAACTCCACGCCATCAGCTGATCGTAAGATAACGTCTGCTTTAGCGTGATCGAATGGGGCTGAAGCACAAGTTTGTGTTGGTAATTCCATTGGCGATTATGATCTTTGTGGTGTTATGAATATGGCCGATCGTAGCTAGTAAGCTGAACTCACCAGTTGAAACTTGAAATTTGTGGGATGTGTGTGGGATGATGAAGAGGCTCTGAGAAAGTTAAGAGAATCGAACTGGCCATGCGCTTGCAGGCCTGTTAGGGCGCAGACCACTGCATTCGGCATTCATTAGTACATACATAGTGTGTTCTTTGGCCTCGTGGCCCTTTTGTACGTTGATGTTCAAATCAACCTGTGTATGTGCAAAGCGAGATGCATACGCGACGGTGATTAAAGAGATACGCAAAAAGATAAGCCACGTCGTGATATTGAAACTGGGGCTGTGGCAAGAAGTGACATTCCGACCAGTGTCTATAAGCGCAACAGCCACTTTCAAGTTGATGTGGGAGACTATAGCTCGATCCCTCTCCGTGGTATGAGCATCTAGCACGATTATTTCAACAACTCATGAACTTTACTAGTAGACTTAAGGTTCAACGGACGACTTACATGCGAGAACATTCTTCCACCGGTTAGACTAGGTTCATTTAGTATCAAGGTGGACATGAAGTAGTGATCGAGACGTTATAGTCACGTAATGACTTGTACATACGTGACTCAGTGAGCCCCAGATTTCAGTGAGGGCAACTCAAAGTCCCTCGAGACTTGCAGCGCCCGAACTAAAAACTTGTTAATTGAAACGGAGGTTAGCGCTATGGAGTATTCTCAGCTACCTCGACAGTCTTGTCAAGAGAAAAACGTCTATTAAACGTCAGAAGCTATCGAGAAAGGACGGTGTTGGCATGTTGCACATTCTTCCGACGACCTCGTCTCCTGTAATAGAAGGAATTTGCGTCTTTTAAATTCTGAACCTGGGAACAAAGAATCATAAACATAGCTAGCAGAGGCGCGTGGGTGATGACTCAAGGAACGGGGAGGCAAGGGAAAGGAGCGTGAACATTCGAAACCCAGCGCCATCAGTTGGAAGCAAAATTATGCCTGCTTTAGCGTAATCGAAGGGGACTGAGGCACAAGTTGTTATCGTTGATTCGTAATTTGGTTCTATGGTGCTGTCATTGAACTATTAGCATGGTGGGACATCGTAGCTAGTGACTTGAACTCACCATTTTGGATCTGTGAGATGGATGCTCATGGCAAAATTAATAAGAGTACACGGAAGACCGTAACGCTGTTTATACACCGTGACGGGTTGCAAATTGGGTTGCAACTTGCGGCCGACGGCCGTAGCAAAGTTAGTAGATGACCGGAACAAAACAAAGCGTGTAACGCGTCAGTCACTAGTCACGTTAACTGTGACCACCACACTTTCTGCCCCCCGACCTGCGGCACAGTGCACTACATATGTTTTACTGAGGCTGCCAATAATTCTAAATTCTAGGCATGGTAAACATATGCGTATACTATTATCAAGCTCATTATCACCTCTAGAGAGTTGAATACTATTTCTCGCCAACTGACAACAACTCGACGATCGCCCTGAACTTAGGGCATTGCACACGGAGTCCGTTCGGTAGTTGATATGTGTGGCATTGTGTGCGGAAATGCAGCTTTCAAGGTCACCATTTAGTTCTGGAAGATGCCAGATGAGCTGTTGTTGGAATGCTCTATCCACCTTGATGGTGTTCCCCTGAAAGATATGCGGTGAGTTATCCGTGCAAATCCTGACTACATATGTCCAACTTATTTATATTATCCTTGATTGTATACAGGACACGGGTTCTGCAACACATGCATCGAAAATCTTTTCCAAGCCGGATCTCCGCCTTTCGAATGTCCCACTTGTCGCAAGCGTACCCAGCGCAAGGATGCATTTCAAATATTCTCAGACCCTCATCGATCGCTCACACAACCTAGCACACAATTTCCACGTAGAGATTCGGGTATCGATATTTATTTTACACTTCCTGGCGACCCGGATTCGACTATGGGGCGCGTCTCTAGCCTCTGCAAGAAAACACGGCAGGACTACAACACTTGAATAAGCGTTTGGAACAGTTGCGACGGAATTTGTTGAGCGCGAAACAAGGAACGCGATGAGCTGGACGATCAGCATCAGGAGCTGCAAAGGGAGTACGACCTTCTTCAAGGCGCAGCATGCAGACCTCAAAAGCACATGCACGACTCATGAGAACGAGTGGCGCAAAGTCGAGCGCTCATCTGCTGTGCTGCAAAGTCGCTGAGAGTGCCGAGCAGACGTGGAGGGAAAATTGCAAAATTTCACAAAGAGACGCGCAAAATGTACGAAAGGAGAAAGAAGAACTAGATGGAGGAATGAAAGAGTTGGCGGAGAGAGCTAGAGAGTTTGAGCATCGTGCGCACAGAAACAAGGTGGCGGTAAGCATATACGTGCATTCCAGCAAGTATTGTTGATTCACCTCGCACTGGCAGTACGACAAATACAAAGGAAAATATGAGGCTCTGAAGGAAGAGAACGCGCGGCTTCAAAAAATCCAACACACCATAGAGATTCCAGAGGAACAATCTCTCTTATTCTAATCCTCAACCCTTTGCATATCGTTGCAGCAGTACTCTCACTTTCCTGGGGTCACGTCCACGTGCAGTCCTCCGTATAGGCCCTTTCGCCACACCTCCGATGTTCGTCTATGTCGTCGCAGACTTGCCCTACCACGTAAAAGGAACAAACCCAGACCTAAGGATAGAAAGAAATTCGAAGTCAACCTCGAGTAAATTATCGCACCATGAAACGCCTGTCACCGGTGAAACCACATGTATGACTGCAGCTGTTGCCACCTCCCAGTCCGTGTCAAGCTATTCCCCTGCTACACGTCCGTTGATCATGCTGGTAGCCACCACTGATCACAAGGCAGCTGCTTGTAATTTCGGGCACCATCCGTGCGTCGTTGATTCCCGTTTTATAATCCATGATCGTATTTTTCTCGATCTCGCTGATATATCAATCGGCTTACGGCGTTTCCTGCTTTACTGATCTTCCAGTTCCGCGAATTGCTCCTGATGACCACGAGACAAAATATTCATCCCCTTATTCATCTGATATGTAGATGAGCAACTCGCTTACTTTCAGGACAATAATCAGCTCGGTGCTAGCATGTCATCAGCGCCTGGCTTGTCTTGTGGCACAAATTTCTCAAAGCAGGCGTTTTAGAATGGCATGCACATCAGTGATCACCTGAGTTTGGCACTGAGACATGAATGCATGACATTCGACTTCTACTAAGTACATTGGTCAGTCGATGGTATTGCAGTGTTCCATAATGTACAATTTGATCTCGAGACTAGTGACAGACTACTTCGAACAATTATATACAACCTGTATGCCAACTTGTATGTAGAGTAGTTTTGAGAGTTCCCTCACTTCTTCCTCTTCCCGCCCCTCCCGCCCCTCCCGCCCTTCCCGCCCTTCTTCGTATCCCAGAACACGCTCTGTTTCATCCACCCCCTTGTTAGGGTGAGCATATCAAGATGAACCTTTTCAATTGCGATATTGTGAGCCTGATGCGCTGCTAGCAAAGGAACAACCCATCAAATCACCTTTGCTGTCAACGTATCAACCTTCCTGCTAAAAAGCTCGGCAAATCCCGTCATATTTACCAGGATATTTGAACAGCACCGCGAGCAACCAATAGCTCGAACACCCCGGACTGTATCACCGACCCCCGTAAGAACCGTATGGCCAGATGGCTTGTCGTACAAAGACACCAGACTTTTTTCCATGTAATCACACCACCATTTCAATGGTCGTTGACCATTGAGCAAGAATCGACTGCTGGACTCGCAGCCACAGGAGCCGCTAATGATCCATTGGTATTCTGTCGCATTCACGTTCGGGTAACTGCTGGTGATCCAAGATAGATCCGCCCCCAAGGGTTGCAACGATTTGCTGCACCTCTGATGATAGGTGAGTAGTGTGAGCAGCTCCTTTGCTGTGATGAGGTCGATTTCTGGAACGCTCTCAGGAATGAGAGATTGGCGGAGAGTATATTTTGCGGCGAGTGTGACTTCGATATCTAGCTGGGCACGCATTGCAATCGCAAAGCATCTCAAAGGCTCTCTCTCCATATGGCTTTTAAGCGCTTGGCGAACTTTGTGCTCAAGCGGTTTCAAAGAATATTTCCTGGCTGCCTCAAGCACAGGTATGATATCTTCAAATTCATGCAGAGGAGGATCCTCTGCAAGAGTTGAAGGGTAGCAGAATCTGAGCCAGATGTCCAGGACTCTGTGGTTTTCTACCACGGGCACGACGGGCAGATCACCTTCGATCTGGTTTGACTGTGCCGCTTGCTCGATGATAGAGTCAAAAGACGACGAGGCGAGTTTCAGAAAGAGCGCGATTACGCGAAAATCAACGCCATCGGACGATCGAAGGATAATATCTGCTTTGGTATGCAGAAATGGCGGGGCTACCGCCATGAGAAGTTTCCTTTGCATTAACAGTATGGTCAAGCTGGCAAAATCTTCCTGGGCAAAATTTAGACTGACCTTTGACTGTAGAGAGAATACAATAACGGTTAATGGATTCTGGAAGAGCAGCAAAAGGGCGATGTGGATGAAACTCGATGAAGATATTGAGAACGGTCATGTATATCAAATTGTTATTATATTCACAGCGTCGTACTAGATTTGATCAGGAAGGTCACCAACTTAACTGGAGGCTATGGAAGACCCATGGAGGAAAGGAATATTCGTAATCATTGAGATATATTTCTACATGCACTACTAGATCGGCGGTCCTTCCCTTAAGCAACCCCTAAGAGATACCCTTCCTTGATGTTCAACGTTCAACTGCTAGATATAACCGAGTCATGATTATTGGACACGATCTGCCAGATGATGTTAATAAAGTGTTTTACCGCAGTGTTGTATATTGCCTTACAGATGAGGATAGTTGCGATCAAAAATCCATCTCCAGCTCGATCTGTCGGGAGCTCTCAGGATCTGTTCGTGTTGTATAGCAAGGTACATACCGGAGCGACAGCTTCTTCGACTTTTAGAGCAAGCAAGTTGCTAAACTCCGTCATGCCTTCTTTTACCCGACCAGAGCAAGCAGCACAGGTCGCACTTCTGACCTTTTGGATTGTTCTGTCCGCTGCCGTCCTCACAGTATCCCCAGACGGGCTATCCTGTAATAGCTCGTATACCTCCTGCATATATGTCGTCCACCATGCAAGTGGAGCGGTATTCCAAGGCAAAAATCTCGTGTCAGTACCCTGTCCGCAGCAATACTGGTTGTAGCGGGGACGATTGAACAGCCAAATGCAGCTATCAATATTGCCATAATGATTCGTCATCCATGTGAAGTCCTTCATTAGGGCCTTTACGGCGATAGCGCATTTTTTATGGTATGTTAGTAGGGCAAGAAAGTCGGATGCAGTGATTAGGTCGATCTCTGCAAATAACGCAGGGATTAAGGGTTGCCGTAAGTTGTGTCTGGCAGCGGTGATGGTTTCATGCTTGAGCCGCGCGTTCCTCGCAATGGCGAAGGAGCGAAGGGGCTCTGTTTCAAGAACCTTGGGATTCGCCAGAGCCTGGCATACTTTTCTCTCAATCAGGTCTAGTGAATACTTCCTCGCAGCTGCGAGCACAGAAAGAACCTCTGTGAGGTTGTCAAGGCAAGGATCTTCCGCCAGCGTCGATGGATAGCAAAACCTGAGAAACAAATCTAGAGTTTTGCTGTCCTCAGACACAGCGATGACTGCTATGCCATCCTTCATCTCTTGATCAGAAGTCCCATCGGATGCCTGAGGGAGGCCAAACAATGTTTCGAAGAACGGAGAGGCAAGGGAGAGGAAGAGCATGAAAACTCGAAACTCCACGCCATCAGCTGATCGTAAGATAACGTCTGCTTTAGCGTGATCGAATGGGGCTGAAGCACAAGTTTGCGTTGGCAATTCCATTGGCGATTATGATCTTTTTGGTGTCATGAATATGGCTGATCGTAGCTAGTAAGCTGAACTCACCAGTTGAGACTTGAGATTCGTGGGGTGTGCTTGTGGGATGAAGAGGCTCTGATAAAGTCAAGAGACTCGAACTGGTCATGCGCTGGCAGGTTGCCTGTTAGGGCGCAGACCACTGCAGAAGTTCGGCATTTATTACATACATCGTGTCTTCTTTGACCTCACGGCCCTTTGGTCCGTTGATGTTCAGATCAACCTGGGTATTTGCAAAGCGAGATAGTACGCGATGGTGATCAAGAAGATACGCAGGAAGATAAGCCATGTGGTGATATTGAAACTAGGGCAGTGGCAAGTGACAATTTAACCAGTGTCTAGTGCAACAGCCACTTTGTCGACCTGGAAGGCTATAGCTCAATCTTTTGCGTGATATAGGCATCTATCACGATTTCTGCCTTCGATCAGCAACCTATAAATTGTTCTAGTAGAGTTAGGGTTCAACAGGACGACTTACCTGCGAGAACATTCCTTCACTGCTCAAGTTCAATCATGAGATCTTGAGAAGTGGTCGACGGTGTTGCGGTGTCGCACATTCTTTCGATGCAAGTGCGGAACCTGGTCTCTCGTAGTCAGGTCGTGAAAGAAGGAAGTCTAAACGTTTTGTCATTTTCAATCCTGAACCTGGAAACAAAAAAATCATGAACATAGCAAAGACGCTTTGGTTTGTTTTTGAAGTCGACGTTGATGTAGATCTTACAGAACATCTTGAGGCTTGTCTGAGGCCATAGATTACTGGGTTCTGTGTTTCAAGCAATTCAGCTAGATCGTAACAGCCAAGACTCGTGCACCGAAAACATGGATTCATAGTGATAGAATATAGGCGGCCAGAAGCAGAAAGTTGAGAGAATAAGTAGCAGGCCTTGCCAACGACGGATGATGCTACAACTGATATCACTATCAAGAACCCATGTTTATGAAACAAGAGAAAAGGTTGTGACAGACATGTAAGTAGAAATACCTGGCTGGCTGGTCCCCCAGGTATTCGAATGCAACTCTTCGACAATCTGGACTGAGTCAATAGGAACAGGAGGGTGCTGAGTGCTGCTCACTCTTGTTGATGGGCATGATGCCGTTGTTTTTCTATGGGACTGTATACTGCCTTGCTCACGGTGACAGTCAGAAGTCTACCATCAGCTCGAAGTATCAGAATCACTTCGTGGTCTAAAGCAAGACACGCACCCGATGGACATCTCCGACTTCCAGAGCAAAAATGTCACTAAACTTCGTCATGTTCGCTTCCACTTAAGCCCAAGCAAACTGCGTGAAGTTCCGACCATTTATCGTCTAGTCCGCAGTGCCGCCGAACAGGGTAGCCTTTCAATAATTTACATAAATTTTGACCACCGCACAACCGGAGTGGCGTCCCAAGGCAAAATCTCTGGTCGGTGCCATTTCGCAGTTACACTACTTCCGGGTACCATGAATTTCATACATCCAACCAAATATCCAATTGCAGTCAGTCACTGGGACTGTCATGATGGTCAGAATGCCTGGTCATCCACCACAAGTTAAGCGCAAATGATTGTACGACAATACTGCAAGTTTGTGGTGTGTCAGAAGGGCAAAAAGGTTGGATGGGGTAGAAAAATCGATTTCTGCAAACCACGTAAGAATTTAGGGTCCTGTAAGTCGTTTCTGGTGGCAAGGATGGTTTCAGGTTTGGGCCGTGCTTGTCTGGCGATTGCGAAGTATCGAACCGACTCGGTCTGGAGAAACGTCGAAGCCATAAGAGCCAGGCATGCTTTTCTCGACTGGGTATAGCACAAATTTCCTCGCAATTGCGATCACAAGGAGAGCGTCCGTCAGGTTGTCAACAAAGAGGATCCTCTAAGTGTTGATGGACAGCAAAACCTGAGAAATAAATCTGAAGTTTGCTGTCCTCATATATGGGGATGACTGCGAAGCCATCCTTCGTTTCTTGGTCGGAAATACCACCATTAGGGCCCTGAGGAAGGGAGGATAATAACTGGAAGAATGGAGAGGCAAGGGAGAGGAAGAGCGTGAATATTCAAAACTCAACGCCATCAGTGTAAAGCAAAATGATGTCTGCCTCAGCGTAATCGAAGGGAGCTGAGGATTCGTAATTTGGTTTTGCTGAGGCTGTCGTTGAACCATCAGCATGGTGGTACATTTTAGCTAGTGGCTCGAACTCACCAATTAAAATGGACGCTCGTGGAAAGATTAACAGGAGTACCCGGAAGACTGTAGGCACCGCGACGGGTTGGAAGTTGGTTGGGTCGTGTAGAAGACCGGAAGCGAACAAGGCGCGTAACGCGTCAGTAACAGTCACGTCAACTGTGACCTCAGACCCTTCAACCTGCACTACATAGAACGTGTCTTACTCAGGCTGCCAATAATTCTAAATTCTAGGTGGTAAACATATGCGTATGCTATTATCAAACTCATCATCACCTCTAAAGAATTAATACTATTTCTCGCCAACTGATATCAACTCGACGATCGTCAAACTGTTGCCTGAACTTAGTACATTGTACACGGTGTCCGTTCGGTAGTCGATTTTCTGATATGTGTGCGGAAATGCATGCTCATAATCTTTAAAGGTCACCTTTTAGTTCTGGAAGATGCCAGATGAGCTGGTGGTGGAATGCTCTATCCACCTTGATGGTGTTCCCCTGAAAGATATGCGGACATTCAAGTGCGGTGAGTCATCCGTGCAAATCATGACTATGTCCAACTCATTCATGTTATCCTTGATTGTGTACAGGACACGGCTTCTGCAACACATGCATCGAAAATCTTTTCCAAGCCGGACCTCCACCTTTCAAATGTCCCACTTGTCGCAAGCGTATCCAGCGCAAGGATGCACTTCAAATATTCTTAAACCCTCATCAATCGCTCACACAACCTGGCACACAATCTCCACGTAGAGATTCGGGTGTCGATATTCATTTTACACTTTCCGACGACCCGGATTCGACTATTGAGCACGTCTCTAGCCTCCGCAAGAAAACGCGTGAAAACGCGGCAGAACTGCAACGCTTGAATAAGCGTTTGGAACAGTTGCGACGGAATTTGTTGAGCGCGAACAAGGAACGCGATGAGCTGGACGATCAGCATCAGGAGCTGCAAAGGGAGCACGACCTTCTTCAGGCGCAGCATGCTGACCTCAAAAGCACATGCACGACTCATGAGAATGAGCGCCGCAAAGTCGAGCGCTCAATTGCTGTGCTGCAAAAGAAATGCGCAGTCGCTGAGAGTACCGAGCAGACATGGAGGGAAAATTGTAAGACTGCACAAAGAGATGCGCGAAATGCACGAAAGGAGAAAGAAGAACTAGGCGAAGGATTGAAAGAGTTGGCGGAGAGGGCTAGAGAGTTTGAGCATCGTGCGCACAGAAACAAAGTGGCGGTAAGCATATACCTGCATTCCAGCAAGTATTGTTGATTTACCTCGCACTGGCAGTACGACAAATACAAAGGAAAATACGAGGCTCTGAAGGAAGAAAACGCGCGCCTTCAAAAAATCCAACAAACTGTAGAGATTCCAGAAGAACAATCTCTCTTGGTTGTCGATAGAAACGCCCCTGACAGGCTTGAGCGTGCAGTTGACGAAGACTGGTTGGACGATGTATGTGAGGTTCGAGGGGACAATCTTGATGATATTGATAGCGATTATGGAAACGAGTCGAGCAAGGAGAATGAAGACGAAGGGCCCAGTCGTGGTGCTACATGGCTACGAGGCAGGCGAGCAACGGAGAGCGTGGACGACCGCGAACGATCACTTCCTGAAGATCGCCCGTATCGCCCGTACGGACGATTACGCTCTCCCATCCATTACACCTCTGATTGGAACCTCAAAAGAGACAGCGCTGGGCAGAAAGCAGCTAAGACGAATAAGCGGAAGAACGAGGGGGACGCCATCATGGGAGCGCGACCGTCCAAGGTAGTGAAAATCTCATTGCAACCTACAAGACCAACGAAGGGGAAGGGAAGGGTTACTGAAGGAAGAGATGATACGAGACTGCTCCCATCTCCCATGCAGATGCCAGGTTCTCCGCTGAGAAAAGCCCCTGCATCTAAGTCCAAGACTGACTTCCCAATAAAGCTGGATCCAATGGGTCGTTTGATGGGCACTGCGGTACTGGGGTCAAGACGTAAATTTGACAAGAATTCATGAGTTCATCAGGGACACTCGGACTGCGATATAGATGAACGTGTACTATCATCACTGTTGTTTAAATGTTTGTTCATACCTTGCTTTGTGGTAGACTACCATATGTTGCGTATAAGTAGTACAACAACGTACATCATCAGATTACATGTCTCTGTTCTAAAAATCATCCTACAAAGAACCTCACACCTTCGCCATCAGCAACCCCGATGATTTGTGCTCGATTGGAGCGTGAGAGAATGGTAATAGCCCGCCGCAGGAGTGGTATAGGAATACCAGAAAGAGGTGACTGGATGGGAGGGTCTGAGATCTCATAAAAAGTGAGGATGGTATTGAGCTGGCCAGTCGCCGTTGCCTGTATGCGACGATAAATCATTTAACTTGAGATTGGAGGAGGTACTAACCCACGAATGGAGAACGTCAGCCCATTCTTCCGGAAGACGCCAGTAAAGCAGCACTGCACGGGTCTGCTTAGACGGCTCGTAGACGGCGAGGTTCTTTGCAACCATGGTAGCCATCAACGACGAGAGATACGGCGGTAGTATTCGTCCTAAAACATATATGTCACAACAAGTCTTCGCAAAAATGAGAGAAACAGTTGAAATAGAACACACGGTTTATCCTCTCATTACGAAGGATCTCATCCCATTCGCCGCCCGGGACCTCTGCATCCTCAACGCGCAGCACAAAGAGACGCTTGTGTCTCGCGTATGTCAGTATAAGGCGTATCCATTCCTCTGTGAGATGTGCGTGAGTGCTTTGGTTTGGTTGCTCACTGTCTGGTGGGTGTGAATATCAATTCAGGATTTGAGGCGGAATGCGTACGTAAAGAAGGGGGGTGCTGAGTGGATCGACGGTAGCAGAAATCCTAGTTAGTAAGTCAGTATTTAGTATTTGAAAAGCATGCAACATTATCAATTGTTGAGGAATGCAGAATCACCTGACGGAGTAGTATGG